GCCTAATATACCGATTTACACAATTGACATGTTTCTCTAACCAACTACAGTTGGCTTTGGTGTATGCCACTTCTAGTCTCAAAATCAACATCGATATTTTCTGCAGTATCGTGGCTGGTGTCGTCTTTGAGGGCAAGGTCCTGGCCAGTATCTGGTTCTTTGACGTCGGGTACATCACGACTATCAAAGGTCTTTACTTTGCCCGAGATATGAAGCTGACTTACTATTCTCATGCAAGCGCTCTTCTTTCCGATTATGATTGGACCATACTGATACCCCAAATATCCCTCAACGAAAATTGTTTTTGGTTCAATGCGTTGTGATGCTTGTCGGCACGCTCTCCTCACTCGGTGTCCTCAATTGGACGGTATCATTTCGTCCGAACCCGTCCATCACGATGTCAAATGGTGTCTTTCCCTACTTGTCTTAGGATACTAGAATCCTAGCGATATCTCGATTACCGACACCGCCAAAGTCATTGCATAATGGTATCAAAGCGAAATGCGCCATGCAGGTGTGAAAATCAACCGAAAATATCTTCGATAGAAATAGTCACCGCATAAGCGGCCTTTTGATATCCTTACAGTCAGCCTTTCAGTGGTCTCGAATACCGTTCTGACTTAGGAGTATACATATGAATGTGAAGGGGAATGCGGGGGAGGGGGGTTTTATACTCACAGGTGGTGGGCGAGTGCCTTCCTAAAAGATGATTCAATTGCTCCATTATACTGTTATATGCAGAGGTATGCAGAGGGAAGGAGTGACAAAGGATCTGCATTTCCATAATAAGGCTTGCATTAAAGGTTAAAGCCAATTCGGTGACTTGCACAGTATTCCAGTAGCTCTTTTATATTTGAATTTTGATCACCGCTAATTGCCGTACGTTGCCATAGTTCCTGCGTATATCCTTGTCATGTCTTTCAATGGTCTTCTCAGAGGACTTCTTAGATATCATTCTCTTTACATGTGTTAAATCAATCTTCTTCCCCACAATAGCTTTCACTGCTACATCAACGGCAACAACAAGCCGGAAAAGGACTCAACTTGTGAAAGCCACTTTTCAATATATAACCTTGGATATATATATTTACATAGTACTCCGTACATAATACGTACTCTTCCTCGTGTAATATTGAGTGTTTTGAAGTGGTACTGGTTGTATTTGTGGTATTTTTACGTGCATGTGGGTCCAGCATGCAGCCGATGTCGGGAATGATTGATTAGATCAGCCAGATTGATTAGATTTTCAGGGTTGCACAGTCGGATAACTTTATTTTCGTGAAGCTTGAGGAAGCTGAACATCAAATGATACCAATTATATAATATATAGGTCTTCTTAGGCTATGAAGACGATCTGGGCTGCTAACCAAACCACTGTCCCTTGTCTTTAGACAAGTGAATACAAAAGTAGTTTCGGAATGACGAGGCCTGCCAAGAGTTAGTGCCCACCAATTACTCATAACAACTCCGAAGTATGTCCCGGACTAAGGCCTTTTATGTACACCGTAAGGAGTATAGAGTAGATCCCAGCTGATTGATAAACCTAAGATTCTGCAGACTCGGAGTTATCAGATCCTGAGTGGGGTCTAGTGCCAGGGGTTTATTTTTCTTTCTTCCAGGCCGGTGAGATTGTGCTCTGACAGGTAATCCTAGACTATACTACTATGACGGGAAATCCACTAGACGATCCCCCATAGAGATGAGAAGAGCATTCTGCCGATGTAAAAGTGCTAAAAAAATATTCAGATATTGCAATATTATTCCCGGATATTCGCCATTTCCGGTGTCAGTCCACCTCAAAGACTAGAGTTTTTGTCATAAAATAGATTCAAATAGCCTTGAATAGCTAAGGCGAACCAAAACAAATCTCTTCGTGTTCCGCCAAGGTTCGCTTGAAGAAGTGGAGTTGTAGGAGACAGCCAAGCATGGAAGCCGAAACCTGAAAATTACCAAATACAAAACTTCCGATGTGGAGCCCGGCCTATCTGATGGAATTAAATAAAAATGGTTTTTATCTTGTGCGAAATTTGTTGTATTGCCGGGTACATCTATAAACCCCTGCCCGGACGCTTTTCCTGGTTTTCTTCTTCAACTTCCTAACCATGGCGGCCCCAAGAAGTGTACAGCGCTTGCAGCAGACCTTGTCGCATGTACAGCCTCCTATTAGTCCACAGCCCTCTCTTGTCGCAGGTCCGACGGAGCCACAGCTGCTGGACATTACCTTGGGTGAACTACTGACACTCCAAGCACTACAGTATGGGGGAATTGAGTGTTTGGTGTTCCCCTGGACCGGTGCGCGATGGACCTACGGCCAGCTGAAAGATGAGAGCGATCGTCTAGCTCGGGGAATGTTGGCTTCTGGTATTCAAAAAGGCGATCGTATTGGAATTATGGCAGGCAATTGTGAGCAATACATTTCGGTGTTCTTTGCGGCCGCACGAGTTGGGGCTATCTTGGTCGTCTTGAACAACACATACACCCCCTCCGAGCTGTATTACGCTCTAAATCACAGTGGTGCGTGAGATCCACTTTTCGTATTACTAGTTCTATACTAATCTCGGCTTTTTATTCTTCATTCAGAATGCCGAATGCTTTTCATGACACCACGCATTGGACGTCATAACCTCGAGGAGGTCCTTGCCAAACTTGGCCCTTATCCTAAAAAGGCTGCGACTTCGGAATCATTGGAGGAAATCGTCGTTCTCCGCGAAAATTACAACAACTTCAACACCTACCAAGATGTCATAAAACGCGGCCTGTCGCAGGCTGCACATGTGCTACAGGACCGCGAGGCCGAGTTACGGCCGGATGATGTCTGCAATCTACAATTCACCAGCGGTTCAACAGGCAGTCCTAAAGCTGCCATGTTGACACACCAGTACGTGGACCATGTACGACAATGAGTTTTCAAGCTAATTCCTCCGCAGCAACTTGGTTAATAACTCGCGTTTTATCGGTGACCGTATGAAACTCACCTCTTTTGATGTTCTGTGTTGCCCGCCGCCCTTGTTCCACTGCTTCGGGCTTGTCCTGGGTATGCTTGCGGTAGTCACCCATGGCTCCAAGATTGTTTTCCCTAGCGAAACCTTCGACCCCAAGGCGGTCCTGCATGCCATCTCCGATGAGAAGTGCACTGCTCTACACGGTGTTCCAACCATGTTTGAGGCCATTCTTGCCATTCCCAAGCCCTCCAACTTTGACACCTCAAATCTTCGCACAGGCATCATTGCTGGGGCCCCAGTCCCGCGGCCACTCATGAAGCGGCTCTTTGCGGAATTGAATATGACTGAATACACTAGTAGCTATGGTACTGTCCCTCCCATTGGTCTACTGATCAAGTGCTAATTCAAGCTCTAGGTCTCACGGAGGCCTCGCCCACTTGCTTCAATGCTTTCACCACCGACAGCATCCACACAAGATTGACCACGGTCGGAAAGGTTATGCCTCACGCTCGTGCCAAAATTATTGATGCACAGGGAAACATCGTTCCCGTTGGTCAGCGTGGTGAACTTTGCATGGCCGGCTATCAGCTCACAAAGGGATACTGGCATAACCCGGAAAAGACGGCAGAGACATTCATAACCGATGCCGAGGGTGTGAAATGGCTCAAGACTGGCGACGAAGCTTCTTTCAATGCGGAAGGATACTGCACCATCACTGGTCGCTTCAAAGACATCATCATTCGTGGTAAGTTTAAACACCAAGTCAATCGATCGCAGTTTCTAATTGGCATGTCGTAGGTGGTGAGAACATATATCCTCTCGAGATCGAAGAGCGATTGGCCGCACATCCCTCCATTGAATTAGCATCGGTAATTGGTATCTCCGACCCCAAATATGGCGAGGTTGTCGGAGCATTTATCGCGATCGCTTCGGGTGCCAGTCGTCCGACAGATGATGAATTGCGCACATGGACGCGTGAGACTCTAGGCCGACACAAAGCCCCGCAGTACGTGTTTGTATTTGGAGAAGAGGGGACTTCAAGCACGGTTCCTGTGACGGGGAGCGGCAAAGTTCGCAAAGTGGAGCTACGACAAATGGCGATGGAGGTGCTGGCCGAGCGCGCAAAGGCATGAACGGGAAAAAATAAAAGACAGCACGGATTGTATAGTCCTCGTGTTCAACCAGTATAGAGATTCTAGACCTTACAATAATACCCCATCCCATTGACGAACTAAACTTGTGCACAATGACCGAAAAATCCAGGTTTGAAACAAATTAAATTAAATGAGGGGCGTATCTTATCAGATTATATTTTTATTCGTCCAGCCCTTGTAACGTCAAATACATGACAACAAAAAGTGGATTTTGCAGCGAAACGCGGCATTTTCATTTTCGTCACTTTCCAGGGCACGTTTTCCCATCAGATTAGATGCTCATCTTGTCTGATCGATGATCATTTCTGGTTTAGGCCAGTGGCTTGTATTGTACCATGGAATCAAGAGTGTATTGTTCCGTATACATTACGGTCGGGTGAAGAATTCCAATGTTTTCCAGTTCGCAAAATTTGTTTTGCATGTTGTCTGTCCAGAGCTGCCGGCTTCGGTTGTATTTGCATATTATGTACGGTAATGAATTGACACACTTGACGGATGCACAGATGACACGCTTTTGCGTGCGTATCAGCCACCATGTCGGTTGTACCGAAAATGGACTTGCTTGGCACAGCCTGAAGTACTGGCCCAGAAAGACTGTCACGGAGTAATCGGAGGTCATGTCAATACAACCGAGGGATGTTTCGCTTTTCACGGCTCTGATCGGATCTGATAATTCGAGCCAAGGAGAATGCCAAGAGAGCAACCATGGATGCATTATATCCGATGTCGCTTTCAATCTGATAAGATCAAGACCCGCATAATCTGATCACTTTTTTTTCGAGTACATAGCTCGGCTCCTTGGTTTTTGTCTTAGTTTGTTTTTTTTCTTATTCCCCTTTCTGTTTTCCTTTCGGCGCCTCTTTTTGACTATTTCTCGCGTCAAACCTCTCGTTCTCAACTCATCATGCCCTCCAACGACTTTGTCCGAACTGTATCTCGCAACTTCCGAGTACTTGTGATCGGTGGCTCCTATGGCGGTCTGGCTACTGCATTGGCCCTCATTGATCTTTCACAGGGTCGCCTCGCTCGGTTCAATTGCAACCCCGACGCCAAGGCCCCTACACATCGCATTCCCATACAGATAACTGTAGTTGACAAGCGAGATGGTTATTGTAAGTTCCCCGGAATATCAACAGCCCCCGAACGATCGTCCAACTCACATGTGTAGTTCATTTGATCGGATCCCCCAAGGCCCTGGCTTGTGAAAAGTTCGCGTCCGAGGCATGGACTCGCTTCCAAGATATTCCCGGATTGAAGCATCCAAATCTTAGTTTTATCCAGGGAAGCGTCAGTTCGCTTGATTTCAAGGCTAAAGTCGCCCATATTATCGATGCGGAGACTAAGTCCAGCCGATCGGAGCCCTATGACTACTTGATTGCAGGATCGGGACTGCGTCGGTCCTTCCCCACTGTTCCTCAGTCCTTGCGGCGAGATGAGTTCCTCAAGGAAGCCAGAGAACATATGTCACATGTGAAGAACGCCCGTGATGGAGTCGTTATTGTCGGTGGAGGTATGTGTTGTCCGCCACTCTGTGCTCTTTTCACCCCGGCTAATGTCCCTTTCTTTCGTAAACAGGTGCTGTGGGTGTGGAGATGGCTGCCGAGTTAAAGATCCTTAACCCAGAGCAGAAGGTCACCCTGATCCACTCTCGAAAGCGCTTGCTATCCTCGGAGCCGCTGCCAGATGAATTTGCCGAGCGCGTAGATTCTATATTGCGCGACACGGGCATCGAGGTCATCCTAGGGCAACGCGTTATCGAAACAACTGCTGTAGACACGAAAACTGGGGGACGGGTCTGGGAACTCACGCTCAGCGATGGTCAACAACTCAAAACTGGGCATGTCTTGAATGCCGTCTCTCAAAGTATCCCAACATCGACATATCTGCCGAAAGAGACATTGAACGAGGAAGGATACGTCAAAGTGCATCGCTCGTAAGGCTATTTCCTGAACCAAGTTGCTCACGTAACATTGTTAATATCTCTGCAGACTACAATTCTCCGGTGCTATCCCTAACGCAGAGTATCATTGGGCAGTAGGAGATATTACAGCGTGGGAAGGTATCAAGCGCTGTGGTGGTGCAATGCATATGGGCCATTACGCCGCGATGAACATTCATCAGCACATGATGGCAGAGTGCACTGGTAGAAAGCCAGACTATCAGACCCTGGAGCCGTTCCCATCTGTGATGGGCCTAGCTCTTGGCAAAAAGGCTGTCTGTTATACCCCGGACGAGGGCACACGTGAGGGCGAAGACCTGATGAACACCCTGTTTGGCAAAGATATGGGACATACCAGTACGTCTTTATCTGAAAACTATGGAATCAAAGCTAACCCAATTTGCAGTTTGTTGGAACTATATGCGTCTCGGTGAGGCATGCTAAGCGTGGCTTAGTAGGTTTGGAATGAATGCGTTGTTCAGGGTATTTTTGTATATTATTGAGTTGGTATACCACGAGCTTTGGTTTTTCTGGGCTAGCTAGAGTTAGATTTGACGAAAGTTGATCTCCGTAATATAAGTCAATATATGACATTCAATCTCACTAGCATCTTCACAAGTCCGGCTTCATTCTTCCCATTGCCTACCAAGAGCTTAGACCTCTTCCTCGGATTGTTTAAGAAGCTTGTTTGAGATTCGAAGAATAAAATATGAAAGTTTGTGATATTGAGAGTATTGGAGAGTAATGGAGAGTGTTTGAGAGTATTTGAAGCGGATGGTCCAATGTTGAAATCCGGGGAAAATATATGCACTTCCGCAGTATTCGTCCAATAGGATACATTCCATCTATAGACCCTGTACTTTGTACAAATATATAAAATTCGTATAGATGATCTACACCAATAATAAGGATTACTACAATTATAAATCTCATACAAAATAATGAAAATGCTTAGAAATCGGGTTCCACTTGGTTCTACCCCATTCCTTGGCTTCATAATAAAACCCCTCCATTGAATTTGTGTTTACTCTATACACATCATCCATATCCACAATGGCACCATTCGGCACAATCTACTCTTACCAGCCCAGTCCCCGGGTCATGAAGGTAAGGATCTTGAACTCTATCCAACTCTGAACCAACTAACCCCCACACTATAGGCCCAGGCTGTGGCCAACCTGAACGGCCTGGAGCTGGCGGTTCCGGAATTTGCCATGGGCAAGACCAACCGTACCCCGGATTTCCTGTCCAAGTTCCCATTGGGCAAGGTGCCCGCCTTTGAGGGTGCCGATGGAACAACTCTATTCGAGTCAGACGCCATCACCCAATACATTGCCGAGAGCGGCCCGGCTGCCGAGCAGCTCCTTGGAGCCACCCCCGCCGAGCGTGCCACTATCCGCCAGTGGATCTGCTATGCACAGGGTGAGATTCTGGACCCTGTGACCCAGCTGGCGCTGTGGCGTCTCGGTATCCGTCCCTACGATGAGAAAATCGAGGTGGCCAACCTCGAGCGTCTGGAACGCTCGCTACAATGTCTGGAGACTCACCTCAAGGGCCGCACTTGGTTCGTGGGTAATGACAAGCTTTCCTTAGCCGATATTACAGTCGCTTCTGCCTTGGTCTGGGGTTTCTCCATGGCCATCGACGCTGAGATGCGCCCGAAGTACCCCTCTGTTGTTGCCTGGTACGAGAGATTCCTCGAAACCGAGGGCATCAAGGAGGCATTTGGCGAGAAGAAATACGTTGAGAAGCGGTCAAGCTCCCTAGGCGTGGCGCTCTGATTAAATAACTTAGCATTAGTATCCGATCAGAAAATGAATTAATATACTAAGATATTATATTCGGGTTCACGAAACATCTAGTCATATAGAACGAAAGAGACTACAGAATCTTGCTAGGGATATCAGAACGTATTAACGACTTGGCTTTGACAGTCCAAGTGGAACAATGCATATGGACAGGAAGAAAATAAAATAGATATTCCACGGCCATCCCATCACAGACGAGCCATCACACTGCCTTCACCTCGTACCGTTCCCATCGCCCGCGCGAGGTTTCGGCTAGCCCAGTCGGCGATCGCCATGTTGGTGATCATTGGGTTCACGCCGCTAGCACTAGGGAACACAGACGCATCCACAACATATAATCCGTCAGTGCCCCAGACTTGGCAATCTGGGTCCACAACACCTAATTTAGGTGACTTGCTCATGCGGCAGGTACCCATTTGGTGTGCGCTGGCAAACAAACCACGCTCCACGTTCAAAGGGGACTTCCCACGAAGCTCCGCAATCCAACTCTGCAGGGCCGCATCGTTGATGCCTTCAGGGGCCTCGGGGTCCGAAGCATCTGGCCGGATGAATGGGGGAAGGTCGCGGTACGCGGTATGGAACTCTTTGGCGCCTGTGATATACGCAATCTTGGCGCTAGCAATGATGGCCTCCACAATGTGTTTTCGGTCAAAGGCGGAGACGGTGTAATCAATCCGGCACCGTCCATCAACGGGATCAGGGTAAACACGACCGGAATCGCGGTCTTTAGTTAAGGTGATGAAGCCAGTGCTGCGACGCAGCTTGGCTGCCCACAGCTTATACTCCAATGAGTCTCGCCATGGGAAGATGGGAATAAACAAGGAGGGCATCATTGAGAGAGATTCAATCTTTACGCCGTGTCCAGCTCCATCAAGGTCCTCAAACTCATTGACAACCGTTGTCAGTGCAGAGCCTTCCCAGGGACGGGTCTCCTCATCAAAGACAGCACCAGCTGCCATAACTGTTTAAGAAATAGTTAGTTCCTGTTGATATGCGCTGTCGATGGAAGTGAAGAGGTCTTACCAGGGTGAAGATAAAGGTTTCGACCAATCTGGGAATTCTTCAAGCCACTACGCAGTAGCAAAAGAGGGCTTTGCAATGTGCCAGCTGATACAACTACTTTCTTAGCCTTGATGATCACCTTACGCTCCACGGCCTGGGTACCACTGAGACCCAAGTATGAATCACGCGACTTCCATGTTCCTTTCACGCCAGAAGCCACCTTTCTGCCCTTGACGTTGGTGAATAGCACTTTTTCGGCACAGAATCCTTCCATGAATTTCGCACCGGCCTGGGCCGCGTCCATAAGGAATGACTCCGTTGGACCTTTCTTTCCACCTGAGGCACATCCCAACGTGCAATACCCACAGTAGTGCTTACCGTGACCCGTGTTTTGGGGCACTGTTTTGGCAGCATACCCCAGTTTCCTTGCGCCGTCAAGAATCACCCTATTCTGACGGTTATGCTCAACGTGGTCCTCGTTAACACCCATGCGCTCACAGACACGGTCCAAACTTTTCTGGAAGTCGAGGGAGGTGAAAAAAGGAAGACCAGTATCTGCCCATTCCTGTCGGACGTACCCCTGGGTCTGTAGAGATGCCGACCAGTTAATGGTACCACCGCCACCCCACGTTGAGCCTGCTAGGACTGCCATTGAGCCATCATCAGTGGAGACAGCACCGCCGTTCTCAAACATGTTAGTAAATCCATCACTCGGGGTCATGGGAAAGGTGTCGGTCGGATAGGAATAGGATTTTTCCACAACTAGCACCCGAAGACCCGCTTCGGCTAGGTTCTTTGCAGCCACGCTGCCGCCGCAGCCACTTCCGACGATAACGACGTCGGTTTCAATCGTTTCTGGCTTGTCCCCAGGAGTAAATTGTAAGAACTCATACTGGAAACCGTCGGCGGGTTGGCCATGAACAGGGATACGTGGGAACCCGAGGACTGGGCCTATGGTTGGACTGCTGCTAACCCAACACTTCTTAACCATGGCAGTGAGTCCTCGATAGATGGCGCGGAGAGGGGGCAATCGAGAGGTGTCCCATCCACGTAGGACCTTTTCCCGGAATTCCACCGGTTGGTCCTGGATCGGAGTGATAGACCCCGTCATAATCAGGGAGCCGGCACGGGTGTTGAGCGCTGACATGATCATCCCAAACCCATTCCTTCCCTCATCATGCACATGGTTCCCCAAAATTCGCTCCACTGTGGCCCGGAATATCGGGTTCTCGGAAACATTTTCTTGCAGATATTGGGTAGCAATATTTACGGCGTCGGGTCCAGAAATGTTGGATGACAAGCTTGACACGGCAGAATTCCACTCCGCATCTGAAACCACCCGGTCATTTGATGACTTGACAGTTGCTGCAGTGTGGATGGAGGGCACAACTGCGTCAGCTAGCGCATAAAGGGTCTTCCACTGCAGCTCCGAGAAGTAAGTGGCCGAAGGCACTGGTGGAGAAGGGACGTCCTTTGGAGTGTACGTAGACACAGCGTGAGTTGCCATATTTCCAACCAAAACAAAGCTCTTGTAGATCAAACTCCAATGGTAGAGGAATGAGAAAAGTTAGAAATGGGATTGTGGAGCAAAGACAGAAGAAGTCCGCCTGGATACGGGGTGTCAGGGATTATAATAAGCTAGCTCGACAAGGTCCCACTATGACACCAGCTGCATAGTCATAGTTCAAGCAGTCCATCTTTAGCGATGAAGAGAGGGGAGGCCCTATCATGCAACGGTCATGCGACTATCGGCCCTTTCAGCCCTCGTAACTCAAAGGCAACAACCCAAAATCTGGGGGGGTGAAGCCTCGGTTGAGTGGAGATGTGATGGGCATGACTTTGGGATCATTGTAACGGTGGGGTCTTTTGATTTGCTGTCAACCAGTCAAGACCGTGTAAATCTTCATTGCCTGACAATTCCAGGGCCTTAGTCCCCAAGTTTCCACACTAAAGAGGAAGATCCCCTCTTTCTCCAAGAAATCAGGGGCTTTGCGGGGAAGATAGCCGAGTTTCGCCATGTGAGAGAGGTTTTGAGAATTGCGTATTCACAGTCAGATTGAAGTTTGAAATAAGTTAAGCTTGAAGCAAGTTCAAGATGTCAAGGGTTCAAGTATTCAAGTCAAAGTTGTGAATAATCTTTGTTGTTTAGTGTAGTTGTAGGCAAAATTGTAACTTCTCCGCCTCCGACCTCCTTTCTCAAAACACAATGGATTTACGTACTCCCTCTCGGGGTAAATGTAATTTACCTAAAGAGAAAGTCTTCTCTATCCAAATAGGTTCCGAGATATTTCGTCTCTCGGGTGCTTCAATCGCCTCTGATGGTTAGTAAACGTGTTCGTTCCCTCTTGACTTGCATTGACCCCTTCCAATAGCTCCATCCTACTTTTCACGCTTTTTCGAGGATCAATTGCTTCAGAATCAAGATGCTGCTAATATAAGGACCCTCTATATCGACCGCGATCCTGCGACATTCCGCGAGATCGCTAGGCATCTACAGGGTAAGAGAGTCCATGGATAAGCACAACGTGATGGAGACTGATGGACGCAGGCTACCATGTCCGGCCCCAGGATGGCGCGCAATTCGTAAAACTATTTGCAGATGCGCAATTCTATACATGTGAGCATTCTCCGTCGAGGTACCGTGGGAGTAATTGCTGACCCAACAGTGCCCCGATTGATGTCTCAGCTGTTCGAGTCTGAATGTTTTATTCAAATCGGCGACCGCCACTTCCAGATCCCTCGTGATATCTTCTCAAGTCCCGGTGACAGTCCAAACTTTTTCACCCTCGGATTCGCCGCCTTCTTTGCTTCCCCGACTGAAGTGTTCCCGGGCCTAGACCGCCAGGGTCTATTGCGACCTCCGGCTATCATCCCCCCAAGCGTTCCGAACCGATCCGCGGATGTCTTTGATGAGCTCCTGCATCTCCTGCGCGGGTATCCACTACATATTAGAAACGAGGACCATCGGGCTTCGCTCCTGCGCGACTGTCGCTACTTCCACCTGCGCGGCTTGGAACAAAAGTTGATACCGCATCAGATAACCACGAACCCCTTCAGCCATCGTGTAGAAATCACCATCCGGCTCGAGGATGTGCGACCTTCTGGGATTCAGTTTGCATTTGATACAGTTTCTGGGTCGCCTGCAGCGGGTGGAAATGTCACATACATGCGCCCTTTTGTAGACGAGAAGGCAGCCGATCTAGTGATTGAGATCGGCGACGAGTCGAGTCTGATCCATAAAGGGAGCATGCGTGCTGACTTTCTAGGTCTTTCAAAGCAAAGAATTACTAGTCTGTTGCAGACAGTAGGCAAAAAAATGAACTTGCCTGCTTCACATCCACCATTGGGTCAAGTTCCAATCAAGGTCCGTGTCGACCGTGAAACTGACCTCATGGTGGATGGAGACCCAGACCCTCAGCACCTGATGATCCTGAGAGCCAATACCGAATCTGACGATGGTGTGCCTCCGGCTAAACGTCCACGGGTCGATACTACGGACGATAGGCCTTGGGTTGTTCGGACGGGACAATGGCGATTGCAAGCGCAGAAAGGGCTTACAGGGACATACGAGGTTGTCCTGGCTGCTGTCAAACTGGACGTATATACCAGTCCACAGGTCCGAAACCGGTCACGAAATTTCCTTTAGTCGCCTGTACGTCTATTCAAATATTAAACTGCATAAACGCCAGAAGACACGAATGTATGATATGAAACAGATGCCCTCGGGAATCGGTCCAGGTTGAGCAACTTGCATTAATATAATTTTGTCTAATCGGAGAATCCTCCCCACTCTTCATCGTCTTCGTCTGCATCTTTTTCATCTTCGTCGCTCTCATCACTCTCGCCGTGCCCACCATGCTCATCATTTCCACATTCCTCCTCCAAAGGGACTGTGACAGCAAGACTAGGGTCACGAACGAATCCAGCGACGAAAAATCCTCCCAGGCCCTCTGCGTCACCTTGCCAGGACCGGATACACGCTTCTAGTGATTCGTCGGAGAGATCTACCGAGCCCGATGGCCCTGTTTCTCCCTCAGCTGGCCGCTCCTCGCGCACACCTCGTTTCGTCCATCGACGCAAGCCATCGGGCTGCTCATCGCGGCGCAGGAGGCGCCAGCCGCGCTCCTTGGCAACCTGAGAATTTAGAATGCGAGCCACGACGCCCTCATTCTCAATCAGGTGAATAGAACAAGTACTGTACGTCACATGGGTAGCATTCGGGAAACTGAGAGCGTGTTCAACAATCCGCGCTTGGATGCTTGATAGTTTAGTCAGTCGCTCTGGGTCGATCGCCCCATCCGCGATATCATTTTCATCTGTGGGCTCTGCCTGCGGAGTTCCCATGGTGACTTTCGACTGCTCGCCACCTGCTTCGTCTTCATTTTCCGGACGCTTCCTTTTCTTTCCATGTGACTTAGGCGCCTTGTACGCTGCCGCGGCGGGGAGTGTGAATTGAGGGACATCGTCACGGCCGATGATTCCGCTACCAGAACAACTGGGATCCAACAACAATCCAGTAACCTTCTCAAACCTTTCATCTTCTGGGTCAAGGGCGAGGAAATCCTGACCTTGCAGCACAGTGACCGAGTCAGCACCGGCCAGACCAACCATTTTCTGCAGTGTTCTAGACCGCATGGTAGATGCATCCATAGAATAAATTCTCTGGTTTCTGTTCTTGCTACCATTTTGTTGCTTAGCCATAAGCGAAGCCAGGTGCGTAGTCTTGTTCCCTGGGGCAGCACAGCCATCAACCAAGTCACCCTCCCATGCGTCGCTAGGCCCGCGGTCACCCAACAGGAGATATGCGGGGAAGCAAGACGCTTTATCCTGGAGAATGATTTCTCCGTTTTTGTAGGCCGACGAGGAAGTAAAGTCTGCACCAAAAGGTACCGCCACCAAATCCGGAATATTAGGATCAATGAACAGTCTCGGCTCTGGCTTTCGGCTTTCCAGCTCGTCTTCTGGAGCCAATTCTGCAAGACTGTCTACCCGACGATAAGACTTGAACGTAGTGCTCAGCTGGTCTTCAAGTGTAGTGCGGATGTTATTGATGCGCACCCAGCGCGGGTAAACGAAATGACTGGTTCCATCGGCCAGTCGTTTCTCGCGCATGACAACAGCTTTGAATTGCTCGACGGAGGCGCACCCACGACGGATACGGGCCTTGGTGAACTCGGCCTTTAACCTGGCCTTATGACGCTCCACGGTCTGGCGGAGTGTGTGGGTTGCCGGCGCGGCAATGCCCTTCTTCGCGAGTAGATGATCATGGACGAGTAGGAGAGCGAGTAGGGGAGAGAGCTATATAGAAATCACTTAGTCAGTCAGTAGGTATCTTAGTGGTTTATCTGGAGTCATCTCACCTTGCGCTCCAAGGCGAGAATGCCTGATTTGTCAATGACATCTGCCAGGACGGTGTCCCATTTGGCAGCCTCGGTGATCAGCGCATAGAGCTGTGCTGGAGATGCGCGCAGGTTCCGAGCACTGTAGATCCGCGACTTAAACGAGCCGCCCGATGAGGGCGCGGTCAAGACAGCGACCGCATCAAAATAGAGGGACATTGGGTGAATGGGATGTTGGTCGGAGAAATTGAAGATTTTCACGGTCAATTTGATATTTTGATGTTGTTTGTTTTGTTTGCATCGGATTCTATACAGATAGGAAACATGAGACTATACAACAGTCATGACTTATTATATTGCCTCTCAGATATAATAGACTCGCTACGATAAGACTATAGTTTCTTCATCTTCAATTATAACCAGATCAACGATGAATAGCGTTCAATGTCTTGTCGCTGATCTCGACGGGGCCCTATATATTTGGAGCTGCCCCTCTGTTATGACTTTTGACTAGTTCCACTCCAAATTTCCACTACAATTACCATTGAAGACACCTTGCCATTCAATCTCCCATTACCAAGCAGAATGGCACCAAAACCAACGTTCAGCACTTCAATACAGCCCCCACCAGGACCCAACGCAAAGCTAGTCCTCCCATCCAAAACTAGCAACACCAACCCCACTATCTTCAACGATGCAATGATAATCCGAAAGTCCGTCTTTATTGACGAGCAGCACTGCAGCGCGGACTCCGAGATCGACACTGACGATTGCCGCAGCTGGCACTGGGTCCTCTACGACAACTCCACCGCGACATCCACGCCGGTGGGGGTGATCCGCCTGGTGCCCCCGCCGCAGACGCCTCATGCTCATCTCACGGAACCACCGGCGGCAGTTGCGCAGGGAGGCCCCGAATATGACTGGGCGCACGAGCCCTGTATCAAGCTGACGCGGGTGGCGATCATGCCGTCGTCCCGGGGCCTCGGACTTGGGCGACGATTGGTGGAGACGGCGCTGGAGTGGGCGGCTGTGCACGCGGCAGATATAGACGAGGCTGCGGCACAGGTCGCTGCGAGGGGGAACTCACCTGTTACTCCGGCTCCGTGGCGGGGTTTGGTTCTTGTTCATGCTCAGGTGGATGTTGAGGGGATGTATGCTGGGCTTGGATTTGAGACGGATCAATCGCTGGGTCGGTGGGATGAGGAAGGTATTGAGCATGTGGGTATGTTCCGGCGAGTGACTTTGCATAAATAAGGATCTACAGGGATACAGAATACCCGGTCATACATAGTCTACGGAGTACGAGTAGAGGAAAAGCTCAAGGTTCAATATCAATGGATTCAACTAGGCCGAATTAGATCGAGCTAGATATCAATTGGGGGAATTGCAAATTGCACAGTTTCCCCTAGGCATGGATCCGAGACCAGTAAAAGAAACATCGAATGAGATGTCCGCGCAAAGAAAAACCGACGGGGTATCCTGATCAACGCGAAGCAACAAAGGCAGAAAAAAAGAAATCAGAAAGCAACCGGGTCGCTAGAGACTGATGACAATCCTCTAGGACGATGCAAAGCCACATGACTGCAGAAAACAAAGAGACAACGCCCAAGGCCCAGGGCCTGTCAGAAACGCCGAAGCCATGCTCGCCAATAACAGAGAGAAAAGAAGTCCACACACGAGCATGACTTGATAAAGTGAAAAGGGTATGAAAAGATCAAATAAAACGCCGAGCTGTGCCATGCTAGCCACAGTAACACAAGGAAACAGGGCAATGCATTTAGAAAGTGCTCCAGTTCCAGTCACGAGGAACGGAGGCAGCGACCTCGCTGGTTGGACCCACGGTGGATCCGGAAGCCTGGTCGGCGTTGTTACCCTCGGACTCGGGAACAGAGACGCCAGTCTGCTGAGCATCCATGTTGTTCTGTATCTTGTTCAAACGGTCGGAGCGGCTCTCTTCCCAGCGCTGATGGGCGCTCCAGCACAGATCGCAGGCACGGGAAGGGACACCATCAGGGTGGAAGCGAGCATCCTGGTCAAGAGGAACGAGATGAGGTGTGTGGGAGGCGCAGAAGACGTGGCCACAGTGACGGCAGTGGTGGCGACGCAGGAAGATGCCAAATGAGGAGCGACAAGTCGGAGCATCACAGTTGGAAGAAGCAGAGTCAGCCTGTGAAATCAAGTTAGCAAGGGTGCCAAGACAGTGATCAATGCGATTAAAGGATATGTGGCTGGGATGTCACAGGGTTGAGGTGGACTGCAGCACGCCATTTCCGAGGAATGACGAGCTCACACGACATTTGCTTGTACAACTGCGCAATCCAGGTCGAACCCAATCCTATAAAGGTGCCGAAGGAAGGAGAAGAAAGGAACTTTTTTTTCCTCGAGATAACTTACTTTCCAGTGTGAACGGGTCGGAAGACCGCTCACCACACCCAGGTGCTCATTCTTCATCCACTCATGCTGTGCGCTCTGACTGATTTCGCTGGACTGGCTCTCCATGGTGGAGCGACGGCTAATAGGTTCCGTGTCCTCGTTCAGGCTGTCGAGTGAGCCATGCACGCTGCGGGGTGGGGTAATAGGAGACGATTTCTGGGGTCGCTGAGTGGGTCGTAAAGCTGCAGGGACGTAGAGAGGACCCTTGAGAGGACGCAGTTGGCGCGACTGCAAAGGCAGTTGGTGCAAGGAAGCGGTAGCCATGCGAGGGGAGGTGGGGGAGTTGTTGGAGGGAGTATTGGTGGCGGAATTGGTTGGGGATGGTTGACCATAAACCGCAATTTGGTTGGCAGGGTTGGTCAAAACGTGAGTAGCCATGATGAAAGGTGAGAGATTGGATTTGAGAAAGAGGAGGTAAGAGTGTTAAAAGGCAAGAAAGTGCCCGGATACCGAGGGGCAAAAGGAGTTCAAATAAATCGAAGTACACACAGGGCCGGGGAAGAGGCAAAAAAATGGGTGGATTGTGAGTGGCCGAGGTTAGTGGAGACTCGGAGTAAGAGTTATGGAGTACGAGAGTGGGTTAAGGGAAAACAGTAGAAAACAGTCAAGAGAAGAACACAAGAGCTCTGGAGATTATAAGAGATTAAATAAAAAGTTAATGGAAAGGAGGTGAAGGATTGCTATACTACTCTGTGATAGTGTTACCTCACGGTACATTATAGCGTTGGAATTATGTCTTTCCCTACTACTTTTGGGTACTTAGCGGTACTACACTTCCGCAGCCAAGTAGGCGCTAAATACTAAGTAGCCCGTCTTTTTCCACGTACATGAATGTACATATTCCGTACTCCAACTCCTTACCCTTGTACGTACTTTTTTTCAATCTAGTTCCCCGATATGAAATCATAATCTAGACGGTATAAGATCTTAACGCTTTCTTTTGACCGCTATTTTCTTATTCAGACCGGTTTTCTATGAAGCCGTGACAGGTTTCCTTTTGCGGGCACTCCACTCCGCAACGGGTCCTATTCCGTATTTATTCTATATACTCGGTATAGTATTCTAGAAAAAAACAACATAACGGAGTAATTACCTAGAACGACATTTACTTCCGTATATAAAATAAATAAATATACCGACATTTGTAAATCCAAGACAACGGGACGAAAAAAAAAAAGAGGCAAGGAAATCCTTAGGTTTACTAGTATGAAGCTAGTGACCAATCAGGCTGTTCGTGGCGTCTCTTCTTATCATCGAGTTATGATTGGTGCATTTACATCTGGATCATCCTATTGGTTCCCCATCCATCAAGGGTCGGAGCCCCGCGGAAGTCTGAGATGGAAATATCCAATCAACTCGTGGAGAATGGAAATGAAATAAATTAAATAAATAAAAAAAGGTAATCATCCAGAAGGAACAGAAGGAAGTGGGCATTTCGAAGGTTTATTGTATGTAATAGGCTTAATAGCCCTAGAGGCTCCGTATAGACTGTCTATACGAACCGTTGAGAAATTGCTTTGGTTTCAGAATATGCGCATAAGCCAACCACCTATGTTGTACATATTCTACCGAGTACGGAGCACGGAGTATGTCCTATATGCCACATCCCATTAAGATCTCTAGGTTACCTATATCTTCAAATGCGGGAGGTTACAGAGATCTGGGGTATGGAGTAACCTGGAGAGGCCGCTTGCAGTCATCAACCATGTCGTCATGACTTTGTTATAGTTCACACATCCCAAACCCTCATCACAACACATACGCCATCATGAAGTTGGCCGTCTTTAGTGCCAAATCCTACGATCGCACCTACCTAGATCAGGTGCGAGATCAGCACTTTCCGCAACTATGTACCATCGAGTACCATGCCTTCGCTCTATCTGAGGAAACCGTACCCCTAGCCCAAGGTTGCGATGCAGTCTGTGTCTTCGTCAACGACACCCTAGACGAGCCTGTGCTGAGAGCCCTCCATGCATACGGGATCCGTGCCATCTTGCTCCGCTGCGCGGGATTTAACCATATCCACCTCGCAACTGCCGAGGAGCTAGGCCTCTTCGTGGCGAATGTGCCGGCATACTCTCCGGAAGCCGTGGCCGAGTTCGCCGTGGCTTTGATTCAAACCTTGAATCGGAAGACTCACCGCGCATACAATCGTGTACGCGAAGGTAACTTCAACATCGAAGGTCTACTGGGAAATACCCTGCATGGCAAAACCGTTGGGATCATCGGCGTGGGGCGCATCGGGCTTGCCGCCGCACGCATTTTCCACGGCTTCGGGTGCCGACTACTTGCGCACGACCCCTTTGCCGGCGAAGAGTTCCGACAGTACGGCACGCTAGTGGATCTCGATACCCTGCTGAAAGAATGCCACATCGTTAGTCTGCATTGTCCTCTCACGGACAGCACGAAGCATCTCATCAATGAAAAGACATTGGCGCTCATACGACCGGGTTCTTTATTGGTCAATACCTCACGTGGTGGACTCATAGATACCACGGCAGTCGTCCAGGCGTTGAAGACGAAGCGGCTGGGTGGGTTGGCGTTGGATGTCTATGAAGCTGAAGGCGAACTGTTCTACAACGATCACTCCGGTGAGATCATTGAGGACGACTTGCTGATGCGCCTGATGACCTTCCATAATGTCCTGATCTGTGGTCACCAAGGGTTCTTCACGACCGAGGCCCTCGAGGAGATTGCTGAGGTCACACTCGGCAATCTCTCTAATTTCGTCTCGGGCGTCTCTTGTAAGAACTCCCTGGTCACTGAGGGACATTTATTAGTTCCGCTTGACAAAGAACCGGTGAGACTGTAAAGGAAGTTTGAGAAATATATATGGATATAGCGTCCATGCATTGATATTTTGGCCAATGTACTAAACCGAACACTTTCTTAACCAAGATATCATTCATCAATATTAATTATGTAGGTGTTGACTGGTATCAATATACCGGGATACATTTCAACCGCGCAATGGACGAGTGCCCTGGAATTGACCCTGAACAGCTCGTCCTGCTCTGGGAAGGAAATGATTTCCATGAACGATTAGTGGAACCACAGATATCAACCACATGAAATAGATAATCCCCACAGCAAGCAGTAGGCAAAGCTGCTCAAAGACCCATCCAATTAGCCCGGGTCGAGGAATTCTCCGAGAACCCTGCGATTCCTGATCGGTATACGACAATGCCTCGGCCATTTGCCACGCTGCTTGGCAGTTGATCTTCTCCCAGGTGGTATCATCCGCGTACTGACGTGCCGCCACCGCCAGGTTTGCTCGCCGTATTGGGTCGAGGGAAATCTCCTTTACTGAATGAACAAAACCCTCAAGATCATGCGGCGGAACCAGATAACCAGTTTGTCCATGACGGATAATATCAGAGGGCCCGCCCTGATCCCGCGCGATGGCAGGAACACCACTGGCCATGGCCTCTAGGACCACCAACCCAAAAGTTTCCGTTATAGAACAATGAAGGAACAAATCGGCAGACGCATATGCACGAGACAATGCAGTCCCAGTGAGAACCCCAGTGAAGACGACGTGGTCTCGAACACCGTCAAACAGGCGCTGGACTTTATTCTCAATATCCAGATTGCGATTCCCGCCAACAATCAGCAGCTTGAATGGTAGCTTGTCTGCGGCTAGCTGTTTCGCGACCTGCGCGAGGAATTCAAATCCTTTCTCTGGGGCGATACGGCAAACGCATATCAAGATGATTTCGCCATGAGGAGCAATATGACGGCGATATAACTCGTCCCGCTGTGTCGGCGAGAAGAGAAGCGTGTCAACACCACGACCTAGCTGAACGAGTCGATCGACCGGTATATGCGCACGTTCCAAATATTTGCGGATCGCAGAGCACGGATAAAAGATGGTGTGTACAGCGCGGGTGCGGAACAGAAATCCCTGGACTGATGCTAGGAGCCATACGCCGAATTTGTCCAACGGTGCCGGCAACATGATTTCCGCATAGGCGGACAGATCTGTCTGGAAGTTAAGTACGACCGGCGGAGGCGACCGCAGTTGGCGGATTTGCAACAGCATTTGGAAACCAAGTGAGGCCGGGCTGGCGAGGTAGATGATGTCTGGCTGGAAACACTTGCTGAAGAGATCATTCAAATGGAACGGATAGACGACTGTGAGATCCGGATTATAGGGCAGTGCACATCCAGGCAGACGGCGCTCCCATGTCTTCTGCTTGGGTTGACCTTTGAAGTTGGGCGCGACGAGAATAAGTTCCATCCCGTTGTCAAGCAGATACTCGACCAGACTGCGCGTCGTGCGACTCACTCCGTTCACAGGGCCCCATGATTCTGTAGCAAAGAGGATCTTTTTACCACGCAGGATACTGGGGAAGTCGAGATAGAAACCCTTGCCCTTCACGCCCTCCGAAGAGAGGAGAGGTGTGGATTCGGCCATTTTGAGATATGAACCTGATATTTGAGTAGTCTTGGAACGCGAACCTGTTTTGAACCCGATTTCTTTATCTTAAAGGTCAACCCTTCGAGATATTCAAGTACACGGGGTCTGAACTATACGCCGATCTATGCACGTGCCCTAACTGCTCGCCGAGGATCGTTGCTTAGTGGCCAGTCGCAGTTCACGATGCGCCGCGTGCACCAGTTCGACCTTTTGGGACGCACAATTTGAATTTGGATGCGGGGGATAAATCATTATGGGTGTGGCATCAAAAGACAAAGCTTCATTATCCCTCTTATCATGCTTTGAACTATATTCCCTGATAAACCCTTGACTTCTCAAACATAGACGAGAAGGCAAGCTTTAAGTTCCAATAATTATACCCTTATAGATTATATAGATTATGTAGATTCCTTGGCTTGTAATTCAAGTTTCAAATCTACTTCTTCTGACCGATACTTCTGACCCTCATGAGCTCTTTATAGTTCACCATTGTTAATATTATCCCTGGAGGCCTAGGAAGGTAATTATGACTTTTAACCTGTATATATTCCAGCTTCTGCTACAACGCACAACTATTCTGCACTCGAAGCTAAGCTGTGTGGGTATCCCCCTATCCACATTCTGTGCACTTTTCTACTTACGAATTACACTAACATGAACTCAGAACATGGTGCCTAACTACGGTTCCTCTTTGAGAATTTCGTTGCTGGGATTTAGATACGTTGCGAATGTTCGATACCTTTGGACACTTCAAACCCGTTAGGGTATATCAACGGACGGACAGACAATTTTAAGCCCGGAAGGAATCTTCAAATACCTTGGTGTTGGTGCTGTGGCATCAATCGCCTGGTGGTGGCCTTGGTGGTCCCGGCCGTGGCGGCAGTCAGGGTGCTGTCCAGGGTGCCACCAGCCGGGAGGTGGCTTCATCACTGCCAGGTGGTACTCCTGCCCGGCCCGTTAATGAATATCTCGATATTACCGATGCCGTCTATGTGCCTGCTCATGCCCTTGATACCAAATAGTGGCCCTGGTCACGATTCTCCCTCTAGGGTTTGCTTCTCGAGTTGGATGAGAGGTGTTGCCATACTGCTAACGTTGTATAGTATGCAAGATATGAGAAAGTGCCCCCGGGGCCTTGTTTGATTATCAGAATGGAATGGATTTTTGTGTGTATTCTCCGCAAAGGTAAATCCTTATTTCTGTAGCTACATGTAGACAGTGAATAGATGGTATGAAACTAGGAACTATTGTCATGTCCTACACTATATATATATCGAAGCCTGGAATATCTGAGCATAATGCTCAGGTATAGTGGTCTTTTGGCCTAGTGTGTAACTCGCCAGTCCAGGGGTGGGTTGTAACAACTATCGGCCTTTTGCTCTTGCTGTGTCTTCTCCCTTGTTCGGCTCAACACATGTATCTACACACTTAGCAGTATTGAAAAGGCAATTGTAATATAATCGATTTACAAAAGGAGTCATGGCTCCTAGGTAACTCCTTGTCCGCGATAGGTAGAACGACTCTACCCACCGAATTCTTAGTTTATATACAGCCGATCAAGCCTCGGCAGTACGAATATCGATGTGCATAGGCCTCCGAAAAGCAGGTGGAAATTGGGAGTAGTAAAATATAGACCTAGATGGAATTCTGACTAGGCTAGTCCATGCAATTTGGGTGATCATGGTAGAAATCCATAGTAGTCTAGTATATCTTCGCATTTAATTGTAGAATACGTATACTAACCTTGGGATGCTCGCATCTAGATATAATTAGATATCTAATGTTATACTTAGAAAAGTCCATTCAGAAATTATGCCTTTTCCTTTTTCTGCCGACCTATATAACTGACACATAAATAGAATGATGCCTGAGACCACCCAAAAGACCCCTCAAAAGACCAAATATCAGCCAAAAGGCATCACAAGACATATGTGACTATCGTGTTCAATAATAAGAAAACTCAAAGTACGAAGATCTCGGCCCTTTATCCCTTCTGGGAGGTAAAACTTGGAAGCCTCGGCTTCGGGTCAACATTGACATCATTTATGTGCAGGTTATTTAAAAGTCCTAGTTTCCTCTTTAATTTCATATTATATTACACTATAACATTATGGACAATAATCAAGGTTGCAAGATTACTCTTTATTGGTACGCTTCCCTCCCAGTATCTTCAGACTCATGCTAACTCATATAGGCTCGAGCAATCTCGAAGTCACAGAATCCTTTGGCTTCTGGAAGAACTGCAGTTGAAATATGAGCTCAAGACCTTCAAGCGCCGCGCTGACAAGCTCGCCCCTGCTGAGCTGAAGGAGGTTCATCCGCTGGGCAAGTCGCCTTTGATCACGATCCAGGCACCGGGCGCCGAAAAACCGCTAGTTTTGGCTGAGTCTGGCGCGATCGTGGAATATCTCTGTGACCACTTTAGTAGCGCGCGACCGACCCTAGTACCACAACGGTACGCTCCCGGCAACGAGGGCAAAGTGGGCGGGGAGACCGAGGAGTGGATGCGCTATCGCTACTTCATGCACTATGTGGAAGGTAGTCTGATGCCTTTCTTGGTGATGACTCTGGTCAACGACTGTAAGTCAGCTTTTCTTTAAAATAGCGCAAGCACTATTGACATTCTCAACAGCTATTCGGAACGCGCCTCCATTCTTTGTTCGACCTATCACCAACATTGTTGCCTCACAAGTCGAGAATCAGTTCCTGACCCGCAATGTGGAAGGGAATCTTGCGTTCCTCGAGGAACAGCTCCGCACATCTCCCGATGGTGGCGAGTTCATTTGTGGCAAAGAGCTGACAGCTGCCGATATCATGTTGAGTTTCCCAGTCATTGCTGTTAACATGCGCATGTTGAAGGAGGAGAAGAACAAGGATAAATACCCTCTTATTGTCGCGTATGCCAATCGCCTCCAGAGAAATGAGGGGTACCTGCGTGCCACGAAGAAGGTTGAGGAGATTGAGGGAAAGTTCTCAGCTTCTATGTAATTCAGAGGCCAGGGAAAAGGCGCAATGGTTTTTGTAAATTATCAATGACCTCAGGTATTATTTATACCCCGTTGCGTGAGTGCTGAGATATGGAAGACATTTGGTTGGCGGATGATCCCGGATATGCTTGCACACCTCCACAACCAGACATCAATAATGAGAATATGCTACGAGGATAAGAAGGAATGAATAGAGATAGGAACACAATGAGGTGCATGTTTTCATCTATGCAATATATGTACAAGTCTATTTTGGTTTAAATAGTACCTCCAATGCCTCCAGGGCTACCTAGGTAGAAAAACTGATTACGTCATTCCGCTGATTCATCATCATGTGACCTTCAACTTCAATCCCGAAACGCTCACAAGCGTTGTCGATTCTGTGTCCACGCTTCAACGCTTCCCGCAACAATGGCTGGTCCTAGCAAGTGTGAGTTTTGAGAGTTCCATGAGTGCAGTGGCCTAAATTGTTAACCCATTGTCCAGCCCTGATCCTTGATCCGGCCCTCCAGAAATACTATGGTACATGTCCCCCAACCCTATCCTCCAGGATTCCGGATGAACCTCGCATATTACGCTGCACAAGCATACATACGAGCTATTTGAAGCAGCTCTCCCGAAATCAGCACCCCGCGACACGATATATGTACGATTGAAGATTGACTAACGGACCCACAGAACTCAATGCCAACCGTTACAAGTACTGGCGCTGGACCCCTCGCCATGCCATGCTCTCATTCGTCTACATGGGCGTGATCCCCGGCATCCTGACTTACTTCGCCTACAAGTACGAGGTATGGAAGAACCCATCGTGGTCGGATTGCGATTGTGGTCCAATTCCGCGGTGAAACATGCGCTAACAATATGCAGGGCAAGTTCGAGTTCCGTGGAAAGCGCAGGGGAGATACCATCGCCGAGTGGTAGATCTTTAGCGATGAATTCCATAATCCAATTCCCGTTTTGTTATCCACCCCCGAGAAGCGACTGTGACATGACGCGACATGGAAAACTACACACGGAGATGTTGGGGATACTCGTGTGTCGAGGGGATTTTGTTCGATAACTCTTTCCTTTTGTGCCGGTGCTCGTTGCGTGGGCCGTGTACTTTATTACAAGCATATACCGCATGGATTTCTTTATTTTGTTGACTTCGTCATGAAACTTGCCGTTTACTTCCAAGGACAAACATACAGTCTTGGAGTATCTACCCGAAAGACGAGCGTCTTCCATTTTAGTGGCTGCATGTTAGTATAGGGGACTTGTTATAGGCGTTTACTCGCCAGGTCGCCAGGTCATGGTAATATCTGGTAAGCAATTATGAAAAATTATAACAATGACTATTTGGCTTTGTAACTTGATATGCTCTAGTCCTATAGAATATAAGGACATCGCATATAGTTACCAAAGTATACATAGCTATATCATGAAGGGGCGTTACTCCTAGCTATGTACTTGTGGCGATTGAAGAGGCAGAAATCCTCGAAAGTTTAATAAAGTAGGTTTTCCTGCGGGAGTATGTATTGTTAAAATGCTGTAAAACGGAGCTATCGTGGCCTCTTGAGCAATGCTAGAGCACAGCGCACGAATGCTGAGGGGCACTATTCTTTGTATTTGTTTGATGGTGCTGATTCCATTGGCCCTAAACTAGATAATCATACAATGCCTCGACATGGGTATTCATCGCCCCCTTTTGACAAATTTGCTTTCAAACTGGATTTTCCTTTTGTGCTCTTCAATATGGTGCCCATCCACGACGGCCTCCGCGCCCACCCTCAGGCAATCGCTCACCACGATGCCAGTCACCTCGTGGCATATTGGGAGGTCCACCACCACCGCCTCCACGAGGACCACCACGACCAGGCCCACGAGGGTAGCCATTGTCCCGGAACGCGCGCATGCCACCACCTCCACCCCTGGGTCCTAGGATCGGACCTGACGCGCCATTGAGTGCCGGCGCAATAGATCCGTCCTCGAGAGGCGGGAGAATTGCGCATTCAATGTAGTCTCCAACGATGAACCGGGCATCCTGCAGAGGCCTATCGGCTTCGGAGCCCTGGAAACGGAGCGCGCCAGGGCGAGGTCGTGCTTCCTGCTTATCTTCGTCGTCATCTGCGCGCAATGGACTATCTCTCGGACCAACAATAACACTACCTAAATCCCTGCTCAAGTATCGGCCACGCGCATCAGGGCCGCCCATTGCCGCACCGCGCGCGTCGGGGTAAATCAGTCGGAAGCAGAGACGGGTGCCCACGGGAGGATCAGGGAGTAATGACGGTAGAGCAGAAGTGAGAAGCTGTGAGAGCTCCCGAAGTGTGCATGATTGCCATGTGTAGATCTCCAGATGTGGTGGGAGTGGCGCTGGAGATGCGACGGGTGATGTTGAACGAATGGCATTTGGTCCGCTGACCGGTCCTCCGCGGCGAGGGGGTGCGGGGATGCTGTAATCGGACAGTGGATTGTAGTTGTTAACTCGGTAGAAGAGCTTCAAGTGAAAAGGTGCAGTGGTTTGGCGATTGATCGAGGGTTTGGGGCCCTCTCGTGACGGAGCGGCCATGATGGATGGTAGGGTGAAAATCAGAGGTTGCAGTTCTGAGGACAGGGAAAAAACAGAAGAGAATGGAAGATGCGATGGCTTGGATGTAGATTAAAGCTTGGATAAAGGCCCTTGAAGGTAAATGCTCTGTGTATTTTGGGTTGAGGGGAGTTGACTAGAAGAGAACCCCAAATGCGGCGTGAAAGCTGCGGGTTCTCTGACGTGGAAGAACATTCTTTTCCTTCTGCCTCCACACCCCATCTTTGTTCTTTAACACAACTCTATCTTATTAATTGTTTATTTTAACTTGAGCTGCGTCACCCCGCCACCATGGATTTCGCCGCGTTGATGTCCAAGGAGATCTCCAAGGCCAAGGGTAGCGATGCCTCCAAGCCCTCGAAAGATACCGAAAAACCTTCCCCCGCAGCGCCAGCAAAGAAATACATGCGACGAGGCGATGTCGAAGCGGCCCGTATTGAAGCTTACAATCAAGAGCAAGAGCGGATTGCACGCGAACGTGAAGAGCGCTTGGCAAAGAAGCGCAAACTCGAAGAAGAAGAAGCGGATCGAAACCGAGAACGCGAGGAGAAGAAACGAAGACTAGCTGAAGAGTCTAAGATAAAGAGAGAAGCAGAAGAAAGAGCCAAAGAACGTGAACGGCGGCGAAGACTCGGTCTGCCTGATCTGCCTGAGAACCCCCCAGCCGATGGTGAAACGGAGGAAGATATTGAGGATGAAGAGCTTATTACGAAACTACGAGAAATGAATGCGCCAATACAATTGTTCGGAGAGGATCATGGAGCCCGTCTTCGACGATACCGTCGTCTGGTTCAAAAGGCCGCAACGCCCAAGAAGAAGGTCATCGATGGACCTATCCCCACCACCTTGGAGCCCGTACCTGGTGGACAGATGATCATCCCGGATAAGATCCCGAAAGACCAAGAGAGCCGTTTGTTCCTTTTCAGGCAGTTGGGATCTTACTTTAACATGGTTTTGTCGGAATGGGAACTGGCACTAGCAAAGCGCGACATCTCGGTGCGTGAAAGTTTCCAGGGAAAGCAAGCCTACAATGCCATGATCCAATCACGCGAAAACATGACGCCGTTGTTCCGTCTCTTCGAGAAGGCTGAGCTGGAGGATGGACTGTTACAACCGATCGTTGAGATCGTGCACAAGGCACAGCAACGGCGATACGTCGATGCAAATGATGCCTACCTACGAGTGAGCATTGGTAAAGCGTATGTTGATCCCAACCACTTTGATAAATTTGGAAATAACGCTAACATGTCTATAGAGCATGGCCCATTGGTGTGACCATGGTTGGTATCCACGAGCGATCTGCACGAGAGAAGTTGCATCAGAGTGACCAGCAAGCACACATTCTGAGCGATGAGATTACTCGCAAGTATCTACAGAGTATCAAGCGCTGCTTGAGCTTTGCTCAAGTCCGCTGGCCTCCGGAGGATCAATTGCAGATGATGGGTTAGCCATGTTGAAAATAGTGTCCGAATATACCCATAGCGTTTCAAGAAGAAAGACATGTACATTCAGAGCCTGTAATACCCATTCGGACATCAGGAGCCGATCTCTTTCAATAACTCGGAGACCGTGACAACGCGGTACCCCCTGCGGCTCAACTCCGGCAACACCTTCTGTAACATAGGCACCGTCCACTCTCTGCAATCGTGGCAGATAATAATACTCCCTGGCTTGACCATACTCAAAATATGACTCGCGTTCAATTTCCAAAATGGCACCTGCGGGTCATGCGGGTACACATCACCGAGTACCAATCGATAGCCCAGCTCCTTTACGAGAGTTCTCATCCGAGAGCTGAAAAATCCCGAGCCAGGGCGAAACAGCCAATTCTCAGGCTGTGCTGTATTACCAGCGGCGAGATATGCTTCCTGGATCCTGGCATGGACTACTTTCATCTGCTCTGCCAAGACGTCGTCACTGAGTGCACGCGATGGCTCGTCATACATGGCATGGTTGGCGAGTTCGTTGCCAGTTCGTACGAGATCAGCCAAGACAGATTCATTTCCTGGGATTTGAGATCCGATCAGGAAGAAAGTCGCAGTTGCATTGTGCGATTGCAATAGACGAAGAATTGCAGGTGTGTGTATAGAGGGCGCGTCGTCGATCGTCAATGCGACCACTCTTTTGTTTGTATCCACGCGGAAGAGCACGTCTGGCCAGCGACGTTGACAATAGCGAATGAGCAGAGTTGGTGGTTTGTATATGCAATAAAATGGTATGAGGAGAAAGAAAGTGGTGATGATAGCTTGAAGCATGTTTGGCTTCTGTGGAGGATAGGTGTTTTTGTCGAAGTTTGCGGGAGATATCTAGCTTGGACTATACACTCTACACCAACTGGACAGTTTTGCTAATTTGGGGATTGAGTTAGACTAAAATGCACATTTCATTGTGCTTTTCAATTCCTCTTCGTTTTTGATGTTGATTGTCGGTGTCTGAGAGCTCTAGGAGCTCCATACCAGCCATCAATGCGGGGATACACTCACAATCAGTTAAAATCCTCGAGACAATATCATTCATAGGCTGCCATCAGAGTATTTCCTAGTACCTTGCTACTAAATTCTTCCTCACCAAGTGTCGTTGTGTGTGCCCAAGGCTTCAGCCGATTCTCTTCATGAATGGTACCAGCGAAGCACGAACTCCACTTCAGACGAGGGAAATGGTTGGACACATCTTGGATTGTGGATGGATGAATGAGATTCGCATAGGAGCCAGTGTTATCTGTTTACAACGAGTTAGTTGGGCTACATTTGCCGAGACAAGCGAGGAGGATCATATTTGGTCGCAGTTCAAGGAATCTTGTGTCAGGCTAATCCATTCCGATAGAGGGTAAACATACCAAAGATCGTTGCCAGCTGAAGCAATTGACCAAGAGTTGTGATTTTACCTTTCTCGCACAAGTCTTGATGTCGGATGACTGCTTCTGCCACGCTCTCTGCCTGATCTTTCGGGGCGACTGCGACCGCGCCTCCTACAAAGGAAGGCTTTAGGTTCTGCAGAACTTGCAGTGCTTTCAACCCTCCGAAAAATTCGAAGCTCATTCTAGTGGACTCCAAGTTCTTTTGGGTTGTTCCGATGTCGTGAAGCAGGCAGGCAAGGAAGTAGGTTTCATCGGTGAAGGCCCAGTCGGGAAACCTATACCGCTTGATCGCAAGCCCGAAATGATAAACTCGAAGGGAATGATTGTATGTTGGCTCTAGGAGATTCGACTTTGCATACTCATTGATCCGCTGGGCGAGTGGCGTTTCTGGGATTGGGACTTCGGCCACTGCAATGAAGGGGGCAGGTGTTGTTGGAGGATCTATCGCGAGAAGTTCAGCAGCTGAAGATACAACAGGTGTGAAGCCATAGGCTGAAACTGGGTCGTTGGATGGACACATCTTGTTGGAGAGAGAGAAAGTCAGGTTAGGAACGGTAGCGGTCAATGTCACCCGAGGGTGCTGGGACTTTTATACTTCCACACTACATGTACTTTCTCTTCAATATTGAACACAAAATGAGTATATTTCACCGTTATAACAATGAGACAATTGGTAAGCATCACCCCAGACCTAGACATATTTCTATACATGTAACCATGACTCACTTGCCACCGAATTGCAGGGGAAGAAGCCATTTCATGCAGATTTTGGCCACGGAATTGAAGGAACAGAACAACATTGACCATTCAACTACTCAATTATCGTGATGTAATATATGCCTTTTATCAAGGCAGCCCTGTAAATAAGTGCATTATTATTACGAGATAGTTCCTGCATGATGTTCGCCTATATATCAAGTATATTTACAATTATCATAGACCAATCTGATTACTCTGATAGAATTTCCTAATACTATATGATACCACTGCGCATTTGTGAATAAATAAACATAGAATTTCAACACATTATAAACCAAAATCAAGCAACCTCCCCAGCAGCATGCCGAACCGCCTCAGTGACCTCATCGGGTTTACTAGGGAATAGGCTGTGCGACGCCTCCACCGACTCTGTCCTCATTCCAGTTCAATTAGCTGATCCTTCAGCCATTCCCCTTTGAGTCACCAGCGGAATAGCAGTATCAACCTTGACGGCGTAACATTTCTGGTAGAAGGTTTTCTCCGGATTGACTTGCAGCTTGTCATCGCTGATAATAACCCATGGCACTTCATTCCACCGAAATTGGACGGCATCTGCTGCTCGTTCGATTCGACGTTGAGATGATGCTCTTCAAACCGCGAGATATTAATTCCTTCTGGCATCAGCCATATAAAATCATCCGCAAGATTTTAACCACAATACAATCAGGATAGACATCACACTTGAAGGAATCCGGATGACACGATCGGAGACTTTCCAATCTTTGGCGTCAGATGCTTAACTATTCTGGTGACGAAGACAGCCAACTGGGCTTCTGGCGGCAGTAGTTATGTATCAAAGGAATTGAAACATGGTACGAAAGAAGCGGGTACTTAACATAACAGACTTCGTTGCCTCGGTTCAGCTTGAATTTGATGCTCAGGTATGCTTCTATAAAATGCGCAAATAGCCATGGATGAAAATATGTAAATAAGCAATCTAAGCTTCGGAGGGCCCCGAGCTTTCCATGCGGAACATCACCGCCTTTCCTGTTTGGGACTAGCGCTATATACAGATGGAAAGCCCTACCCTTTTGGGAAAGCTCTGGATAACCTCGGGACCTCGGGAGTTCCAGTTGACGGGTATGTACCACATGAGTCAATTCGCACCATTGGAAACTAATTCCGGTGTATCTTTCATTCGCTTGAAGGAAATAAGAATAGCTCGACACTTCTGCAGCCTTGTAATGCCTCTACAGTGGTGTTTCTGATGGAGACTTGATTTTGAACGGCAATCAAAGAGTTTGGTTAAGAGAGCAAGAAAGGGATAAAATCATCAAAATAAAATAGATGAGACAAGATATGAGTCTTTATAAGAGCACTTCTAGAGTTTTACATTTGAGATCGTGGTATACATGCAACATATTCTTGTCGAGAACACTCATCGTGTAAGATCATTCCACATGCGTGAGAATGCTTTCCACCAGCCACGTACAGCAGACTGGTTTGTGACTGTTGACATTTTGCTGAAGGTGTCTTCACGAGTCAGGTCCGATGCATCGCCAGTCGGGAAGACAAGGTGCCCATCCATGCCGTTCATAACGGAAAGCGAAGACCCATGTAATTTGGGAGATGACTCGAGACTACTACAGACGCTGCGGCTATCACGCTCGCCATCTATCAGATGTCCAGCGGTGTAGATGCACCCACCATAGGAGAACCTGACCAGAGAATCTCCAGTCAGGCTGCCGATGATGTAAACTCCCGGTGCGACCTCGAGGTCCTCAATTGCTTTCGCACGGAGGGTTTGGCCGGTGACTGTTGCGTTCTCTTGATTGCCCTGCCCCAACACTTCACAGCGGAGCTCGGGATCAAGATAATCTAGCGTGCCTCGCCGGCCAGCAGCATACACGAGGCCACGCACGGGCCGAGAGAAAATAGTTCCATCTTGGCGGCGGAATGTAACCGTCGCCAAGTCGCCGTGAACTTCCACGGCTGTCACTTCAACATTAGGAAGGCCTTCATAGATGTCTTCCCAATTCCGGCTTTCAAGGAATGGCGTTGAAGTCGCGCGTCGGAACTTTGGCCGCTGGTCTTTACCTGCGGCTTCGGCTTCGGCTGTGAGGGCAGCTCGTTTCATTAGACGGTAGACACCAGCATACTCAGGATATGCTTGCTGGTGGCAGGCCCGGAGAGGCGATGGGCGGTCATTCGGAGACCATTTGTATATGTGCAGAATTCTTTGGTTAGGGGAGGCGGAGATGATGGCATCCGCAGCGGAGAAGCCAGATCCAATAACGAGTAGTGGAACGTCAGGCGAGGGTTTTGTCTCAAGTAATGGGCACAAAACCGGCTCCGGTGTCAAGATTTCGGAAAAGATACCACTTGCCAGGACTAGGCGCTTGCAGTGGAGGTTATGAGAACGCACGTAAAACCCTGTAGCGGTGCGGGAAATGCCCTTCAATTCTTCCCCACACCGAAACACATCATCGATATGCACAGCCTCTGGATAAGCGGAAAAATAGTCAGCGATCTCACGCCGCGTGGGCCTGGTATATGACGGTAGGTCCTTGCCCGTGGTCTTCTTATGATGGTCGGCAAAGGAGTACCCGGGCAAGGACAGCATTGCCGCATAACTCAGTGTCTGGATATCCCAGTTTGCCCCCCATGGATCCTCTGTCCATTGGCCTCCAGGCTTTAAGGGCTTTCCAAAAACAAGATGTGAAACAGCTTTCTCAGGCTGTGAGCGCCAATCAATATTTGAGATGCAGCCGGGCTCATCCACATCAACACTTGGCCGTACAAGTGTGTCGAGTAACACGTTCACGGGAAGGGCCTGAGTCGAGTATGATAGGCGTGAGGCACAGAAGTGTGCTGTAAGAGAGTTCACATCGGCATTCAAAATCTCTGGGGCGGCTTTTAACTTGGCGTGTAATAAATGATCGGGATGTGGAGGGTCGGATGAGTAGAAAGGGATGTGTCCATGAAGGATGTATGAAAGGATCATGGCAGACGGCCCATTGCCTGGTGAAATCGGTTCAATCAGTTGCCATTTCACAAGGACTTCAAATGGCGCGGGGTTGGGACGGCGGGGCTCAAGCAGAGCAAAAGTCCCAAATGGCCTTCATATGGGACATCAACCATGATAGACATACCGACGATGATAGTATCAACCTCCATTAATAACGATATGTATCAAATAAGTGGTGCAGCGTATGGCATACTGGTATAGGCATGTGACAGGAAGAAAAGGTCCAATCAGAGTAGGAGATCCTTGTCACACTGCCTTCTCACCAGAGGTTGATAGCAAGGCCATAGGGACTGTAACATTTGTCCAGGTAATTCAAGAGGAAATTGAATGTCCTCGACAAATGGGGGGAACTTCGTATTCGATCAATAATCAGACGCTGACAAACCTTGGTAAAGCGGAGTGGCCGCAAGTGGGGGGAGAAGAAGACCGGAAATGTCAAGAAATTCCCATTTTGCCGAATGAACATGAAGGAAACTGAACCCGAGGGGGGATTTGCCGGGGAATTGTGGCGTCCATCATTATAGCATCATATTTCTAGTTTGAGATGGACCATATTTGAATGCACAACATATTGTACATATTGTACATATTGAAAAATGTCCGATGTAGTTTAGATTGGAATATCCCCCCAGATCTATCAAGGCCCTAAGCCCTAACTTCCTAAAATGGATGAGGCTGCGACGCCCCGGGGAACATGGGCTTCAACGTCAGATAACTGGCGATATCATGATTTCTGTTTTTGATCCCGTTTTTATATAATTGCAATTGCGCTTGGCCTTGCAGCTCCCCCATAGGGAACGCGATCATGTATCACCTGGCCAAGTCGCTGTACTTAGCTGCCACGAGCAAAGAAGGTAACGACGTTCTTCGATCGCATGACCTTCCAAGGCTGACTATCTTGAACTATAGAGTATTCTGTTATCCTGCTTGGTTTAGACAACGCCGGCAAAACAACTCTTCTGTCCCAGATCAAGGCGCTGTACCAACCCCGTTCCGATGGCGCCCCGGCGCCAAACCCCGGAAAGACCGTCCCCACCGTCGGGCAGAATGTCGCAACAATATCTTTACCAGACATGAACTTGAAGATCTGGGATGTGGGAGGTCAGATATCGATGCGCGGTCTCTGGCAGAGCTACTACTCTAGCTGCCACGCGATCATTTTCGTTGTCGACAGTGCCGATGTTGGTCAGGATCCCGATATCACACGACTTGCTCGGCGCGCAAGCTCCGTCGCAGGACCAGCACGCAACGGCACACGAGGGAGCACAAGTGCAGAGGCCTTTTCAGAGCAAAGCGTTGGAATCAACGCAGCGAGCAGTGAGTTCGGCCGATTAGACGAGTGTCGCCAAGTCCTCGAGTCGGTCTTACAAAATGCCGACGTGGCTGGGGTTCCTATCCTGGTATTAGCAAATAAGCAGGACCGCGAGGACTGCGTGGAAGTGGTTCGCATCAAGGAAGGACTCGTCCGGAAGGTATTTGAAGGAGAAACAGGAGGCGGCGTCCGTGACAGCCGTGTGCTGCCGGTCAGTGCGCTGCTTGGGTCCGGTGTCCAGGCAGCTGTGGAGTGGGTACAAAGTCGTGTTAAGTGGAACAAAGAGGGTCGGCCTCCAGTCATGCGTTGATTCAAAGTTGAGGTGCTGCTGACCATTCTCGTACATGATGCCGAGCGCAGCATATCAAGGTGCATAATGGCGTTTGTTCATGATAATTACATTTTCTGTTAATATACCAATGGAGTCTATTCGATATCAAGTCTAGTCAACTATCAACCACCGGTCACCTCATTTAGGGTGAAACTATCATGGCTCTGGGCAGTTTATTCCATCGGGTAGACATTATATATTGGTATTATGTGTGAGAATATGTAAGAATGGGTTGTGCCGCATGAGAGGGTGAAGGGGGCGGTCAGATGAAGCCATGAGCTGTCCGAGACAAAGCAGGATAGGCGTAGAATCCAGAGCGGACTAGAGAGATATTCAGGCCAGTATGCCCTGTACCGAGGAGTGTTTCGCTTCATTGTGCTTTGCGTTTTTCCTTTTTTTTGGCTCAGCGAATACTTCCGGTGGTCTCACGAGATTTAGTCGCCGGTTGCTTCTTTGGCCAACTTCGTGCGATATCAATGTTGGCTCGGGGAAACCACATCTCAAGGAAAACGTAGATCAAGAAGTCAATCACGACACAAAGGCAGAACAGCTTGCCCGCCCAGACACCACAGCCGTAGTAGCGTTTCAACCGGTCAATTAGCGCAAAGCTGCGGACGCGATCTCCACTCGCTTCCCAGCCCTGGCCTGGATAGTAACCGTAGAATTCCTCTGGACTTATATCGCCAACAACGCCTGCATATACGCGCTCGGTGCGCGCGGCCACGTCCCGCCATGAATACATCATCTTCACTTGGTCATGAAATCGGTCCGTTCGCACTTTGTTCGAGCGCAAAGCTGCAATTGCCTTGCCGGTTGCTAGCACAATATCGTCCTCCTCCGGTTTGGCAAATGTTGTCATATGCTGGGGTAAAACCTCCGGAATGCCTCCAACACGGGTACAGACCACGTAAAGACCACAACTAGCAGCTTCAACAATGACTGTTCCAAATGCTTCCGTAAGACTGGGATGGAGATAAATGTCACCTCGCACCATCACATCTCGAACCTCCTCGTGTCTGACCGAACCTAGAAGCTCGACTTTATCCTGGAGCACGTTACGTTCCAGCATTTGCTCGAGGTCGATCGCTTTGGGCCCTGATCCTGCGATGATAAAGCGAGTGTTGGGATTGGAGGCAAGAATCCGCGGAATAGATGCAATGAGCAGATCAGTTCCCTTATTGTAAAAAAGACGGGAGATGACCACGATTGTGATCGGATCATCGGGCCCGATTTTTCTGGGGGACATTGGAGCATCGGCGGGGGAGCTCAGACCCTGATCAGGCGCACGAGTAGTTTGAGACAGAGGGCAGAAATTCTCCGCTACCACGGCGTTTGGAATGACCGAGACCATTAATGGATCCAACGAAGCCCGGAGTACTGTGTTTTCCTTGCTATAACTTGTCAGTTGAGTCGTGCGATACGACCGCAGGTGACCTACCAAGTATGGCTGACGCAAATCGCATGGTCAACATCACTCAGTGTAAACTTGAGCAATTTGTTGGTGAGAATTGATGCTGCGTCAGCGAATCCGAAGAGGGAATGATCTGTGAAGACAGTCCGTAGTCCCATGCTACGCGCATGGAGAATGGCCTCTGCACAAAAGCTACTCAAGCTGGCATGGCCATGGACTATCTCAATCTCCTCTCGGATGACGATATTGCGGAATATGGGAAAGAAAGAGAAGACGGTAGGGAATGTCGTCTCGCGGTAGACGACGAAGAATGGAACGTGGTAGATCTTCAATCCGTTGGTGAGGTAACGGACTCCAGTGCGTCCTTTATACGCGTGGGTAATAATAATGACTTTGTGTCCCCGATCAATGAGTTTCTGCGAAGTAATGAGAAATAGCGCAGGTGGAACGACTAGGTAAAGTGCTTACGGACGACAATTGGTATATATGACTCTCAACTCCGCCTAGATAAAAGTCAGCAATTGCATTAAACCATAGGAGAAATAATTAAACATACCTGACTGGGGAAAAAAGAAGTCACTGACCATTCTATAACCGCGTGGTTAGCAAGCAATCACAAGTAGATAGGCCAAATACTGACGCGATGTTATACGGCATCGTGGCTGTTGGTCTCGGGGCGAAAACTCCGAGGTGTCAGATTTGCTTGTGTCAAATTTCTTTCCATGGCGAACAGACCTGCTGCCCAAAACACCAGTCCATCCAAGCCAAATATAGGAGATAGGAGACCTGGAGATATCTGAGGAAGCTGTCCCGATAAGAAGGGCGGTACCTAGAGCGGTGATGCTTTTATGTCTTCTGCCGGCATAAAAGATTCAGAGAAAAGGAATTTGATCCACACGAGGCATCCAACGCCAACTCCGACATTGGCGGAATTAAATGAGAATGGTGGGCAAAAATTCGGGACTCGAGTCCTCTAAGATGGTTGATGTGACTCCCAAGACTACTCAGTCTCACAAACGCAAGAGAGATCCTCATGGCTCTCAGCCCACTGCGACTACTCCCACACCAACGAAGAAGCACAAGAAACGCGAGAGCTTGCCGATCAGAGAGGCCACAGATGATGGCAGCATTAAGAAGAGCAAGCACCTCAAGGATGCGCTTCAAGGATCGAATTCCCCGGAGACGTCCCGGAAAGAAAGTACTCTCTCGTCAGACCGCAGAAAAGCGGATGTTGCAGAGTCGCGCAGCAGCGTCAGCGAAACGGAAAGAAAATCAAAAAAGAGCAAGCGAAAGAGCGCTGGATCGGGCGACACATTGGATGATGCGGCTACATCTGTGATTGCAGGAGATAACGATGAAGAAGTTGAAGCACCGGAGGTCGAACAACGCAAATCGAAGAACAAGCATTCTGGGATTATGTCAAAGTTCGAGCGCACCAAATCAGTATCTAGTGCCAAGGCCAAAAAAGTTGAATCCGAAGCTGTTGAAGATGAGACACCTGCTGTCGAAGCTGTCTACGCACAGGGTCTTGAGCGGCTACCTCAGCCTGAAAACCCGCCCGAGGTAGAGCAAATCCCAACATATTCATCTCTACCCCCCTGGCTGGCCAATCCATTGCGCAAATCAGCTCAGGACACAAAGAAGTTTTCGGAGCTCGGAATAAAGCCAGATCTTCTCAAAATCCTTGAACAACAGAACTACAAAGAAGCCTTTGCTGTGCAGTCTACAGTCATTCCTCTCCTTTTGAAGGGAGAACAAAACCACCCCGGAGATCTTTGTATCTCTGCGGCGACTGGATCCGGAAAAACACTTTCCTATGTTCTTCCCCTTGTTACTGCTCTGCCACCGAGACCTGCCTCCAGACTTAGAGGATTGATTGTAGTTCCTACAAGAGAACTGGTGAAACAAGCTCGCGAATCCTGTGAGCTATGTGCTTCTGGATCCAGACTTCATATTGGAAGTGCAGTCGGTAATGTGGCTATCAAAGATGAGCAGAAACTCTTGATGCGCGTGGACCAGGTTTACAACCCGGCTATTCAACAACAACAGCGTGACGGATTTAAAGGAAATGACTGGATGAACTTGAGCCTGGAAGATTGTGTCAGCGAGGCAATTGACTCTAACGGGTCTCTTCCGGGTCATATCCAGCAATCTGAGCCTAATGTCGACATTCTTATCTGTACTCCTGGCCGTCTCGTTGACCACATTCGCTACACCAAGGGATTCACCCTCAAACATCTTGAATGGCTGGTGATTGATGAAGCGGATCGTCTTTTGAACGAAAGCTTCCAGGAGTGGGTTGATGTTGTTATGAACTCGCTGAACAGTCGACAGGCCCCCGAGACCTTTGGGCCTGGTGGAAAGCTGTTATCTGAACTTGGACTTCCAATTGACGCCAAACCTCCTCGAAAGGTGATTCTGAGTGCAACAATGACACGCGACATTTCCAAACTCAACTCCCTACGCCTTGCCAACCCCAAAATGGTTATCATCGGGTCTGAGGATGCTGCCGACGAAGAAGACCCATCTGCTATTCATCCCGATGCTCACTTTGCCCTACCCCCAACTCTGTCTGAGCACATCGTTCAAGTTGGCGACGGATCTCTCAAGCCGCTGTATCTGTTGCGTCTTCTTCTTTCTCACATTAAGATTAGTGGGGACCAAGCTCCGAGCACATCAGATTCATCCGACTCCGACAGCTCTAGTTCAGATGACACTAGCAGCGACGATGATACTAGCTCTGACGATGATACTAGCTCTGACGATGATACTAGCTCTGATGATGATACTAGCTCCGATGATGGTACTAGCTCTGATGAATCGTCTGATGATGACACTTCATCGTCTGACTCTGATTCGGAGTCTGATTCAGACTCGGACTCGGACTCGGATTCTTCGGACTCATCTGACTCGGAATCCGACGCTATGGAAGTGGTTCCCTCGCCCTCGCGAAAGACTGTTCTGATTTTCACCAAATCATCCGAGTCTGCCTCTCGACTTGCGCGTCTCATTTCGCTACTACATCCCGCGTTGGCTAAGCGCGTGGGAACTATCATTAAATCCAACAAATCCTCCGCATCTCGCAAGACATTGACGGCTTACCGACAAGGCCGCATTTCAGTGATCGTGGCTACCGATCGTGCCTCTCGTGGTCTTGACCTGGAATCCTTGACTCATGTCATCAACTACGATATCCCTACCAGCATCACTACCTATGTTCACCGAGTTGGACGTACTGCCCGTGCCGGCCGCGCAGGCTCTGCCTGGTCCCTGGTTGCTCATCGTGAGGGCCGCTGGTTTGCCAACGAGATCGCAGCTAGCGTGGACGGCCGGATCACCCGCACATCAAACATCGAACGTGTGCAAATCAAGGCCGACGCATTGGACTCACTCAAGCCCAAATATGCCAAGGCGTTGGACAAGCTTGAGCAAGAGGTCAAGCGTGGCTAGTCTGGTCTGATATGTGTTTGCGATTTATTGTACTTTATGAGTGGTTACGTGTTCTGCATTCATAGCGGTATTCTTGTATCATAATCTGTTCACAAGTTTTGCAGTCTCATGTTTTACGTACTCTTCTTAATTACAGGGAAGTTCATCTCCCAAAAGGCTATACAACATAGACGTACATCGGCAAAACTTCGGACATATTTTGCCCCATTACCCGGTCATGCGGGGTTTGGGCCTCTTATGAATTCAATATGCCCAGATATGCGTTCATCATTAATGTGAAGGCTCATTTCAGGCTAAACTTGCCGGGTACGGCCGGGCAAATCCGATCACTCTTCAGCGGATGGCTTGAATAGCTTGTTTTTTTGCCCAGGAGGTTAATTCTGACTTCAGATCTCAGACCTCTTTAGGTAGTACCTTTTATGAGTAGTGAGAGCGTTAATTCTAGTGATTTCTGAATCTACTGCAAGGTCGAAGCGAAGTTCGAGGAAAGCAAAACGGGGGATTTCTACCCTGGTATATCCATAGGCACCCATGCTGCACCTCCCCCTTTGACCCCCTTGAACAGCCACCAGAGACATGATCGACAGGCATCGGCAACCGGAACGAATTTCAGGCTAAATTCTAAATTACAAATGTCCCTTTCCTTCCAAGGTTGACTGAAATACCCGAAATCCCTAGGGATCGACTGTGAAAGTTCCAAATTAGGTCCAAATGTGTGGGGGTGTCTCTTCATACCCCAGACTATAAGTTGATTCCCGCATCATGGCCAAAGATGCATGAGTATTCGCTCTCAAAGACAGACTTCTACAATGCCTGTCGTTCCGCTACTCGCCTTGATCGCGGCCTTCGCGCCGACCGCGTTGTCTCAGGACAACACCACTTATGCGGACTATAATACTAAGTCACAGCCGGATCTTTACCCTGAAACAATGGCAAAGGTCGATTTCTCTTTTCCAGACTGCTCCAATGGCCCACTCAGCAAGACGATCGTCTGTGACACCACCGCAAAGCCCCACGATAGAGCCGCTGCCCTCATTTCCATGTTCACCTTGGAAGAGCTCGTGAACAGTTCTGGAAACGTCATTCCCGCAATTCCTCGGCTGGGGCTCCCACCATACCAAGTCTGGAGCGAAGCTCTACATGGCTTGGATCGAGCGAATCTTACCGAGTCCGGGGACTACAGCTGGGCTACATCGTTCCCATCTCCCATCCTCACCATGGCTGCCCTGAACCGCACCTTGATCAATCAAATCGGTGAGATCATATCAACTCAAGGCAGAGCATTCAACAATGGTGGTCGATTTGGGCTTGACGTGTATGCACCCAACATCAATTCCTTCCGCCACCCAGTTTGGGGCCGTGGACAGGAAACTCCAGGCGAGGATGTCCAACTCTGCTCGATTTACGGATTTGAATACATTACGGGCGTTCAAGGTGGCTTAGACCCAAAGGATCTGAAATTAGCTGCAACTGCTAAGCATTTCGCTGGCTATGACATCGAGAATTGGGCCAACCATTCAAGACTAGGAAATGATATGAAAATCAGCTCATACGATCTCGCTAGCTATTACACCCCCCAGTTTATCACAGCAGTGAGAGATGCCAGAGTTCATAGTGTGATGTCGTCATATAATGCAGTCAATGGTGTTCCCTCGTCGGCCAATTCTTTCTTGCTCCAGACTCTGCTTCGTGACACCTGGAACTTTGTCGAGGATGGCTATGTTTCTTCCGACTGCGACTCTGTCTACAATGTCTTCAACCCCCACTTGTATGCTTCTACTGCCTCACTCGCTGCGGCGAAAAGTATACAGGGAGGGACAGATATTGACTGCGGTGCGACATATCAACTCTACCTAAATGAGTCGCTCTCCCAGGGCGAAATTTCTCGCAGTGAAATCGAACGTGCTGTCACCCGTTTCTATTCTAACCTCGTCAGTCTGGGCTATTTTGATGGCAGCAATAGCAAATACCGGGACCTTGATTGGTCTGATGTTGTTGCCACCGATGCATGGAACATTTCATACGAGGCTGCCGTAGAAGGAATTGTCCTTCTCAAGAACGATGGCACTCTACCGCTGTCCAAGCACACCCGCAGCGTCGCATTGATTGGACCATGGGCAAATGTAACAACTACAATGCAAGGAAATTACTATGGCGCAGCGCCCTATCTTACCGGCCCACTCGCTGCCCTACAGGCATCCGACCTTGAGGTCAACTATGCTTTTGGTACCAATATCTCCTCGGAAACCACTGCTGGATTTGAGGCTGCTGTATCCGCTGCAAAGAAGTCTGATGTGATCATCTTCGCCGGTGGGATTGACAACACCATCGAGGCAGAGGGGGTAGATCGCGCAAATATTACCTGGCCTGGTAATCAGCTCCAGCTGATCGAACAGCTGAGTGATCTAGGCAAGCCATTGGTCGTTCTACAGATGGGCGGTGGCCAAGTGGACTCTTCATCGCTCAAGGCCAACAAAAATGTCAACTCTCTGGTTTGGGGTGGCTACCCCGGACAATCTGGTGGTCCTGCAATTCTAGACATTCTCACCGGAAAGCGTGCACCCGCTGGTCGTCTGACAGTCACTCAATATCCTGCTGAGTACGCTCTTCAATTCCCCGCTACAGACATGAGTTTGCGTCCCAAGGGTAGTAACCCTGGGCAGACCTACATGTGGTATACAGGCAAGCCAGTTTACGAATTTGGCCATGGGCTATTCTACACAACATTCGAGGCATCACTAGCCCACTCCAGCGAAACCAAGAGTCGTGATTCCTACGATATTGCCAAGCTTCTGTCACGCTCAAACGATGGATACAATGTGGTCGAACAAGTCCCGTTTATGAACTACACTGTTGAAGTTAAAAATACTGGTACTGTCACTTCTGACTATACCGCTATGGCCTTTGTCAACACAAAAGCCGGACCAAGCCCGCACCCCAACAAGTGGCTGGTTGGCTTTGATCGCCTCGGTGGACTTGATCCCCAAGCCGCTCAGACCATGACAATTCCCATTTCACTCGACAATGTGGCTCGCACTGATGAGAATGGTCACCGCATCGTGTATCCCGGCAAGTATGAACTTGCACTGAACAATGAGCGCTCGGCTGTGCTGTCGTTCACTTTGACCGGTGATGCGACCACTATTGCTACTTGGCCAAAGGAGGAGCAACTTGTTCTTCCTTCGTGAAAGGTGGCTTCCGTAAGTGTGTATTGTAGTCGAATATGATAGATATATGGATAGATACATGTCAATGTCTGGTGAATATTAACAACAAGAAAAGGACCAGTTACCACCTCCATTATTTCTAAGTACATTTCATGAGTGTCATCTTTATGCTATATCTTAAAGCAAACCATTATATCCTGTACAGAAAAAAGTTCAGACGTTTGAGTGCTGCCCATGGGTTCTGAGGATTGAGGCAACTTCCCGATGACCTCCCATCATGGCTGCTCGAAAAGGCGTTCTGTAAAAGCCAGCACGAATGGTGCTGTCAGCACCTCGATCAAGAAGCATTTGGACGATTTGACTATCTCCGATCGCGGCAGCTGCATGCAAGGCAGTGCCATGTAGTCTACCGCGACCATGAATGTCGGCGCCGTTGCCAAGTAACATTTTTACTATGTGACATTTCCCTTTTGTAACAGCAGCTATCAGAGCTGTTCCACGGTCATGTTCCGCATTTATGTTGGCGCCGCTGTCGAGGAGCATTTGCACTATATTCTGATTCCCGCTCATCGAAGCTGCGATCAGTGCGTTTCCATGTGATCCTGCTTGATGGTTGACATCAGCATGGTGGCTGAGCAAGGTTTGCACAATATCTTCCTGGCCCTGGAGTGCTGCTGATTGCAGAGCGGTGTCACTCCCGCTGCTCCCTAGAGAGTTGGGCTCAGCGCCCTTTTCAAGCAGGAAAGTTACTATTTTCCAGTGACCCGCCGAAGCGGCGGCTTCCAAAGGAGTGCCGTACAGCTCGCCCTCGACATTTATATTTGCCTTATTGTTGACGAGAATCTCCGCAGTTTTCAGCATGCCCCTGTCACACGCTGCGACGAGGGCACTTCCGTACCATTCACATAGGCCATCAACGTCGGCACCCCACTGAAGAAGAAGTTCGACGATGACTTCTTGGCCATGCTGGGCAGCCAATGAAAGCGGAATAGTACTGCTCTCTCCGGATTTGTTTGGGTCTGCTCCACGGGAAAGGAGGAGCTGGACGATATTCGAATGACCGTGGCAAATAGCAAATGTCAAAGCTGTCCATCCACCGTTACGACAGATGTCGACGGGGTACCCATGTTCAATCAAATAAACTACTGCTTCTTGAATCCCGATGCATGCCGCGACATGCAAACCATTTAATGTTCCTGAGAGAGGGTACTTTTGGCTCCAACCTTTTCGCATCGGGTCCTTAGTAGCCCTGAGCGCTTGTTGCGAAGCTTCAAGTTTTGGCTGGTCTTTCAAAAACTCCAGCACACCAGAGTGCAGATCTTTGATTGCCCTCGCATGTCTGTCAAAATGCAGTGCCGCATAAGAGTAGAATGGATGTGTTTCCAAACGCTCCTCGAAGGCTTCATCACTTTCACAGATACCGGATCCAAAAATGTCAAATGAAAGGTAAACGAGACACAGCCTGGCCAAGTCATTTTCCGCGGTGGGAAAAAGGAAATCTTTCTTCCGGTCGAGGTATTCTTGTGTCGTATAATGAACCAAACGTATTATTCCGCTTTCATTTTCGACGGTAACAAGACCGGCGCACACAGCGAGGATATCTTCAACTTCGGGTATGTTCTCCTCATCAATGCTAGATTCCCCTTCCTCTATTGCAAGCGCATGCTGGAGCTCTAATGAAGTGAGTGGCCTTGTTGCACACGCTAGCCAGGACAGTGTTTGCATGGCCAAGTCAGTCTGCTCTCCTAGTTGTCCTTGAATGCGACTCATCGCATCATCGTAAGCCTTGTCATATGTATAGTCATCCGATCCACTTGAAAGCCTTTCCAGAGCGGTTCGGGTAGATTTAGCTGACCTTCTACCGATCAATGACTCAAAATAAAGCTGCGCAAGAAGAAACCTGGGTTATATGAGCAATCTAAGTGTTGAGTGAAGAAGGAATCTCCTGGAGAGACTCACATTCCCTGAACGTGGTGTGAGATTACAGCCATAATCTCCTCTTGTAATGTAGGACTTCGGTTCACAAATCCCGGTAGTCGGAACATATTGCCATCAAGATATCGTCGAACATCGTCCTCGTGAGCCCGTATCTCCAATGTCTCGCCAGCTTTAAACAAATCATGTATCTCTGTGGGCCTTGATGTGGCGAAGACATTTGCTCTGGCACCGGCATGAACTTTCATGATCTCGCCCAACACTCTGGTACGACAAGTGGACTCGCACTCATCGAGGGCATCAATGACAATGAAGACTTTGGAATACATGGAAACGACTGATTGGAGGGCGTTCGATATTTTCTCGAATTTCGGATGCTTCGATTCGGTTTTATAGCGCTTGTAGATGTCTTTTACGACATCTGGGATGGTTGTTCTCTGCTGGCTCAACTGTTTCAACAGACTTGAAAGCAAGTCTTGGGCTTGTTGTTCATCTCGTCGGTTGAAGTTGCAATAAATGTAGGCTATACCAACATTCGGATTATCCCCAAAGCGCGTAGTCAAATCTTCCACAAGAATAGCAGAACATATGGTCTTTCCCGCGCCCGGAATACCTGGACAGAACAAGGTCGCCCCGCGTGTGTCAAGCCAATGTTTATATTCTTCCGAAGCGAGAAGCCATTGTCCAGTTCCTTCTTGCCGTCGATCTAGGAGATCTCTTTGCTGCAAAGTGTAATCAACGGCAGACAGCCATTCAAGAATGCAAGAGTTTTCATTGCTTTCTTGTCGCTGGTTGAGGTGCTCTAGTGTTTGCTTCGTCGCAGTCATCGTTTGACTATGGATGTTAGATGTTTGTCATGCTCAGGTATGCGAGGTGGCCCATAGAGGGGAAAAAAGGTATATGATACCTTGATATAGCACTCAAAAATGACTGGAGCAATGTCACATTAGATAATAAGCGATCTCGAAGCTCGCCTATGTCTTTCGGCTCCCAGGCCATCCTCTTCCATATACTTCTAGATTTCTTGTGGAAGGATGTACCACAATACTCAACCACTTTATATTTCCCGATGGCATCTTGAAGTTCCTTTAGCAGGGTCTCACAACTGTGACTGATTTCTTGTAGTTGTTCTCGTTGATGGTCATTGCAATCATAACCCGGTAGTTGAACATCAACGTCTTGGAGGATGATTGTCAGTCCCCTAACCCTATATGGACGATATATATTAGTTCCCGGCCAATGACCTGTGTTTCCAATGTGCACGTACTCTCTAGAGATACTATTGAACTGGCTTGGGGCACCAACAAAGTCCCTTCGGAGCTTATTAGCCAAAGTAATAACGGAAACGAAGTCCCCCAGGCTAAATCCGAAACTCATCGTGGTTATTATTCGAGTTTCGATGTAACACGCTGCCTGGGGGGAGTATATGAGAAATGTTGGGTTTCAAAAGACTTGCTATTTTTCTACAGCGAACCCCAAGTTCTGGACTACATCACGTCTGTTCGGTACATCCGTCTGCGGTTCAGGTTTCCAGATTGATTGGATATTAGGCATCCTCTTCAAGGCGCAGTCTTGCATTAGCGTGTGAGTTGTCTCTGTACTATGTACTTTTGTTTACGTATCGGAAGGGTCTTCTTGGCAAGGAAAAGGTCATTCAACAGAAATGCTGTATATTCATCTACCAATAGTAGCAGGTGACTAACTAACTAGTGGGTACGGAGTAGTTGATTGCATGCAGCGGCGCTTAAACACAATTCTTGTTTCGAGTATTTTTAGTTCCCCAAATGTGAGGTCTTTCACAGAAAATTTGACATGTCGGGGGAATAATAATGGAAATAATAACCATCATAATCATAATACAAGATCAAACTTTTGTTTCTTGATCTGATCTGGGGTGCCTGAATTTGTGTGTGACAAGAACAGTCGGCCGCTTATACGGTCTTCTCATCTTTTTCGAAGTCTTTCAGATGAGTATTCCTTTTGTCCTTCTTAGAATACTAGACAGATGTGCTGATATATATTAAGGTAGTGACAGGAAGAAAAAAGTGAAAGCGCCAAATGATATTCTTGCCTGCAGAATAAGGCAAATTCAGGCACCGATGATGACCTCAGAATGGAGTGATATCATTGGCCGTTCACTTCGATCGCCGATAACCGTCAGAGAGACCCCGCAGTCGGCGAAGCGCCGTTGTTTTTATTTTTTTGCGCGCTTCCATGCTAATAGAAATTAAATTTACTTTCATGTATTTCCAGGGACTATGAGCCAGAGCCCATCCAATGCTCAGCCCGTATCGGGTCCCGTCCCTAACAACTCGTTTGCTCCGTCATCATTGAGGGGACCTTTGGCTAGAGGTCGCCAAATCACCCGAAATCGCGCGAGTTACAGCTGTCATACATGTCGGCGTCGGAAGGTCAAATGTGACAAGGTAGATTAATCTGATTGCCACCAATACCGAGGCCCATGTTTCAAGCTAACATATATATCCTTCTAGACACATCCGATATGTGGAAACTGCGTGAAGAACAACACTGAGTGTATCTATGATGTATCATTCCGCAAAGATGACAATCAGCGCTATGTCTCCTCCCAGAATTTGCATGGCGTTAAACGAAGGAGAGAGACGCCCCGGACATTAGAGGAAAATGTCGACGAACTCCAGTCGATTTACGGACACTTGAGGCGGGCAGAGTCGACAGGTGAAAAGCCCGACCCAAGTGCCATTGAATCGCGACTCGACAAGCTTATGTCAATGATTGAACGCCTCGGGGGGAGCGACCAAGCCCTCGAGGACGTGGGAATACAGGCAACGGCCCTGGATGCGAAAGTGGAACCCGCCCAGTTAGATGGCCCACTGCCGAGCAATGGTCTGAACAGAAACAAAGCACAGTCAAGATCCACCAGCCCACGTCGCATTGCTGCTGAGTCGAACAACGATGAATTCCCGATCCCGTCCGGTCAGGCTACCGATCTTGTAGACCCGGTCGGCAGTCTAAACCTAGGCCATTTGAGCCTAGAGGATGGTGGAAGGTCAAGGTTGGTCATAATTGCTTAATTTTGAGGGACAACAATTCCTAACCATAACTAGATATGTCGGTACCACGTATTGGGCTTATATAGCGGGCGAAGTATGCTGTTCACTGGAATTTCCTGGTAGACAACTTTGACTAAATTGCATCTAGATCAATGAGCTTAATCAATTACTGAGAGACCAAAATAGCTCACATGATCAGGCTGCTCCCGAAAAGAATAATGATATAACGGATTCGCATGCCGATGGTCGACAGGCATGGAGAGAATCAGCTGGCAGTTCGACACCTTCAATCACGCCTAGGTCTTGTTCCTTTCAGCAATCTATAATCTTCCCTTCGGGTGACTCTCCCTCGGTCAATGAAAAGGTGGTGGAGCCAGAAATGCTTGATCACATTCCGACGAGACGGCAAAGCCATATTCTTTACAAAGGATTCATTTCCGGTGTACACGCCATCAGTCCAATCATCCACCCTCCGACTATCCTTAAGCTCTACAATTCCTTCTGGGATTGGTATGACTACAGCAGCTATTCTGGAGAGCCGTGTCCAAATCCATCATTTATCCCACTGTTGTACGCGATATGGTATGGTGGCTCAGTAACGATTTCTATGCGAGCAATCAAAGCAGAATTTAATATATCATCGCGGTCAGCCCTTTCGACAGTGTATACTGAAGAAACTACGAGATGGCTTACGAAGATTAAATTCCCGCGCAGCCCTTCGCTCCAGGGCCTTGCTGCCTATCTCATCGTACAGACAATTGTTACAAAAGAAGAAGAGCCTTTGGCGAGCAGTCTTTTTGTCAGTCTCGCGATGAGGGTTGCACAAACCATGGGCTTACATCGTGATCCAGCCAAGTTTGGTATAGAGCCATGTGAAGCTGAGTACCGGCGCCGGCTATGGTGGCATATCATGCATATGGACTGCGTCGTTGCTATGTCAAGCGGTCTGCCTCCCCTCCTCAGCGACGAGAACTATTGGGATGTATGCGAGACGAGCGAAATGAAAGATACAATGATAGGTTCTCCTGCCGCTGAGTCCTACATGAAACTGGTTGCTTCGCGAGAGCGGTTGCCCGATAATCCAGATGATCCCACTGTTTGCGGCGGCCCATCAATGGTCAACGTCTACTACCTCACCGCAAAAGGGAAATATACTATGGCTCGTGGGTACCTTTTTGGTTTCGAAATACATAGGCTAATTGTCACCAGGCGCTATCCGCCGAATATTGAAAATCCAGCTTGGAACAAAGCCCCTCACCAGGCAGGACATGGAGGAGCTCCGGTCCATACTCCTTGACTTGCAGCTGAAACTGAATTCCATCATCAATAGGATTCCAGAGGGGAGGGATGTTGATAATCTATCAACACCAAGCCGAGCATTTTCTATGTCAAAATCCCCCGATGACCGCTCTTCTGATACAGAGCTTCCAGGCGAAGGTTCCACTGGATGCCCAGAACAATATCATTCACCTGTTCTTGTTTGCTTCCATAAATGGGCGAAAATAATTCTTTCTTTGTATATTGACAAGGTTCGGTTCCTCGATATTTGCTGTTTTCGTACCCAACTGACCTTCCTCTAGGCCTTCTGCGTGGCCTACCAACCTTTTCTGAAGAACGCTCACAGCCGAATTTGGCCAGCGGCACGCCAGAGGTTTGCACATACCATCGGGAAATACGTCAATGTGCTAATATAGGTAGTGCACTTCGCCATTGCCATGGTTTTATGGAAAAGTTTATCGAACTTGCGACGGATCCAGATTTCCAGCCTTTTCATTGGAGCTGGCCTGGGTAAGTCTTTCTTCTAGTATGGTGGCCAATAATGGTATGGGAGCTGACCTTTCTTTCTAGTAATCATCAGCCAATGCATGCCACTATGTATGACTCTATAAGCAAGGTGACGGGAACCGCGCTAATGAGATACAGGATCATGCTTATCGACCTATATGAGCGACCTTACAGCCCTGAAGCATCCCGGTCCCGCGCGTTCATCGACAGCATACTCGCACTTTCTGGCCCAGATGGAGGTGTCGTGGGCGGCGAAGACGGTATATCAACACAGCGGCCATTGAAAGACGGTGGCCGTGAGGCATGGGATATGATCCGCCGCCTTCGCCAGAAAGCTTGGCAAAAGGCTGGCCTCAATCCGCAAATACTCTGGACCGAACAAGACCAGATACAGGCCGCGGTTGCTTCGACAGTTGACCCTCACGCGGATTGTGACTCCCCTCCTTCAGGTCCCTCTCGGCCAGGGTCTCCAGCTCCAGGATCGGCCGGTCATACCGCAGCGCACGCCCCCCAACCCAGCGATGTTTACAAAACATTATACAAGATCACCCGCTCACATACATTCTCGAACCCTGCTACCCCGGATGCTACCAACAGTCCCTTACGATACCAATACCAACCCCAGAGTAAACACTTACCCCCTATCTCACATTCCCGGCGCCATTCTAACCCCGTCGGTAATGTCATATCTCCCCGCATTGGCGCCCCATCGCCCAATACGGACCGCTTGTTTGCTGCATCTCCGCCGACGCAAGCTACTGCCTCCCTCGCCCCCGCTCCGCATTTGCAGGATTCAGATCATGATATTGCTGCTTCAGGTGGCATATCCTTCGTGGATCCTGCGTCTCCTAAAATTGTACCCATGAGAGTTCCCACGCCGCCATCGATGGTTGACCCCAACCTCAACTTCGACTGGGACCAGTGGGATGCTGTGTTTGGGCAACATCTTCCTGTCGCAGATGATCTGATGGAATTGGATCCTGTTGCGGGTCTTGACTTCACCCATCTTGGGGCTTCCTCGACATTCAATGGCAATAGCCCGAATGGCACTAACATCATCGACATGCCTAATTCAGATGTGAATGGTCTTCCACTTCCAGGCTCCTCTCCAGAAGGAAGTTTTCCGTCCTGGAATGGGAACAATGGAGGTGATTGGCCGTGATATTCTCAGTATCCATTATGTGCTTAAGGTAGAGCCTTAGAAGATTTATCAGCGATAAAAATTCAAATATATATCCATCTAATGATTGCTATCGCCTTACTCATTCTATGACGGGACTGTTGTTTTAGGGTTTCGGGATACCCATTCTTATTTTAGTCAAAGACGCAACACTGTTAGTGTCAAGGACGGAATTGTTCAATGACAGTGAAGACGGACTACATAGTACAAGCCAAGATGAAGGACATGACAGATGATTTCATGAAGCGTAACTCTTGAGGATCCGATGGATCGGTAACTCGGGATACAAAAATGCGAGAGGGTTATTAGAACAGACAGGCCCAGGGAAGGGGAATAAGTAGCCGCTGCGTCTGAGCTGTAACTCGCAATTCTTCCAAGACGTATTTGTTCGTGTAGGGTGCGTACATTTTTACTCTATCGCCTTCTTAGAGAGAAGAGTTGCTTAGACCTTGACCTCCTTGAGACCGTCAGCCCAGACGGTAGCGTAAGGGGTGACACCATCCTCGCGGAAGTCAATCAGGACGTGCCTAGGAACAGTCAGTTTAAGATTTCAAGGGTTAAGTCGTGATATGGTGACATACATAGCATCACCGTCCATGGACTGGCCCATGAGAACATCGTAGTTATCCCAGTTGGCAATGATCTTCTTCATGGCACCAGCGGCCTTGGTCTTCCACTCCTTCTCGGCCTTCTCGGGATCCTCAGCCTGAGCGAACTGGGGCTGGGCATTCTTGTGGAGTTTCTTAAGGTAAGCTGTATTAAATAACAGTCAGTGGTTTGCGCGGACAAAATGAAGATCAATGGGCGAGCATACACTTGATATGGGTCTTGTAGCTCTCCTTGCTGGGCTTGGCGCCGTCCTCAACCTTGAGCCAGACAAGACGGAACTGGTCCTCGATATCGTGGACCATGGTGGCCTCACCCTCGCCACCCTCGTCGTCACCACCCTCCTCAGCGGAGGGGTTGGCACCCTCGAGCTGGAAGTCCTCGTTGGCACGCTTCAGGTACTTGCGGCAGTCACACTCCCAAAGGATATCGAATTCCTTGTTGGGGACAAGCTTAAAGGTATCGGCGACGATCTCGTCGCCGGAAACGATGTCCTAGTTAGTGTCAGTTGAGATTCTCGAAAGAGGATAAAATCCAAGGATCTGTAAACATACAGTGTAGATAATCATTTTGGAGGAATAATTGGGATTATAGGCAAGGGTGTAAGAAAGTAAGGTGGCACGGGAAGGGGAAGGAAGAAAAACACTTTCAAGGTGGGGGGAGATTTTTCTTTCAAAAAAAAAAAAAAAAAAAATAGAGCGGGGGATTGTGTTTGTTCGGTTTGTACCCAACGAGTATCAGGGAGTCTGGGCCACCGCCACTGGCTCTGCGTTAGCGCAGTATTTAGTACTTCAAGGTACTTCAGGATAGAAAATCCATTGACAGTGCAATTCGGCAAATATATATATGTACAAAAAACTTTTGAATATTATTATAGAGAGGAAAAGCGACTAAAGCAATTAATAAGATCAATGCATGTTCGTTGTTACTGTTATAACAAATTTGGTTCCCTCCAGTGCTGCCCTAAGTCGAAGTATAAACTGAGTCAGCATCAACCTATGTAATACCATATAATACTGTATTTTATCACTTTTCCCAGTGATTTTACACAAAATTACTGTCCACCCAGGTATTACCATGGTTTTTCTTGGCTCCGGCTCGCGCCACCCGAATCCGGGCGTCTCCTGATCTGATCTGATCGTTTATCTTTTATCTTTCGAGCATTCCTATTCTTTCCTTCATCATTATCTGATTCCTTTGTTCTTTATTTTTTTGTTTGTACCGGCCAGCGCCGAGAGGTCTTTGGCTGATCGGAATCCTGCATCGCGCCTACCCGTCAACATCCGGACTTAGGCGTGGGCAGTTGCGAGCACACTCTCTTTCCTTTACCTGACATCTGACCTTGCTTTCAATATCCAAGATATTCCGAGATCCCTTTGATCTTTGCTCCCGCATTATCTGTGCTAAAAAAATTCAACACATCGCCATCCTTCCATCATGGCTACGAATGCATCCGTCGCGTTCGACCTTCCTCCCCTACCATCCTACACTTTGACCAAGCGAGAGCATTTGCTTGCTCCGCTTCCCGACAATATCCTCACCCTTATATTGCCTGTCGTCGCTTACTGGGGCTTGTCGATGATCTATCATTACCTTGATGTCAATGATTACTTCGTCGAATACCGGCTCCACACCCCCGCAGAGGTCCTGAAACGAAACAAAGTGACCCGTTGGGAAGTTGTGCGGGATGTTGTCTTACAACAGGTAATTCAAACCGTAGCTGGTTTTGCTTTCGTGTACTTCGATGCCGAGGAAACTGTTGGCAGGGAGCAATATGATGTGGCCGTGTGGGCGCAGCGATTGCGGATCGCCCAAAAGGCTATCCCGTCCTTATTAGCTCTTATCGGGGTTGACGCTATTAATCTCGGAAAATCTGTGTCTCAAAACGGTTATACCATGTTGGCAGGAGCTCTGGCTGGTGGATCATACCCCAGTGTGACCCAGTCCGTGATCCTCGATAATGGAGTCGAGACTGTGGCTCCCGCTTTCACGAGCTGGGAACTTGCAGTGGCCAGTTTCATATATTGGTACTTTGTGCCGACCTTCCAGTTCATACTGGCGATTTCCATTGTGGATACTTGGCAGTACTTCCTGCACCGTGCTATGCATATGAACCGCTGGCTCTATGGTATGACATTTTGAAATTGATCGATGGTTCCATATTAACTAGCTATCAGTGACTTTCCACTCCCGCCACCACCGTCTTTATGTTCCTTATGCTTTTGGCGCCCTCTACAACCACCCAGTTGAGGGATTCCTACTCGATACAGCCGGCACTGGTGTTGGATTCTTGATCTCCGGCATGACCACCCGCCAGGCCATGTGGTTCTTCACAATGTCGACGATCAAAACCGTCGACGATCACTGTGGTTATGCTTTCCCCTGGGATCCGCTGCAGCATTTCACTTCTAATAACGCGGCCTATCACGACATTCATCACCAAAGCTGGGGTATCAAGACAAACTTCTCCCAGCCCTTTTTCATCTTCTGGGACCGCCTGCTTGGCACGCAGTGGACTGGTGAGGTCAAGCTGCGCTACGAGCGAGCTCGGGAGAATGCCCAGAGGCAGGTGGATCAGGATGCTGCCCAGGCGCCTGATATGACGCCGGTTGTGGCTCAGACCGAGGAACGCGAACCCGAGCGGGTAGTGGTATCACCTGAGGGACCTGCGACCCGCACTCGGCTGCGCCGAAAGACTGTTGATAGTCTCAAGGGCCCGAGTCATGGAGTTCCTGGGAGTGTTCTCCACAACTAAAGCCGCGATGAAATGAAGCCTGAGCATGTGTTGATTTTTTTATGCATCCCCCAACCCCGTCCCTGGAGCTGCTGGCCGTCTCCGCCAGACTGTGGGGCTTTCCATCATTTTTTTATTTTCTTTTTGTATATGGGATCAATGGCCCGATGTATTAATACTTCAGAATGGGGCAGTCAATGCTTTGTACATGGTTCGCTCTATGACCTACTGTCAATAATGTCTATTATTTGCCATTTATATTTCCTCTGGGTATTCGGTATTAAACTGTTGAATACATTTGCAAATATCATGAATTAATCTCAACGCCCGACACTGGCCAGATATTGGCGTACAATATCAAAAGCAAAATAGTATCTGAAAGTCTCATCGCGGAACAAAAAGACCAAGAACAAAGCGCGCAGACGAGATGCGAAAACAAATGAAATTTGCTAGGAAAAGAGGTCAAATCATATTCGACTGTTCACACATCAGATTCCAGGTAGTTCTTGCTGTCGAGCCACCTTCCGACCTTCTCCGGTCATCTTCATCACTCCACTCACTGTCAGTGGAATAGATCGACGGGGAACGACACCCTGATGGGACCCCGCCACTCCCATGCACAGAGCAGTGTTGGGTGGTTGAGGGATTTGTTCCTAGACCCTTGTACATCTCAAGCAATTCGTCGATTTCCTCCAAGGCTCCCGAGAAAGTGCTTGTGCTGGGTGATGGGGGTTTTCCAGGAGGTCTAGAAACAGTGCTTGTGCTCCCCGCTTCCACGCTTATTCCTAAGCCTTGATATTCGTCGTCGGCGAAATCCATGAATCTAGTGACGCGATTTAGGGTCGGGTCCGAGCATCGATCGCGCTTCATGTGGTACGATGTTCTCAAGGCTTTCCTGGAAGGGCTTGACCTCGGACGATACATGCTGCGCCCTTCTGTGTCAGTGTCAGTATGTTGAGACGACGAAGATTCGGGGACATACCTTTCTGCGGGGTGGAGTACTGTGATTTTTGGCGGTGGCTGGGTATACTTCTTCCTGGGATTATACTCACTTGCCGGTCTACGGCCACTTGCACTCTTTCCATTCCGGTCACTTTTGTGTCTTTGCCGTGATGTTCTCGAATCAGCATGTGCTGGGTCTTTGGACCAGGCCTTGCTGCAGGCCTTGCGGGTATCCTTCAGGATGAATGCAAACTGACTAGACGTGCCATATAGCTCGTCCACATCATCAGGAAATAGGTCAATGCAGGTATCGACGAACTTCATCAGTCTTCGTGGGGCATGATTCAAACGAGTCTGCGTGCGAGCGAGCAGGGCAATTCGAAGATTGCGCAATGCATTCTTGTCACTCGCAACCCGAGCCACCATACATCCCTGACAGCAGCTAGTCTCATAGTGCCATGCTTCTGAGACAACCTGGTCTATTGGGTCAGGCTTCTCCCACATGCCCCGTATGGCCTGTAGTTTCTCCAGGATCAATATATCAAGAGGCTTCAGCAAGTGGGGGTATGCTTCAAACTTGCGAAGGTGGTGACCGACCTCCCTCTGGATAAGTTTAAACACATCGGTCATGAGAGCCGCGTTCAGATCCTGGTGGACATCGCATAAATTCTTGTTCGTTCTTGACCAGCGATCATGCCGCATATTCTTTGGTAACTCGTGGATCATACGCTTTACAAGCTCACCAACGTGCCTTGCTCTTGTGTTGTCTATGTGTAGGATCACTGTTAGCTTTTTAAGTTCGTCCCTTCTCAGGTCAGTGACCAACCGGGTGTCTCTTTGTCCTGAGAAAAGGGATCTATGGCTACCGATTGTGTCTCGTGTTTTCTCGAACCACCCTCCATCTTTTCCCATTGTTTTGGTTATCGCGTTAAAGGACTGGGTTGGGGCCCTTAGACTTCAGATGGTATTGGTTGTCCCAGAAGAAAGTAGTATGGGGCTTGGAGGTTAGTTTCAAGTTGTACTTGTTTGGAATTGGATGTAGTCACTAGATGGTTTTCATTCATATCACAGATTGTGTGCACAGAGCCGAGCCTTGCTGCGCTGAGCAAAGGGCTTGGGGTTAGTCGTGATACTCAGATTGAGAGGAATATTCCGTCTTCACTAGGATGTTTATATTCCCAATGAAATGGACTGTTTTCGGTGTGCTTTTATCGCAATGTATACTCCACTAAATAATTGGATTTCAAAGAGAACAAAGCTGTTCTTGTGGTGTCCAATTGGTGTTTACTTTTGTGTTCAAAGAAAATGATTCTATTCATAGGGTTACGATACATTCACACAATGAATTGTGCTATTAAAGAACTTATCAGTGGCCTTTGTTCATTTTGTCTCAGTTAATATATTAGACTTGTCCTGTCTCATCCTCTTATGCTCTCGTCTCTTTTCTTTCTTCGTTTTCTGTACCAATCTCTATCTGTCTTTCTACTCCAGAAATTCACTTGTACCATGGAAAGCAAAGTCTCGGCCATTGACTCCTCCCGGGTCACAAAAAGCAAGCGGCGTCTCAGAATTCCAGGGATGTTCAACCATTCAAACGGCAAAAACATTCGGGAGGACAAGTACCCAGCTGGATCTAACCACTGGGTAACTGTCTTTTTCAACTGGGCAGACCGCAAATGCAGCGACCATGAATTGATGGATCTTGTACTGGCTCGAATCAATGCGAGAGACGGTATTATTTCGTCCGAACCGGTCCATCACGATGTTAAATGGTGTCTTTCCATACGTGTCCCAGGTTACTGGAATCCTAGCGATACTTCGATTGCCGGCACCGCTAAAGTCATTGCACAATGGTATCAAAGCGAAATGCGTCATGCAGGTGTGAAAATCAATCGAAAATACCTTTTTCGTGGCAGCAATCGAAAAAAGCGTCACTTTGTTCTTTAATGTTCATTCTCCTTTCATTCCACCATTGTCTCGATCTATAACTAACTGTGCTTTGTCTCTTAGAAACACGCTCATGGTACCTGCAACCTCTTCCATGTTTTGCTTCGCGAGATGAGACATGTATTTCACAAGTAGATGAAAGAATATCAATAATATTACACCAATTATAATAGAAATCGCATCTTCAAAGAGTTCTATAAATTATAAGCGGAGTCATAGGCGGAGTGGAGCTATGGCCTGTAGATCTCCCGAGGTATAGGCAGGCGCCAAAAAAGGTATCACATGACGAGATTACCTCTTTTATATTCTTCTTGTTTCTTCTTTCAACGTTACACTTATTCTACGTTCCACAATGACTTGTCCTGGTAAGGAGGGTACTCCGTTGCCCTACACTGCCTCACCAATCAAGTTACTCTTGAGCGACTTGGCCCTGTTTGTTTCGAAGCTATGGGCGCTTCCAGGGATCTTCCTGCCCCTGGATCTAGCTCAAACACATGAATTGGATGAGTTCTATCCGTCATTACGCAATGGAGCTACCGTGTTGATCCATGTATTTCTCGTGGTTTACCAACTTGGTTTCCTACTCTCGCTGCCCATCATGGTAGTCTGTATGATTCCAGGTCTATGGATCCTTGCTTATTCTGCTATTGGCTTCACTACAAATTATGCGATTGTCATGTTCATGTTGAACGGATTCGAGCATGTTCTAGTGTCCCAAGTTCCCGTGGTCGAGCGACCAGGTCATGAGCGGGAGCGTTGGCTGTATATAAATGGAATTGCAGCTGGGTAGGAGAGACATCCCCATGATTCCCCCGGGGCCTCTTTGCAGTTGCTGACTCAGACTACCTGCAGGCATCACTGGGTACAGATGAACATCGATCAGCTGTCATACATCTTTGGTCGGAAAGTGACCGGTGTACACAATCGCACGTAAGTGACGCCTTGGATCCCAAGTTTGCAAACGTTAATGAGACTTAGCGCAGGAATTGTTTTTGATCTAATCGAATGCCTAATTCAACGGGATTTTTCATACGCTACTGATGATATACGACAATCGTATGTCTTAGTCAAGGAAGCTCTCTTGGACCCAGAATGTGACAAGGTGGTTCTGCTTCTTCACAGTCAAGGCGGTATTGAAGGGGGACTTGTCGTGGACTGGCTTCTGGATGAGCTACCACACGATCTCCTTCATCACTTGGAGATATACACATTTGGAAATGCCGCGAATCACTTCAATAACCCGCGATGGACAAAACTAGCAAGGCCACAAAGAACCTCAACACCTGATCTAGTGCCTCAATTTGGTCAATCTATCGGCCATATCGAGCATTATGCTAATGCAGGTGACATTGTGGCTCTGGGAGGCGTACTCCACTTTGTGGACATCCCAAATCGATATATGGGCCGGCTGTTCGTGCGCCCGCATCCAGGCCACCTGCTCAACCTGCATTACCTGGACAACATGTTTACTCTGGGGCCTGATATGAAAGTTCTTGACTCCAACCCATTCATGGATATGGAAGTCGAGCCATGGGCAACCGCCGGTATAAACGGATATGATGGCCCTCCACATCGAATCAGGTATCAGCCCACTATGGCCCGAGACGAGGCGTTTCTTCCCGCTGCAGTGAGCCTGCAGCAGCCACAAACAAATGGTGTAGGCCGAGTACTGCGTGTCAAGGATTTTAGTCGGCTCTGGCAGTATAGAAATGGAGGATGTCCGGAAGACACAGAGGCACGGCATGATCATGACACCGACGCACATGTCCTTCTTTAGACATTTTAGTACAATTTCCCCCCTTGCATGGGCGTGTGATATATCTTCATTTGTGCCCTCCCCAATATGACAACCTCTGGTATGACCTGCTGACCTGGTCATTTATAAGGCGACCAGGCTAAATTGCCTCGTAGGCCACTTTTGCCCCAGATTTGGGGCCTCCGAGGTCTGACATGCCAAATTTGTTTCCTTAAAACTCTCTAGGCAGCTCTGTTGGTTGAAAGTTGGCCGTCTTCCATATCGGCTTCAAAGACCAGAGGTCTGATGCTCTGCAAAAATGAAAAGCGAAAGCCCGCTGGCATGTAGTTGGAGGCAACAAACATACCTCCAGTCGAGGTTTATCGCATTAGAGGATTGCCCCGTGTGACCTATATTACTATGTATTATTTTGATAAAAGCCAGCCGGTTTTTGAATATATAATAGGGTATGAGATACAAATAATACAGGGAACTCTCCAAAGCTAGATGCATTGCATTCTACAGCATATATGTATCCAGGTCAGACTAGGGCAGCCCTAATAGTTTCGGGACATTTGTATTAGACCGTAAGGCATAGGTAACACATAATTGTTTTGGAATTGTACAATCATGTACATAAATATATGGTTATAGAACTATCAGGTAGAGGCATTGAGGTGGATGTACAATAAGATCAATTCAGATGGAGGTCCGTGGTATCAAGGAAGTGTTCCTTTCTCGAGTGCATCAAAAATCAGGAGGAAAAAGGAACGCCCTTCGCCAAAAATGCAAGTGGAACCCGGAATAAAGGTGTTAAATCATGCCCTGATCACCTTCTTCTTTTCCTTCTTTTTCTTTTCTGGGCCTGCCCCTGAGGGCTCGCCCATTCCGCCCATTCCACCCATTCCGCCTAGTCCACCTAGTCCGCCCAACATATTACTCAGTCCGCCCATTCCGCCCATTTGACTCATCATTTCAGACATGTTAGGCATTCCCTCCATGCCCTGCATGCCCTGCATCTCAGCCATTGCATCCTTAAGGGGGTTATCACTGACACCACCGCCGCTGTAGGCAGGCGAGTGGATAGGTAGGATCTTCCCGATCTTCCAACCCCGCGGGGCAGCAGGAGCAGGTGGGAGCTTCTCAGGCATGGGCAGGCCACGAATCCGTAGCCGGTAGGGTGATTTTTCGGTAGTAGGGTTTGCCTTCAAGTACTGTGCGACGAGAATATAGAGGTGGTGCTCTAAGCAGCAATGTCAGTTCAAGTCCAACAGAAAAAAACCCCCATTCACTCCACAGATATTAACCACGTACTGTTCTTGATTTTTGGGTTGGCTAATTGACCATCCTCGTTCTTAACCTGCACACGCACACGACCGGGATTTGCCCAATCCTTAGGGTGTAGCTTCTCAGGCTCCAAACCTGCATTCAGGCCAAGCATCTGCACGGCATCGACGATATCTCGCGCCAGAGGGTTTTCCACTGCAAGCTCCGCACCGACTTTGCGGCCCTCGGCGCGCGATCGCGTCTTATCGAAGTACACGGGGTACAAGCATGAGAAGTGTCGGGGGATTTCGCGCTGGGGCTCAGGTGCTGGCATCGATGGCATGGGCATCTGTTGTTGTTGGGGTTGAGGTGCAGCCCTGGTCGGGACATTTACGGGCGCAATGATGGCATTTCTGGGGAGGTCCTCATCGGAGTCGTAGGAGGGGGCGATCTCTTCTGGGTCGGAGTCGGAGACTTCCTCAATTTGGGCGTGACGCTGCATTGTGGGTTGGAATAGTGGTATGGAGAGATGTCTGGGGAAGGCGGGAATTGTGGCCAAGTCAGAGGGGCAGAATGAACTGTGCGGGCGGTGGGACGTGGGGATGTTCAGGACGTTCAACTACACGTCAAATACTAATGTTATAGTAAATTATGTTTATAATTTAGACCCTAATCTTGAATTTACTACTATTCCTTGCATAGCCTTTATAAGAAAAAAAGGCCATGTCATTTATTGTTCTATTTCGAAACCCTAACTGAACTATGTATTGCCAGATATATTCTTGCAAAACCAATGTATATAGTCCCCGCGTATACTCCTAGGCCATGTGCCATTACCAAAAACAAACATCTAAAGCTCTTTCAAACATGTTACAGGCAGATAGACCCGGTAGATAGCTATAGATAGGAGATAAAATCGGACGAAAATGTCCGCTCCCCGGGCCAATTGCGGGTTCGGCTTCTTCTCTTCGGCATGCCGAACCCACTTAGCCCCGCATAAATTCCCATTGCCTCGGGTGAAACATTCAAGAGAGGATACACCGACTATATAACCCGTTTCATCCCCTCAATCCATTCTTTCTCTCATATTTCCCCAAACTTCAATCATGACCAACGGTACGTCGAATGCAATATCTTGACGTATTCCTCATTCTGATATACTTCCCAGAAACCAAGACTAGTGCCGTTCTCCACCGGGACACACGCTTTGTCCCGAAGAAAGCCATTGGCGGCAAAGGATGCTATGTGTTTCTGGAAGATGGAACCAAATTCCTCGATGCCACAGGTGGCGCAGCTGTATCCTGTCTAGGACATGGTAACCAGCAGGTCACCCAGATGATCAAGGATCAGATGGACCAGATATCCTACTGTCATTCTGCCTTCTTCGGTACTCAGGTAGCCGAGGACCTTGCCCGACTCCTAGTAGACTCTACGGGAGGAAAGCTATCCAAGGTTTTTGTAACCAGTTCTGGTGAGTCAAGGCAGCCGTTATGAGAAACAAAAAATCCAGTTCACACATACAATACTGACGATATTCAGGGTCTGAGGCTGTCGAGGCTGCACTTAAGCTAGCACGCCAATATTTCTTGGAGCTTCCAACTCCCCAAACTGAGCGTACTAGGTTCGTTGCCCGTCTTCCATCTTACCACGGCACCACGCTTGGGGCTCTTTCAGTTGGTGGCCATGTTCAGCGTCGGGAGCCATTTGAACCACTCCTCTCCAAGAACGTCTCCCATGTTTCCCCATGCTATGCATACCGTGGAAAGCGGGATGGTGAATCTGATGCAGACTATGTGGCACGCCTCGCAGAGGAGCTAGATGCTGAATTCCAACGTGTCGGACCTGAAACTGTGTGCGCATTCATTGCAGAGCCAGTCGTTGGCGCGGTATGACTTCCTATCTTGAACCTTACACTACCAGATCATTCAACTTATACTCATTAGGCTCTTGGTTGTGTCCCCGCAGTACCAGGGTACTTCCGTGCAATGAAAGCCGTTTGCGAGAAGTACGGTGCTCTCTTGATCCTTGACGAGATTATGAGCGGCATGGGCCGTTGCGGGACCTTGCATGCCTGGGAACAAGAGGATATTGTCCCCGATATCCAGACTATTGCAAAGGGTCTGGGTGGTGGATATGCGCCGGTGTCGGCGGTCTTGATCAGTGACTCTATTGTGCAGACGATGGACAAAGGTACCGGGCAGTTCCGCCACGGACAGACGTACCAAGGCCACCCGATCTCATGCGCTGCTGCGTTAGCTGTACAGAAGACTATCCAGGAACAGTCTTTGCTAGATAATGTCCGGACTATGGGTGCTTACCTTGAGACACAGTTGAAGCAGCGATTCGAGAGTCACCCTCACGTGGGAGATATTCGTGGAAAAGGATTGTTCTGGGGTGTAAGTTTACATCTTTTCTGTATTAGATGCTACACGACCAAAAGAAACGTGTTGCTAACTCTTTCCAGCTTGAATTTGTCAAAGATAAGGCCACGAAAGAGCCATTTGATCCTAAGGATCGCCTATCTTACCGGATTCAGGAGACAGGTCTACAGCCGGAGTACAGTGTCTCGCTATATGGCTGTTCTGGTACTGTGGATGGAATTAAAGGAGATCATCTTGTCCTTGCGCCACCTTATATCGTGTCGAAAGAGGAGATTGATATTATTGTGGACACGCTAGAGAAAGTTATGAAGGAGGTTTTTGCCTCTCTATAGATGCGCTCTATCTCTACTTTTGGGGTCTGCTTCTATGGCATTGGAAGTTCAATTATTTAATCAATATCATTTTGTCAAAAAGAAACCCCGGGAAGAAACGTTAGATGATGAGGCAAAAGTAAAAACGTCAAATCATGTGAATGTTGGGATATTTCATTATTTTACAAATACAGGGATCAAGCATGAGCCTCGATGGCAGCCGCTTTCTTCCTATCAGCCAGTTCAATCCCCTTTGGTCCGTTGTCCTGGATCGAGCTCTCTGCCCACAGGCCAGCGACAGTCTCAATGGCCCGTTCAACGACTACACGAATGCGGTCTCGCAGGACAGGGTTTGCACATTCGACCTCTAGGTCCTCGAGCCACACGCGAGCAATATGCTTGTCCACCCTGATCTCAATCCCAGGGACGGGAATGCCCATTGTGATAAGACGGTCCAGCTCCGCAGCCTCAATGTCGGCAATTCGTTCGTCGTTCGTCTCTTCGCCATCTTCTTGTGGGCCGAGTGCGAGATCAGCCGGGACTCGTGGCCGCTCAATGGGGCCAATGTTATCGCCACCAAATTGGGCCTCAAGCATCATCAGCATACGAGCAAGCCGTTCTTGGGGTCCAGATTGAGCATGGGGATTATGTGGAAGTGAGGGAACTTCCATGTCGTCATCGTCATGGTGATGGTGGTGGTGCTTATTTTTGGCCGATTCTAAACCCGAATGAGTTAGCATAAGGAAAGAGGTAAAAAGGGGTAGGGATTCATACGCTTTACGGAGGCCGGGCTGCTTTCAACTGTGAGCAGAACAGCCATAACTGCATCTGCCACTCCGTCGTTCATCATATTACCTTCCCATTCCAATTCAACCTCGCGAGTGCGTGAGTGATGGCGGAGATACACACACCCCATGACAAGGAATGTCTGTGTCTCGTCCGATGGAATCTCCTCGTCAGCATCCTCTTGCTTTTGGATATTGTCGGTAGCCATGCTGTTCTTGCCGTTGGCCTCGGTCTTGTTGCTATTCCCGACTTCTTCAATGGCTCCGAAAGTTCCCTCGAGGGCCCATCGGATCAAGTCCATGCTCGCGGAGCTGAGAGTGATATGTTGTTTGCAAGTAATAGTCGTAGTCGTCAAGCCCGCGTACTCTTGTAGATCATCGGGGGCCATCAACGACAAGTTGAACCCATTCTGAACTAGCACTCCAGCCATGAGCTGGGCATCATCATTTTCCGATGGAGGCGCAAGCTCTGCAAGCTTGCCGACGACCTTGGCAATCTTGTCTTTCTTGAAAGGGATGCGAACTTCGTCGCAGTTCGCTGGGGTGTAGACTTTGACTTTGACGGCTTTGTCTGCGTTGAGGCTGAGCAGTTTCGACTTCAATCTCATCATCTGATGTTTTTCGCCGTGAACGAGGATCTTGGATGAGTCAGTAGAATTTCAAATACACTGGTGTATGTCACACTTACCACAACTGGTGCTCCAACTTCCTCGATGAAAGTACGATTTTCAACGCCGTCAACATGAGCTGCAAAGCTGACCTCGTCAATAGTGCAACGACGAGGAATCATAACCTTCTGATCCTCGTCATTTACTCCAGGAACACGACCACGACCATGCCCAGTGGAAACCTTAGACATAACAGCCGGGATCTGATCAGGTTCATTGAGCAACCCCTTGGCCATAGTTCCTTCAACGCTGTAGCCGGTCATAACAACTCCGTTGCGATCACTTGGTGCCCATCTTTCCAGCAGCTCGCGACTTGTTCCCGTCTGCAACATACCGGGAGAGGCAAGCATGACACATCCTCCAACATCGTCGAAACGCTCTAAACTACGGAGACTTCGAACGAATCGGAAATCCCACGGTCCGACACTCACGCTCTTGTTGCCGCTGGCCTCGGCCTCGGCCATGCGCTGCCGGAAGAGTCGCTTTATATTATCGTTCATGGCACCGATATATGTTTGGTACACAACCATGCATCGTCGTGCCATGTTTCCGATGTAGTAAATGGGGAATTTTTGGAGTTCTGGGTGGGTTTCCCAATATTCATCAAGGATAAGAAGCAGCTCTTGGGCACGTCCAAGAGCAAACACAGGCATCAGAACTCGACCTCCGCGGTTGAGGACGCTTGTGATTGACTTCATCAAGGCAGCCTCACGCTCCAATCGGGGCGGATTGGAGGAAATTCCGAATGTAGATTCTGTGATTAGAACATCGATCTTCGTACCCTTTGGCACCGCGGCGGGAATCAAGTGTCTGTCTTCCTCTCGGGAGTAGTCTAAAGCCGGTTGGTTAGCAATTTAGTTGATAATATTGTGGATGACAAGGGGTATGATAAGGCATACTTACCTCCTGTAAACAAAGTTACCAGCCCTGCAATATCAACTTTAAACATGGCAGCACCGAGGACATGTCCGGCCGGATACGGGGTAATACGAATACCATTGATCGTATGTGTTGTGTAAAAGTCGATCGTTTCAATCATTGGAAGTGTCGACAAGTGATCACGCTCAGTGTATAACGTGGTGCGTTGATCGGAGGAAGAGGACGTATTGCTGACTCTGACATTGTCTTGAATGAGCCATTTGTAGATTGCCCGGGTAGCCGGAGTCATGAATACTCTGCCTTTGAAATTCGTCTTGCTGAGAACATATGGGAGGGCGGAAGAATGGTCAACGTGGAAACTATACAGATCAGACGGTTAGTCAACTGCGATAAATGAACACGTTGGAGAAAGCACTCGAAGTCGAAACTCAAGAGGGTATAGTGATACAAGAGATATGTGCATGACATTGAATTGTATTGGGCTTCTCATATATATGCAGGGGAATGTGTTCCATTGAGGCAGCTGAGGCAGTAGACTGCCAAATAACCCAGCCTCATATGGATAGATGTAGAATGCCCAGTCGGGCTTGCCATGATTCCATATATTATGTAAATAAAAGAGATACACGTACTGGCTGATTAAAAGAACGTCGACTGTGCTCAGATCGAACTCATCAAAGAAAGGAAGTGCGGAGAAGCCTTCTTTTGCCGGATGCATGCCCGCGTCAAGCTACAGAAACCAAGGGGTCAGTATCTGCGACTTCATGTCTCATTACACCGGAGACTTACCATCACTGTCTTGCCCTTATATTCCAGGATGTGACAACTCCGTCCAACTTCATTACCGCCGCCGAGACAATAGAATGCCAGTTCGTCTGATGGGTCAACAGGCTCATCATCGACGGCTGTTCCCATTGATGAAGCTTTGCGCTTGGATGCCATGGTGTCGATGTTTAATTGGGAAAGGTTCCAGGAGATCGACAGATTTCTTGATATGAGTTTGAGAAGCCTAGTTGGAAGGAACTAGGACCCGCGCCGCAAAGTACAGCTCAGGATATCAATATAAGCTTTGCGCAACACCCATGACTTGCGCAATAAAAGGCTATAAGTAATGTAGCTGCTCAGAATATTTAAAAGCAGATGCCAATGCACCCCGTGAAGACTGTGATTCAATAGAAGAGTGATCTCTTTCACAGACATCCGCAGATTTGGAGAGCTTAGTCAAGCTTAGTCACGTGTGTCGCAATCCGCGATCCGCGGAGCAGAGTTCGACCACCTAGAAAGCTCCTTACCACATCACGCATCTCTAAATCCGCGATTACTATTGCTTTTTCGCTTGAGCTAACTACTTTACGATTTGTGTGTCGCTTCTATGGTTTAAGTTCAATAGTGAGATGGTCAAAGGTGGTGGAAGCTGGTGGTGCGAGCAATCCGCTCAGTTTAACGGCCACGCGTGGACCTCGATTCATCTGCCAGGCTACAACGACTCAGCACAATAGCCTTTATCTCATTTGAATTCTAATTTTTCTCTCAATCGGAAGTCACACGTCACAATGGCCCAAGCTCGGCATCCGCAGCAGCAGGCACCCCCGCCGCCGCAATTTTCCTCCCAACCTTTCTCCCCACCTGTGTCGTCTCCATCCCCAAATTCGATAGCATCTCCTGTGAATGGAGGCGCTGCACCCCCTCCATCTAAGCGACCTCGTCTCTCTCCTCTGCCACCTTCCCAAACGCAGTCTCCTTACGGTTCTCCGAGCTTTAACGCGGTGCAGCTACCACAAAATCCATCCCCAATGAACGGAACGCCAATGAGTATGAGCATGAACATGAACATGTCTTCAACACCTGCCCCTGCTCCCCCTGGGACGATGGGTCCTCCTTCTCGCCCAGCTGATAAAACAACGGATGCTGCTGAGCTGACAGACGTTCTAGCGTCATCTGGAATTGATGTGAGGGAAGAGGAAGCATTTCTCACACAGAGCTTTTCAGGGCAGAATGCGCAGGCGCAGCCTCCCCACCGAGGACCACAGTCTCAATACCCGCCACCCATCAACACCTCCTTCACGTCTCAAGGCTCTGCCCCGGGAACTCCCTCGGCTTCGACCAGCTTCGGTGATTTACCTCAGACCAAACCAACAACCACACACGACTCGTTTACCGGTCAATCTTCCCAGGCACATGTTCCCTTCAAAGATCCCAATGAACCGACTCGCGAGGACACTATTGCAGCAAGGCGAGCTCAGTATCACATCCAAGAACCATTCTTGATCACAAAACTCCTCGAGCAGAAGCTCCAGAAGCGAGGCTTTGACCTCGGTGTTCGAATCCCCTCGGAGGGTCTTTTCCATCCCGTACCTGGCCGACCACAGCCGATTGAAGTGACTGGTCCGGATGGCTCTTCTGTAGTGCGCACTGGTCAGACAATTCTCAACCAGGAAGGCGCTCCTCTTGTGGACATCCTGAATCTTCTATCTATTTCCACCGAGGAAAGATTCAGGGGCGTCATCGACTACGCCTCGACTCTGGCTCGAAGTCGCCGGGCGCATTCTCATGGCCTCGTTCCCAATGAGTGGAAAGATGTCGCGCAACCTGTTGGACAGCCTACTGGAGGCACTCAAACTCCTATGAAACGTAATATTTCGCTCGTCCTACCCACTCAACTTAATACTAATTACCTTGGCAGGTTCTCTTTCCACCGTTGAATCCTCCAGCGCCAAGTCGAACGCGGCAAGGTACAGAGCATTCATCCAACGGGAGAGTTCGCAAGAAGAAAGGCGTGCAGCAAAGCGTGCCAAACGTAACAGCAATGCCATTCTTGATGAGGCTGGTCGAGCCGAGTCTGTTGATCCAATGGGATCTGCACCCTCGACACCTCTCGGCGACAGGGCGCTTGGGCTCGATAAAAAGTCAGTCACCAAAAAAGAAGCGAAGAAAATGCAGGATTCCAAAGCAACCGAAGCCCAACAGCATGCACAGTCTGTTGAAACGGCCCGCATGGCTTTGTCTGGGGGTGGCCGTATGTTCGGCGGCAAAAAAACATACTCGTGGTTGAAACCTGGCGGCAAGGCCGGTGGATTCTCGTCCCCTTCACGTCCGACTCCTTCCACCCCCACCGCCGGCCCTGAGAAGACTATTGCCGGCGAATCCACACCCAGTCTGGCCCAGCGTCGTCTGGGCATCTGGCGTGAAGATCAAGAGAAAGGGGCGGGAATTCAGGTCCGAGATATTTTGTTCATGCTGGAGGCGGATGGACGGGCGACCAGACATGTGCAGAGGGGTTACTTGAAGGACCCCAAAGAGGATCGGGATCGAAACTAACTGGGTCCTAAATGTTTGTAATCTTATTTTCTTCCCTAATTTCTTTGTTGGCCCAAGGTCTATGGCTCTGGGCATTAGGAGTTGCATTCTCTGTGTGTGTATGATGGCGTTGGCTTATGCGGGGGGGGGGGGTTGGTTGTCAGGCCATGGTCTTTTAATTTCATTCAACTACATGTTGAGCATCTTTGAGAGGATAGAACTATTTCAACTCTCTTGTACCTCAATAAATTACTGGATATGTCTCTACATGTGCTAGTAAGGAATGGGATTTGCTAGGTCGTATGTGTACGTGTCTATGTTGTATATCATGCCCTATCCTTCTAGGAGACTGTAGATCTCTGAGGATTACTGTTCTTGTCACGGGCTATGCCGGTCTATATATAGTTCACTTGTCTACGAAATTTTTTAGAGCCAAGGCAACGGTCAAAGGGGGTATTTCGAGGATTCTCCCAATTGAATATATGTATCATTGTCCATGATTAGTATGCCTATCTACTTTTACTTTTGAATTGCCTCACTTTGAGATATATATTACTTGAACTTTTATTGCATTAATCCAATAGCAGTAACCTGACAATTTTTATGAGGTTATGTTCAATATATATATCTTTTCCTCTAGTCTCTCTATACAAGCCCTTTTCTCCCATTTTTTTTCTCTCTTTCTTTCATATAAAACCAATAGCCCGTCAAAAACAAATGATCAACTTTCAATTTCTATTACACCTATGTATATATAATGTGTTTCTAAGTAATTCCCAATGTGGATGCTGACTCAGTTGGAATGTCTATGCAGGTCGAGGTAGTATCCATATGAGAGGGGGTATAGTCGTGATATCAGCATTTCCTAGGACTTAGGGTTGTATTATATATACTTTTTTTGGCTTCTCGAGAGTCTTTATTCTTATTCTCGATATTATTGAGGTTCTCCCTTGTGGATTGGATTCGGCTAAGCCAGGGCTTGGACGCGATGCTCCCCGGTGGCCCCCTCTCAACCTTGAGCCTTTAGGATTTTAAGACTTAAGATCCTTTCTAATTGTATTCACAGGGAGTATAGGAAGGAGATAACATCCTCCCTATTCTCCCTAGAGGTGCATGGGAGGGTTTAACATGTATAAGATAGAGATGAGAGAATAGGCGAATAACGCATCAACATAGGCATTTAAACATTTAGAAAGGTGAAGAAGAATTAAAAAGACTGAAAGAACTAGAAGATAAACATTAGTTAACGATTTCTTAGACAGTGATGATAGTTATATAGAAGAGAATCGGTCAAAATCTCCAAAAATCCCAAAAATCCCAGTTGGATCGGCAACGGGTCCCAACTCTCCGACTCTTCCATCATCACTTTGCCTCCAGGCCCTTTCCCCTCCGTTTACCAATGTCGCCAGGCTCTCTCTGTGCTTTACTTCCTTGTGAATTTCTCGAGGAAATGCAACTAATTTGAAAGATTCCCCTCCCCGACCGCCTCAGCCCGTCATCTTCACGTCTCCAATCTCCTAGACACACTTGCCAATCTCAATCTCTGTCTGGTTCCTCGCTGGCTGGCTTGCCCTTGAGATCCTCTCTATCGAGGGAGCCTGACGCGCGATACCGACTATCGGTCACAATTTAGACCAATCTTCTCCCCATATTCCTACTGTTCGTGTCACGGGCAGGATACTCTTAGTGCACAATGTCCACCCCGTCCACGGCGACTGCAACACATCCTTCTCATCATCAGGCTTACGGATATCCTCACCATCCTTCGTATCAACCGAATCCCTCTTACCCAGCTTCGACCACTGCCGCAACAACTCGCCTCGCGAACCCCTACGCCATTCCCGTCCCCTCTCCGACAATGACCACCCTTCCCTACACCCAACCTCCGAGAATTCCCCCCGCGACAACAACTCCGTCGGCCATGACCCACCAGAGTGGCTCCAGCGTGGCTCCCTCCGTTGGTGGTCGGAGAAAGAAACCAGACTGGACCGAGTTCTACAAGAATGGTCTTCCCAAGGAAGTCATTGTGATTGATGACAGTCCCGGTCCAGAGCCATCCAATGGTGCCCCAGCTCCTGCGAGTACTGGGGACAGACCACCTGCCGCGGCCCCTCAGCCCGCTGGAAAGAAGCGACGGACGGGGATCGAAAGTGCCTATGACCTGGGCCACTATGACCGCCCGTCGTTTTCAATCAACCCCCAACATTACGGGGAGGAATCCTCCGCCACCTCCTTATCGACCGATCGAACCGCATCTTTACACACAACAGCTCCAACTTCGCTTGGTTCACAAGGTAGTTCGGGAGCGAGCAATGGTGTATACTACGAGGACGGCTCCGTTGGTCAAAAGCGGAAACGCGCCACTCGGAAATCCACCCGCGACGAACTGAAGCGACGAGAGTTGGAGACTGCAGGCGATGCTTTCCTGAGTTATGTCCCACCTCCGAAGCCGCCGATCAAAGCGAAGGATGTCCCTGTGCCGGTCGTTCGCGATGTGAGTGTTTTATCTTTGCTAGAGCTTTCGTGCAAATCCACTGACAAATTTTGCTCGATCAGTACACCAGTTCCCAAAACAAGAAGTTTGACGATGACGATGGTCATTACATTGTCACACCCGACACGCCATTGACAGATCGATGTGAGTAAAGAGAGATCTCTGGTATCTTGTTGACTATGCTAACCCCTCGCAAGACTCTGTGATCAAACTTCTAGGCCAAGGTACGTTTGGCAAAGTTGTCGAAGCCTATGACAAGCAACGCAAGGCTCGCTGTGCAGTCAAAATCATTCGCTCGATCCAAAAGTATCGAGACGCTTCTCGAATCGAGCTGCGAGTCCTGTCAACCCTGGCTTCGAATGATAAAAGCAACCGCAACAAATGCATCCACCTTCGGGACTGCTTTGACTTCCGAAATCACATTTGCATTGTCACAGATCTACTAGGACAAAGCGTATTTGATTTCCTCAAGGGCAATGGCTTTGTCCCATTCCCGAGCAGTCAGATTCAGCAGTTTGCCCGGCAACTGTTTACCAGTGTTGCATGTAAGTTCCCCACCACGTCTATATCTATATATCAGATCACTAACCTATTAGTCCTCCATGACCTAAACCTTATCCATACTGACCTCAAACCCGAAAACATCCTCCTCGTCAGCAACGCCTATCAAACCTTCACTTACAACCGCACTATACCATCCTCTTCCCACGCTACTGCTCGCAACGCACGGCAGCGCCGCGTTCTCCTCGACGGCGAAATCCGACTTATCGACTTCGGTTCAGCGACCTTCGATGATGAATATCACTCATCTGTCGTGTCTACGCGTCACTACCGGGCTCCCGAAATCATATTGAACCTGGGCTGGAGCTTCCCATGTGATATCTGGAGTATTGGGTGTATCCTGGTGGAATTCTTCACCGGTGATGCCCTGTTTCAAACGCATGACAACCTTGAGCACCTGGCGATGATGGAAGCCGTCATTGGCAATCGAATCGATACCGCTTTGGTCAGGAAAGTCATGGCGGGCCGAGGTGGTAGTGTCAATTCTGCTTCCAAGTAAATATGGGCCCTTCCACTCTTTCCGTGATAGGAACTAATTTTTACCAGGTACTTCAATCGAACTAAGATCGACTACCCCAACGCTGAAACGACCCGGGCCTCGCGGAAGTATGTGCGCGCGATGAAATCTTTGACAGTAAGTGTTTCGCATATTATCAGCCTGTGGGAATTTTGACTGATTTCATCTACTATAGGAGTTCATCCCTACCAACACACCATTCAATCGTTCATTCCTAGACTTGCTGCAGCAGATCTTTGTCTACGATCCAAAGAGCCGGATCACTGCAAAGGAGGCATTGAAGCACCCGTGGTTCAAGGAGACACTCGTTGATGATGGTACGGAGGCTCACCGGATCGGCCAAGGATTGCATCGGCAAGCACGCACCTAGGCCACAGATCCAGTTTGCACAGCTACAGCCAATATTCGGCTCTTTCAACGGCATCAGAAAGGAATTCAACCGGCGTGAACAGGATCCAGCTATGGATAGAAGGCTCATATCTTGAGGGTAATCTTTTTCTCTATCGCGAATGGGACGGAATGGTGTTTGCACTTCGGAAAATCATGATCACGATGTTATTTTTTTCTTCTCTTTTTAATTTCTTCTCGGTCCCTGGGGGTTTCTCCTCGACTCCTGCACATGCAGGATTCGGGTGTCTTTGTGACACCGCATGGCAGGGGCATTGGACCCTTGAGCAACCGGAATCGATGCATGTATCCTCGAGGGACCTATCCCCTGATGCTCGGTCTTACTTTTATTTGCTTTATCTATCCTTTTATCCCATTTTTAAAGGCGCTGGTTACATGTTATTTTGCTTATCCCGTGTTTATGGAATCCGGCTTTGGGAGCCCTGGAGGGTTTAGGCTAAGGTCTGGATGATTATACCATTTGATTGTTTGTGGCGTCCACTTGTTAACCGTATGTGTGTACATATGTGTTTTCTTTTCAATTTTCTAATTCTTCTCAGATCTGTACATGACTCTTTGTCTCGGTCTCTTTTGTATACATCGGAACGGAATAACCCCAAGCCGTCCTTCTATATAGTTACAATGGCCACTTCTGTTATTGACATTGTCAGTTCAGCAGTTCAGGACAAAGCATACATTAACAAAACTAGACTCCGTCCATCGAATTGCAGATCCCATGTACAGCATGGATGAATTGGATGAGCAGATCCCGAGGTCACCAACATCCGGGGAGACCCCAACACGACCCCAACGCCAATTGCCCCTCTTGTGGGAATAAATACAGAGTATTTTACCACTAGATCATAACGAAAACCAAAGCTCTCTTATAGCCTAGAGGGGCTATACCTGCTGTTCGATCCCTCTATCCAATTCACCCAACACCATGGACTCTCCAGCATGGCAGGAAGAGATAACAATCACCAAATTCCATGAACTGCTCCGGATAGACCCCTCCATCGGTCCAGAGCTAGTAAAAAAATATCTCAAGGCAATCAATCAACACGACGGAACCCTCAAATCCCTCATCACCATAAACACCACAGCTCTAGAAACCGCCATAGAAAAAGCCACCGAAACACACACATTCAACCAAGCCAGCAAACAATTCCCACCATTACACAGCGTGCCAATAATCCTAAAAGACAACTACAGCACCGCAGATCTACCAACAAGCGCAGGCGTCAAAGCCCTCCAAAACCTATGCACCAAGGACAGCGATGTTGTCTCCCATTTACGAGCCGCAGGTGCAATAATCATAGCAAAGGCTAACCTCCATGAATTCGCTCTGCAAGGAATAACACTCTCCTCGCTCGGCGGACAAACCCTGAACCCATACGATAAGACCCGCACTCCGGGCGGATCCTCTGGTGGGACAGGCGCTGCGCTAGCGGCGAACTTCGGGATCGCGGGGTGTGGGACGGATACGATGAACTCGCTACGGTCGCCTGCGTCTGCGTGTGGGATTGTGGGATTCCGTCCGTCGACGGGGAATGTGTCTTGTGTTGGGATTGTACCTGTTTCTAAGACGCAGGATGCGGCTGGGCCGATGGGGAGGAGTGTTGGGGATGTGAGGATTATGTATGGAGTTATGAAGGGTGGGGAGAAGACAAATGTACCTGAAGCGAGACCTCGATCTCGTCAGGTTCGGATTGGAGTCTTGGAGGCTTATTTCCAACCTGAAAGATGTGCAGATGGAACTCCGGAATCGGAGTATATAGTCGAGAACCAGATCGTGCAGGATGTCATTCGGTCGAGTTTGCGTTCTATACAGGAACACGATGGGGATATCATATTGGTATCTATTGACCCGTCTAGTCATCCGGATTGGAGTTATGGAACCTTGTTTGAGAAGGCGGATACGCAGGCTTTCGAGTTCAAGGATTGTCTCGACGAGTTTCTGCAGTCGTCGCTGGTTTTGTCAACACCGCATCGATCGCTAGAATCTATTGCACAGAGCGGCGAGTTCGATTTACAAGCTATGACGCATGTTTTTACTGCGGGATTGGAAGATCCTGAGACATTTTCATTGACGAGTGAGGTATATCGAAGTCGATTGGAGTATATTGCTGCTCTAAAAGAGTCTGTGAAAGAATGTTTCGATAGATACGATATCGACGCGGTGGTATATCCGCACCAGACACAGCTGCCTGTGAAGGTTGGCGTGAAGAAGCAGAATGGACGGAATGGTGTTTTGGCTGCGTTGACGGGGAGGCCTGCTATTTGCATTCCTGGTAGGTGATTCTATTCGGTGTGTAAGATTGGACTAACAGGAATACAGCTGGGCGGAGCCCTAAGACTGCGTCTGCCGTGCTTGGTGTTCCTATTGGGTTGGAGCTGATGGGCCGGCGTTGGGGAGATGATGAATTGCTAGATATTGCGGAGCGGGTTGAGGGTATCCTTAAAGGTAGAGTGAGACCTATTCTTCATTGAATGGTCTATAAGGCCAACAGTATCAACATTTATAAACGGAAAACCGGGTCTATATATTCTCTGACCTATGTATGCAAAGACAATGTAATATGCACGCTGCGAAACTCCTAAGATGAAAAACTTACATTCCGCGGTTGAACTCCACCATGCCCCGTTCACCGCCACGACCTCTGAACTCCTCCTCAAGGCTGTCAACACTGATAGCCTGGCGAGAGGGGAATGCAGCGAGCGCAAGTGGCAGCGCAAAGATCGAAGTACCCAGAATCAGCGCCAAGTTAATAGGCGTGACCATGCGGGGGCGGGCACGCAGCCAGTCCGTCTTCTCGAGACGAACGAGGATGAGCGGCGGTAGAACCATGATAGGTGTGGCGTTCAAGACACGGGAGATAGCCGTCTCGCCGACGGCAAGTGTAGCAGCCTTCTTACTCTTGCCGAGACTCTGGACTGGCTCGGCGTCCTCGTTGAGCGCGCGCTTGGCACGCTCAGCATCTGACAGGACGGGGTAGACGTCGATACCCTGACGGATTTCCTCACCGCGCATGAGGAAGACGTTCAGGGCGGAGGCGCTGGCCACAGCAGCGAAGGGGACGAGGCGTTGGAGGATGAGACGGGTGTTTGGGGAGACGCTCTTGAGGCGGGGGACGAGGGCGTTCAGGCCGAGTGCGACGGAGCAGGAAGCTGAGACGGCCATGAGGTAGGACTTGCCGATTTGCGACAAGGAGAGGGGGGTAGATTTGTTGGCGTTTGCGTTGTTGACGGCGACGTTGAGGGACTGGTTACCGATTTGCCAGAGGAGGGTTCCGGTTGTCTATATTGTCAGTACAATATTCATATGTACTTATATTTGGGTATGCGTAGAGATATGCTCACCTGCAATCCTGGGGTCAACATGCCTGCTGTGACAACCAAGTTCGAGAGCACGTAGCACGACATGCGGAAGGGCAGGAAGACTGGGGTTCCGGTATCTGATCGGTCGTATATTAGCCAATGGCTATTGTATAAATCTGAGAGAGCCCATACCAGGGTGCAATGTCGCATCAACCACTTTCTTCGCCGACCACAACTCCGGTGTCATGGCCGGGATGCGGTTCTGCTTGTAAGAAGCAATGAGGCTCTTGGCGCTTTCAAGACCGGCGGACGAAACAAATAGGGTCCTAATATAATTGACACAATCAGTATATACTGGGAAGCACACCAATCTCTTCAATCTAAACATACCGAGGATCAGAAATGTCGGCGGCATGGCGCACACGACCCCAATAGGTCTTCAGGTCATACTGCGACGCGGGAAGGTCCCGACTGCCAGGGAGAGAGGCAGACATTGGATCGAGGGAATGACGAAGCACAAACGGCTGGAACTAGACCAAAGAGTGAATGGCGCGCGAAAAAAACAGAGGGAGGCGATATGACTCCGCGGGGAGAAAACCACTTTTTCGATAAAAAGGGCGGTGAGCCGATAAGTGTGGATCGACCAATTAGACTGCAGTCCAATCTATATAATCGGGCCCGGGTACCTGGGAGGGCTTTCTGTAAGGGCCTGCTCGAAACAAAGGTTCGGTGAACTAGGAGGCTAAGCGGCTAAAGGTGAGAGATAAACTAAGAGGGAGTGGGCTATTGTGGAACTAAATAGCCCCGGGTGTTCCTGCGGGCATGCAGACATCCCCGGGCCGGCTCCTCTTCCGAGACCGGTTCGCTACCCCGATATGTGGGGAGTTCTGCAGGACACTAATAAAAGAGATGGAGAAGTATAGAAATAGTTCTATTCTGGGCTTGTCCAGGGTTGTGGGGGAATAGTACATAGGTATCATAAGGGGGTAATGGGGTCTCAGAATGGATCTGAGAATCTGAGGGCGATTATGAAATGGGGCAGAGTGGCCCGGCTAATGCAGAGTATAAAAGAGCCCAGTTGGGCGAAGAATCACACAAAAGAAATCAAGAGGCACCGGTCTTTGCCAGACATATATGCATCCAAGATGGTAATCAACACACCAGGTTTATCGGAAGCGGAATGACTTGTGGGCCAAGGGGGAGGGAGGGGCTTGCCCAGTGGGAACATAAGATGTTCGGACACGGTGTTGTCGGGATGGTGTTGTTTGAGCACAAAAGACGCAGACATAGACGGAGGGTAGGTTTGCACGCTCCAATCCAACGCATCTGGTATGCAGCCAGTGTGTACACGATTCACTGAGAAAGTTAGTACAATCGACATTGGAACCAAGGCCGATGGAGACTGGTACTCACCATTGAATCATGAGGTGGCCACCGTTATCCATCGAGCGGCAGACACATCGTGTACCGTTGCTGGGGTTGCTGTGACGCTCTGTGCTGGGGGTTGCAAGATCAGGGTCGGTCAAGGTCGTGGGAGAAGCATTGTGGCGGGGATGGATTTCAAAATCACTACCAAGGCGGGGTGGTGATGAGCGGAGATTAGCGAAAGTGTGTGATGACCGAGATAGTCGGTTGCCAAACGCATTCGTGGCGGGTCTTGGCCCCCGGCCTCGTTCTTTGAGGACTTGTCGGAGTGCAGATTGAGCATCGCCACTCTCGTCATCCTCCCCGGGCAATAAGTCTGATGCTACGCTACTTCGAGTATAAGTCGAGTCCGAGTGTAGCAGAGACGAATGCCGTTTGGGTGTCCGCTTAATATCAGGAGATCCTCGATACGTTGGTCGCCCACCCCCTCTAGAAGAGCCAGCCCAGGGTGACATCCGACCCGAGTGTGATGAGCCAACGGTGGAAGCATATGACCCCTTTGAAGGAGGCCGGGAACCCGAGTCACTCCGAGATAGTGGACGCCTTGGGCCGTCACGAAGCGAAAAGGACGACTGAGCGCGATGTAGCACGGGATATTCCGAGAACTCAGCTGGATCAGATTCACTCTCTGTTGTAGAGCCATCTAGATCAATCCCGGTCAGGGGATCGGTCAATCCTGTGGGAGCCTCACTGAGTGGCTCCATTTCAGCCTTTGCACGGCCATCACGACCGATACGAAGCACTACAGACGATGAGCGCGCTAAAGAGCCGGTGGCAGTCGAACTAGACCGTGTCAAGGGGGCTGGACGCATGGTTTTTGCTGGCGACGAACGCCCTTTACATGGACTTTTTCGGATTCCGCTGGTGGATGCCATCAAGCCCCCGGCTTGACTGAGCGGTCGGGATAAGCTAGGTAGTCCATTATGTGTGACACTGCGTGTTAGACCTGGTCGTATTCCTCTCGGTGTGTAGTCATCATCTTCCTCTTCGCTCTCGCTCGGGAACACAGTGAAAGGGTCGGATTGGTGGCCATTTGATGCCTGTGCACGAATAAGCTCCTCCCGCCTTGACTCTTCTGCCTGGTGGTGATAGGGTTGTCGAAGACCACGAAGAGACCGCGTCTCTGGTGTAAGTTGAGGCCCTCCAAATCTCCGAGCAGGGGAGCTGAGAAACAGTGCTGGATCCTCGGCCTTCGTGACTGGGAGCCGAGGAGAGGTTGAGAATGGCGCAGGAAATAGGGCAGCATCAGTGGGTGGTGGTGCTGAAATTCCAAAAGCGTTGCCAAAGTCGGGGAGATCAATTGAACCACTAATGTTTGGTAATTGGGGGATGTGATGGGTGTTTGTAAAGGTGGAGGTCTGACGAGCATTGAAATTGTCCCCGTTGCTGGGCAAGGGGACCTCACTCGCTGTGTTGTCTAGATCATGATCCCAGAACAGTCGTTGCTGTGGGAAAAAAGGCGAGCCCGTGGGATCCAATGAAGCCAGTTGAAAAAGATCGGGTGACGATTGGAGATTTCCAAACATTCGAGGGGATGCTCCGAGAAGACGACTAGGTGTTTCCAAATGACCTCCCATGCCTGGCGTTGCTGCTTGTGTATGTCCATCGGTCTGTTCAAACTCGGGGATTCTCCGCCTCGATGCACTTGTCGGCGGCGGGGTTTGCATTGATGCTGCTGACTTGGCCGATCCCACTGTTCGAGGGTACTCCTCGCCCACACTCGGAAGGGGTTTCATCGGGCGAATCCGTCTGGCTGTATCGGTTTGATCCGAGGACCTCCTGTAACTAGTAGTCTCCCCATTGTGACCTTTCAGTGAATTGGACGAGCCTAGAGTAAACTTCTGTGGTGTGCGGAGGAGCTCTGGGCTGGAGGCATATGGATCGGAGGTATCCCAGGTTACCCGAGGGTCAAAAAAGCTCGATTCGAGTTTTGGGGTGTGGAACGAGTCGAAGGTGTTCGGAGTCCTCGTCGGAGTTTGAGGCTCACCGTTGGGATAGCTGAAGCTGAAAATAAACGGATCCATGAGCGTCTTTCATATAGGAACAGAATATAGATTGAAAAAAGAGAGAATAGAAGGCTACAATGTGACAACCCCCACAAGGGGGTTTCTCAAGGGAGGATGCATACCTGTGGACAGGGTGATCCCAACTCATGTCAGCAACACAGGTCCAGTAACCATTGAGAGATTAAGCTGCCAGGCAACTTTAATTTGAGAATGTGAGAGACAATTGGAGAGTAAGATCATTGGAGTTAATTCATGTTGTATAAAGAGAGTGTGTATAGTCAAAGGGTGGAATGTAGAAGGAGAAGTCGGAGAGTCGGAGTGTGTTTTTCTTTTGCTCTGTTTGTCGTTTTTTTTTCTTCTTCTTCCTTTTTTTTTTCAAAGAGAGAAAATTCGAGTTTATTCTTTTTTGTTTTTATATTTTTTTTTCGTTTCTTTACGTGGGGACTCGGATTTTTTTTTATTTGATCCACAGTGTATGTTCCGGATGTATGTTGTGCTTCATGCAGGAACAGGATATATGAATTACAATGTTCAATGTACTAAGGACATAGGTACGGAGTACTCCGTAGTGTTCAGCTATCAAGGAGACTTCTGTCACGCCGATCTAGACCTACTTTGTGCAATAGTACTCCGTACTAAACCCGGACAAGAGTCGGGGGTCCCGGTTCAGCTCTTTTAGGCAACCAGTAAGAAGTAATGACGACATGTAAGATATGGAGGCTCTGGGCATGTAATGTTGTATGGAGTCAATATTGGAGCTTTATCACTTTATGTATAGCTTCAGAACTTTAGAATATCGGAATATCAGTCTATTGTTCCACTTCAGAACCCCCTGGATGAAAGGGGTAGATTCACAACGTGTTCAACCGGGGTAACCTGGACTTTTTGAAGAGCTCAGCCCCTGGCAAACCCTCTTGGCGTCTCTTTGTGCCCGAAAATTATATATTACTTACTCCATGCTCCATGTTGCTCCCCGTATTCGCTTCCTTGGCTCTTGTTAGGATTCCACCTCTGTACATCTATATTCGATACAATATACATTGGAGAGTGTCTTGATTTTGATCTTGACCTTTAACAAAAACTCACTTCCGATCTCACAATCCGGAGATCTGATGATCCCAATCTTATTCTATGGGATCTGTCTCTCGGGTGATGGATCTGGCCAATGAGCTCCAGATAAGATGTTCTCCCGTTTATGCTGACCTCATACGTAATATCACCACGCTTGACCAGTCGATTGACATTTAGTCTGGAATCAAATATAATAAATCGAGAACTAACTTGTACTTGGAGTACTCCGTACGGAGTAGATGTATCAAGTTCGCCTAATGGAGTAATAGCCAGGTTCTGTGGTGGAGACCACAAATCTACTTTGGTATTGCCCTCACTTTTAGATATCTATTACTCCAGGACTGAACTTTTAGTGATTTTAATAGAATATCTGACTTTGCATACTCCCTATATTCGAGAAAGACCAAATGTTGTAGTTAACCAACGTTGTTTGATATTGAAGGCCAGATTATTCAGGCACCTACACACAGCCACATAGCCACAACCACAGCCACCGTTCCTGATCTGCTGCTTTGATTGTCAACTGTGAAAGATCAAAGAATTTGAAATGTTTTGGATCCAAAAATAACATTGAATGACAATCAGATCTTGGCGCTGTAGGAAACTCCCTTCAACGGAATTGATGTGCGAGTCGCATTTCAACACCGTGTGAACCGTCAACTTATCAACCTTCTTAGCTCCATGAACACCCAACATGGCACCAACTACTAAACCCAAAGTCCACAAACACAAGCGAGGTGCGAGAAGGAGGACTCGCGCTATTCGCACTCGTGATGGACATGCACGTTCGGTAGATGCAGGCTCGTCAGTCCAACCGCTTGCCGAAGTGCTCAACGAGACGAAGCGTCGTAAACGCAAGAAAAAGCGGGCACCCCTCATTCCTGTCTCTGATGATCCATTCGAGAAGGTGATTTGATTTGAGCTGTATCAGTATTGAAGGATAACATGCTAAACATTGAAACCAGAACATTGTTGAGAAAGTACCCTTGCCGGATGGCTACGTTCTAGTTCCCAAAGGTGATGTCTACATCACCCGACACTGCCGCAGCAAGACCAAGGAGTCTGGGAAAATTGTCTATGTTGTCTACGTAAATAATCATTCAAACCACCAGTTTCAAGCTTAGAAAGGGACCGCTAACAGCCCCAGAACCGCGCGGGCAAAAGAACAATAGGAATCCGAGTTCCTGAAGAGATTTACACGGAGGTTCTCGAATCAGCCGCTGCAACAAAAGAATCGCGTGCCAATGCCGTGCAAGTGCGCGATGCCAAGGATCTCTCCAAATTCCGAGAACTCCTGAGAACCGAATTCCCGCTTATGCCGAAAGAAAGCCTCGAAATCATCCTGGGACATGCCTGCCTCAAGGGCTCGGGCCGTGTAGGGCGAACGACGATGATCAGTGATGAGCGAAAGACACTCTTGGCTGTTGAGGCGCATATTCGACATGTTCATACACCTTATGAGAAGTTGCTCGAGGAAGGAGGCAATCGGAAGGCTGCTCGTGATCAGGTCTGGCCTACTATCCAGGCTATTGAACGGACTTGGCAGGGATCCAAGGAGAGTCAGACTACACTAGCGTTGCGTCCGGCAGATCTGTGAAGGCTGGTGCTTTTGATTGCATTGTTGGAGTTTGTCATGGAGTTACAGAGGATATGAAGTTATGAGGCTATGGTGTTTGGGATCACTCAAAGTTCAATGAAATTTGCGAGCCATACTAGAATGCATGACTGATTACTCTATTCTTAATCTCGGAGGTACTAGTTGCGTGGGCAGGTACGTAGCCCTGGAGGTTTGTACGATCCATGGAGTAGTAAAATCAATAAGAATAGTACTTGTGACTATTTGACTATGGAAAGAACAGCAGGGGCAACGAAGAAGAACAAAAGCAGAGACAGAAGAGAAGGAAAGACAGCTGAGAAGTATCTTACTAATGAATCTTGGTCACCCCAGAATACATTGGCCGCCAAAGCACCTCAGATTCCTCTCAACCGAACCCGTACTAGGTCCATCAATCCCACTTGTAACACTGCAGCGGTGCTCACCCACCAAATTCCAAAGCCTCAACTTAGAGGCGTCGACCACGAAGAAATTTGACTTCGAAGTGTGGGTGGCGGTAAGGCAAACCCGTGAACCACCCGAAGCCGTCTTGGATCATGTCCTGCATGGCACCCATCCGAAGATTGGCATCCATAAGGGCATGACGACGGTCAATATGGTTAGTATCAATGCGGATGAAGACATGAGGCCCAGCTTGCTCAGGCAGTGCTTCCAGAATTGGCATTCCAGTTCCCTCAAGACGAGCCAATTCAGTCCGAGCGGCGGTTATCACGTCAAGGTCCAGCACTGGCATAGGATGAGATCGAATAGGGATGTAGTAGACGTGTCGGTGAATGGTATCCACCCCAGGTCCCTGGGTCATGCTAGCCGGAGCGGTGGGTGGTGGAGGCTCTTGGACGGGGTCATCAATTTCCATGGGGTCAAGTTCCATGGGATCGAGCTCAAAGGTATCTTGATCGACATATGCGACAGGCGCGTAGCGGCTACTGCCCATTCCAGGACGAATTGGGCCCCGATATTGAGCAGCTGGGTGGTTGCTGCTCTGCGGATTTGATAGGCGGCCTCGGGCTTGACTCTGCTGTCTCATTTGTCTTGCGACTTGTCTCGAGATGGCACCCGGGCCACTGCCCGTGTTGTTTGACATGGCGCTAAATCAAATTGTAAGCATATACTTTCATATTTCATTGTAGTGGAGGTCACACATGCCCGTAGACACTATTATCTTCGGGAGCAAAGGGTGTGGACTGTGTGGTACAATTGGGGATGACGATCTAGTGAAAGGGGAAGAGGGATTATAGGAATCTGTCTCAAGTCGAGAGAGGTAGGTACTGTTGTTTGCCTAGCTATTACGACACGTGATTTTCGACATTTGAGGGTTTACGCGTTTGGGGTCATGAGAATCGAGGAAATTCCCCAAGGTCTACCAAAGGCCTATGTTTGCCATTAAAATGCTTGAAAGAATAACGACAGTAGTTACAAGACGTATAGATTTTATCCAAATATTAAATTAACAAATTTATAATTGATATACAAGTATAGCCAAGCTTTTAGCTCTTCTTGTGCTATATCTCTTTATAGTTCCCTAATTAAGAATGCCAAGGCTACGCCAAGACATCCATGGGTCCACAATAGAACAATCAGAAATGTTCTACTGACCTTCTAAGCTTAGCTCTGCAGTCATTACAGGCATAAAATCACAGAGGATAACAATCTGTTCTCAGCGTCATCACACCTGTATATCTACAAATACTGAAACTGATGCCAAGGGTCCACAAGCCATTAGCTAGGATCCATAACAATTACACCAATCAGGTGAATCAAAGGTCTTTGGGGGCTTAGGCTGACAGCCCAAGGAAAATTCCCCCCTCAAAATCGACAATCTCTCGTATCTGTTATGGCGATGTTCACCATTAACCATGAGGAATCGCTTGTTTCTAGGGTCTTCAAACCGGCATAAGATTGCCCTGGTGACCGCGATTCTGACTATATTCATCCTTTTCAACACTTTGCCCTCACCAATATCCAAGCTAGACCCCCACACCGATAAGTCATACGGGGAAGACCGACCGCGATACCTTCACCAGTCTACCTTTCGCACAAACCCAGACTATGAATATGAGGTCAAGATCTCTAATGCGCTACGCGCTATCGAGATAGAAAGGGGAATGCGCCATGATGAGGATGCGGCAGACACATTGTGGCAAATTATGCTACCAGGCGCTATCACCCAACGGAGCGACGATTCAATCCAATTCGAGAAGAAGAACTCCGAATGGAGGTACAAAGTAAGACCAACAATTCATGGTCTTGATGATAACCACGGCGACTAACTTTGCAATTCACAGCTTGTACAAGCTGATTGGGCCCACAAATTCATTCACGAAACTCTCGAATCCGTCCCAGAAATCGCCCGGCTCTATGAATCATACCCGCACTCCGTTCACCGCGGTGATCTTCTCCGCTACTTGATTCTATGGTACTACGGTGGCTACTATGCAGACCTCGACGTATACCCCGCACGAAGCATCAAATCCTGCCCCTCACTGCGCGACTCAGTCTTCAAAGACAATAGAATCAATGCAAATATCTCGTTAGTCGTTGGAATTGAGATCGATGAGCCTTTCGCTTCGCCACAGAAGATGCGCGACTGGCACTGGGCCCGGCGCTACGGCTTCATCCAGTACACAATGTATGCACCACGACGGTTCAGCCCACTACTGAGGGAGATCATCGCCAGGGTACTGTCCCATACAAAGCAACGTTTCGACGAGAGTTATTTCTGGAGTGGGGGATATAACGAAATGGATACGCTGGAGATTACCGGTCCGGGCGTGTTTACAGATGCTATTCTCGATGTGCTATCGGATGCATTGCCGTCTACCCACCGGTTGGTTCAGCAGTCTATGGAGGCAGACGCTGGGCTCTCAGATTCATCTGTACGGCGTGTGACTTGGGCGCCCTTCCATGGGATTCAAGAACCACTCTGTGTTGAAGGTCCCGAAGCCAAACCTGGCAAGCATTTGGGAGGACTGTGTGTTCTGCCTGTCAACGCGTGGGGCAATGGACAGCGGCATTCTGGAGCGGAGAACTTCCACAGTCAGCAAGCTTGTATTAACCATCGGTTTGGAGGGACCTGGAAGCCTTGGAAACAAAGCTGGCAGAAGTATCTCTTTGGTTAAGAGGATATGGCTTCAATATTTACATATGGTGTCCCGGGTGTACAGTATATGGCGTTTCACGGTATCTTCCACTTCTCCTGATCTCTAACACCGTTTAATACCATAAAGGTCTTTGTTCCTGATGTTGATACCCCACATGTTGTATCTTTATAATGCGTTACTATCCAACCAGTTGAAACAAAGTTGATCTGTGTTACTTCTAACTAAACCGGCATTTCTAGTTAAAGGACCTTGACTGGAAGCCTGATCCATCAGGCATGTCTGCATTAGGCGACCATGCATGATTGGACCAAATACTTACATAAAATATGTAGCTTGATATCTTTCCCTTTCTATCGGACTATCCCCCGTGTCTGCCTTCGCCCATACCTATTCCCTTGAGTTTACAGAAGCGTTTTCTGTCCATGACCGATTCAAGTAAGAGGGACCCGTGAATCCCTTGACAGCAACATAGCTAAGATATCGAGCCGAGCAGATACAATGTCTCCGAAGCTCTTTGTTATATTTTACCGACCACGGTATGGAAACTTTCTACACTGGGCGTTGCATATTGAGAATGGCCAAGATCACCACATTCTCGAAGTTGATGGCGAGCATCCACAATTCAAACGCAACACGTTTATGGAGGATCCGAAGGAATCAAGCACTTTCTTACGCCAGTTCTTTGTTGCTGTGCTTAGGGAGGACGATGTTGAGAGAGTGAAGAGTGCTGCACAAAGCGTGCCTGTGGACAACGAGACGGTTGAGTGGGATTGTCAGGATTATGTGCTCGAGATCCTTGATAAACTACAAGAGGATCTCATCTTGGACAAAGATGACGAGGATTACATGGATGTAAGGGAGATATTGATGGAAGAGAGAGGAATGGTTTGATCGCCGATGTACCGGGTGATATATTAGTACTCCCGGAGACTAATACATAATGTATACGCCATTTACTGCAGTCTCCAGGGCTGTCTAGGTGTTTGAATTCTTCCCTTCTGAGATTCATCAATCCATTGGTATTTAATACTCGGCCCATTGGGCTGATTGAAATCATTAGAAGAGGCATTTCATAGCGGTGGCGGTTGCTAGTCCTCCCGTGACAACGACAATCTCCTTTGCTAACATAAGGACCACTTCACTTTCTCTAGCACCTTCTTCCTAACGATAACCGTCTCTAGCACCCCTAGTACACGGGCGAGGCAATTGAGCGTGTCCGCTGTAGAGATACGAGTTGCGGATGCCTCATTACCGAGTCTCTCCCAGGATACCTCCAAGCTCAGTCTGTGAGTTTTTCATAAGCGTCCTGGGTTTCCAAGGGTTCCATAGCTAGTTAGATCTCACAAGCCACATATCATCGTTATATTGTGAGACCCGGAGGCATCTATAACCGCCTGCAAGAACAAAAGCATTTGACAGTACGACTGAGGTTACTCACAGCGCCTCTTCGCCAGTATCCAGTATCCAGCAAATCATTTCAGCGGTCTCCTGCCACAGAAGCTCAGGCCGTTTCTGCTAGCCTCGCTATCTACTGGCAGTCCTGACAAACGGGCTCACATCAGGTGATCAAACAATTAATTACTAGAAGTCCGATGAATATGGCATCCATGCATTTAGTCTTAATATCTCCACTTCCTTTCACTCTCCTTTCACAGTGGCCGCTTCATCAATCGTTCATTGGGAATTGCATCCACTTATAAGCGTCCCTCGCCTTGATCATAATAAGAGTGGTCTATCATTCATACTATAGTCTACATGGCTTCTATAAGAGGAGGCTTATTTCCGTCATATCTCATCGGATCTAAAGATTCAAAAAAAGTGAGCCTGAATTCTAACACAAAGAGGTCTCCAGACCAACTGGTCGGCTTAGGTTGTATCGAACGAACATCTCTACAGGCGAGGTGAATGGATATTTAAGGGTCCATAGTTAAAAGGAAAGCAAGGGCTTATAGACTGGTGGAATTAAGAAGATAGGCCCCGAAAGAGACGGGGAGTTGTATTGTAGCTATGTAATAGCTAAGGGGTCGATGACTCGATGTCTGAGGCACCATCCACAACAGTGAAAATCCAAACATCCCAAAAGAACGATATCAAGCATATGATAAACCAGGTGAAAAATTCAGATCGTGATGAGTACTCGCTTCTTCGTGAGATAGGGTAATAAGGAGTGGTAGCAGATCCTAATTATCTCGAGATATACACCTAATGTCGGCAAATCTCCAGTCCAAAGAAACGATGCCAACTAAGAGTCTCCGTGGTATGGAGGTAGGTAACCGTCGGAAGCAAACAATTCCACCAGATGGTAACGTCTATGAGCAGTGAAGAACTGAATAAGGCCCCTAATCCATTGATCGTAGACTTCAAGGAGCTTAGGATCATGAGACATGACTTGACGACCAAATGCATGAACCTGTCGAGGGTGTTAACACCTTACACGCAAATTAGAATTGCTTTGAAAATACTTACCTCTGCAGCATGTTCAGCCAGGTTGCACAGGACTTGAATATGACTTAGGCCATGTGATTCAGCAAAATTGTCTACAAAGTTGTACTTTTCGTCCGCAATAACGAATTCTTTGTAGTATGACAGGATGTCGTTGCTGTAATCTGCAAACTGCATCATAGCCGGAATGGCGGGAAGGCACTGGAGTAGGTATTGCTCTTCAGGGAATTGAGCATAATCAAATACCATATGGGCCATAATCTCTGAGCCGCCAACCCTAGGGCGTAGAAATACCGGAACCATCTTCGTCACAGGTGAAAACTGAAACTGCGAAGCCAACATCTGGTGCTCAACAACGCGACCAGCCACATACTCGAGGGAGTTTTTAACAATTGCAGACACACTGTAAGGTCCATACCAGGTACCTAAAGTTCGTAGATGGCCATCAAAAGTCTGTAGAATAGTGCTGTTATGTGGTGCATTAATGATGAAACTTCACCAATACCATGTCAGTCAATGTATGGGAGCTAGGCAACTTGAATTGTAAATATACGAGTACTGACCGTTGACCAAATCTAATCAGATCATCCATGAAGTCCTCCGCGAAATCATCGATCAAGAACATGTAGAGCAACTGCTTTGCAACGGCCACTTTTACATCCAGTGATAGGCTTTTCCATGCTAGATGGGTCCAGCTGACGGCAAGGACTAATCTTTGCTCGGCTTGTTTGAGGGATTTTGCGTCCAGATTCAGCTTGTTTAGGTCTTCGCGTATGAGTAATTCTAGTTCCTTGTCCACGCTGAATGGGACGCTGTGAGGCTCGAATCCAACCCTATCTAGCATTTGCTTAATAGCTTGCTTGACAATGGCACTATGGCTGTCGAGACCCTGCGATCCGGTTGGCTCGGAATTTAGTGCTAATTTGACATGATTTTGGATTTCGTATGAATTGAGTTGAGAAATCGGTGTAGTCATGATTGCAATGATTGATCGAATAATGTTGAAGATTAATGCAGATAAATGTTTTTAGAGAGGGTGCTTAGGTGGATTTTTATGTAAAGAAAGGATGATATTTATAGTGAATTAATGTCTTCTTCTAGTAGGTCAGAGGTCTTCGAAAGGTTATACTATGTTTCACAAAAATGACGAGCTCATTCGTCGATTGACTATGCACCGTGTATTCACCGTTAATGCACCGTAAATGCACCGTAAATGCACCGTAAATGCACCGTAACACGCTATAAATGTATGGTGTAGTATATACATTTTTTGATCCGAACTTGTAGAATAGTAATTTATTTAGGAAACTTTTGAAGGTTATGGTACCTCTAAATGATGTACAGCTACGAAATTCTACGTGACTGTGAACCACCTATCATCATTGAACTCCATTTGGGGACCATATTTACAATCATGAGCGGATAATTATTACTCGCTATCATATTTCGTTTCATTTTACACAACCAAAGCTATACTTCAGATCTACCCCAGCCCTTATAATTGGATAACTTCACCAACTGGTTCTAGCGGACCTGGGATAGAGCTAACAGAATATCACAAAATCTATTTGAGAAAGTGGACGGAAATCCGTAGCTCTCACCTCAATTTCCCTAGGGGAGCACGCAAGTGACGACATACTATACCAGATGTAGAAAGCACCCAGAGCCATCCAATCCACCTTTTTGAATCGGCGTATTAGCCAGAGGCATTGGCTGCTACAGGACTAGAAAAGCAAGCACATGCTCATGAACTTCGCTCTGCCGATTGATTTCATAGAAGCTCACGGGAGGCGATTGCCAGTGACCAATGCCCATGAAATCTAAGAAATTGATAGCATCGCAGTGGCTGCAGTAAGCAGCGCTAATACTTTCAAAATCGCGTTTCCCATCCTTGAGAGCCTTCCTTGGTAGATAATATTTGAAGGTCAAGCAGCAAACACGTCGAAACGGACACAGAACAGGTTCTTTTCGGAAATAGATGCGCATGGATTTCGGATCAAACCCGTGGAACTGGGCCAAACCTGTTCAAGAAGTAAACAAAGACCACGGCATGGATTACACCAACTCGAGGTATATTGTGGGTATTGCCTACTATTCTTACATAGAGCTCCGCAAAGCCCACAAATGGGCCCGGGGTTCGGGCCCAAAGCCCTACCAGCAGAGCCATTGAGGCCAGGCCCAACCCAACCCCAGGCCCATGGCCCACCAGTGGGCCCAAAGATAGGGCCCAAAATCTAGCCCATTAGTGGGTTAGATTGGGCTGGGTTGTGGGCTTTATGGGCTTTGCGGAGGTCTACTAGGTTATGAAGCCGGCATTCATAAGATCATTAATGACCGTAGCTTAACTTGAGTGCCATTTGATAATAAATGTTATTCCTTAGTCTGCTGGCTATATGATCTTGTCAATGAAGAGAAGTTTTTCTGGCAAATAGAACAGAAGCAATAGAATATTTATTGAAATTCGGAGTATATTAGGTAGGCCCTAAAATTCGTTAGTTAGGGATAGACTTCCGTAAAGCCCGCAATGCCCAAAGCCGCTGGGAGTATAAACATGCCGAGAATTTATAGTGGCATTTCATGAGTATTTGAACCCCAATACTTCTATTGTTGACCGCCCTGGTTACCGCCTTTCCATTACTAGTATTAACCCCACCAGATTAGATGTGAGTGGATGCAAAATTCTTCCGGCGGAAAATAGAAGTACCGGGGTGCAAATACTTATGTATCACGTGAATATAAAGTCACGTGTATCTTTTTACTTTCAAAAAATCAAAAAGCACGACGCAAGCTGCATTTCCAGCATTCAATAGTTATTATGTATGATTAATGTGGACTGCATCATGGGTAGCAAAATATGAGCTTGAAGTGATGAAATAGGTTACTCATCATCAAAGTTACACGGCCTGGGGACTGTGTAACTGATGCGAGTGGATGGAAGTAGGAGATATGGACGATACCCAGGTGGTGATATGAGATTATCCAATTTGCTTACCCGCGGTAGCCTCTCTCGCTGTTCAGGGGATCGTCAATGCTTACCCCCACCCACTTAATATTCTATTTCCAATATAAATTTCGGCACCGAAAATGTTCAACAGCTCGAGCTGGATTCATCTTGAATATGATAACTGGAAGGCAGAAAGTTCGAAGTGCTTGTGAAGAGTGTCACCAACGCAAGGCAAAATGTATCATTCCACAAGCTGGGGGGTCCTGCCATGCTTGTCTATCATATCAGCGTCCTTGCTATTTTCTTCCTCGCAAAAAATGCGGACGACCGACAAGAGCTTACCCTTTATGTCCCATGACCTCTCTCTCAAATGTGTGGGACGACAATAATGCAAAGGGTGAAGGCTTGCAAGAGGACGTTCTTGATTTGATGAGTCCAAATCAAAGGGAAGTTTTTCCTTATGTTGATGCCAGCAGTCTGGTCTGTACCTCATCCAACTGATCACAGCACTAGTATCCACCAAGAGGAATGCTGACACTGTTTAATAGGAAAGTTCTGTCGGATATACCCCAAGCTTGTCTGTGTACGACAACACGACCAACTACCTCAACGCTTTACCTCAGGGAACCACCGGTTCTTTCGATATAAATGACGTGTTATTTACGAGCGACAATTTGTTGCAAGCTGTCACAAATGATCAGTCTATCTTCAGCATCAATCAGCCTATCGCAAATACAGATGGTAGATATCATGTCCCAGCACAAGCAACCACTGAAGCCTTTGAGCAGTGCAGTAGTACCTTGGATGGTAACTTGCTCGAATGCTCTGATCATTTATATCGGGATATTGTTGGTCTTACTCAGGTATACATGAAGATCCAAAGTCTGAGTTACACACTTGGAGCCCCAAGATTCTACACCACTGAGTCTTTCCTTCTTCCGCATTCAATGTATGAGACATTGAATTTAACATGTCATGCGGTTTACACAACTTCTGAAAGATTTTCTCAACTCAGGCGGGGCTCGGATGATGAGAAAGGCGTCATGGAAGGAACAATTATTGCGAAATTGATCATCTGCAAGGCTTGCGATGTCGTTGCAAAAGCTTTGCAACATCATACGCTTTCTGAAGACAACCATCGAAACCAACAGATTTTTGAGCAACTACAGTTGAATATCGCACAAATCAAAGTATCTCTCACGTACATCCAGAGTACAGAAGATCACTTTCATTCGAACTCTTTGGCTATAACACGGAAGGTGGAGCAAATTGAGACTCAAATGGCAGCCATTTCGATCTATAAAGGCGGGGAATAGCCAATCGGGAGGAATTAGGGCTAGATTAGACTTATTTGTATTTGTATAGAGTTAGAAGAATTAAAGAAGGGTCAGTAATTCACAGTCGATTATAGCCAGATGTTGACATGTATAAATACAGCACGTATACCGAAATAAAATAATATTATTGAATATAACCCTATCTTTCAAATCCGGAATATTTAACGGAAACAAGGAGGCCCAGGTCATACTGAACCTTAGTGAGAACCCCCAGACCTGGGATCTAGTAAACACTTCCCTCATCTCTTACAGATATACCATCTGTAGCTCCACCAACTATCAGGCCTTACCAATGCGCCATTATCTTTGAATATAACGACCGACAGTATGACGCAAAGACACAAGCATTGGGGTGCGAACATTTCTCAAGCGCTCGCGAGCTCCATCCATGGAGGGAATAAAGTGAAGGCCTGATGACACAGAGCGACTTATAAGCGGTGCACTAGGCTGCAAATCAAGAAGTTCCATGTATCTGAAGTATAGTTCATACAGGTTATGTGCTAGACTTCCTTCAGAAACCACCTTATCCGTGAGGATAGATAATTTACCCATCAAATTCATGGACGAATAATCCGCAATAGTCGTCATCTTGACAGCGATATTAACGATTCCAAGGTCAGTGGCCCTTGCAGCCAGAATGGCCATCGTCGAACCAAACACATTTCCATTGATATTTCGCCAATTGCTCGCAAAGGCGGGTCCTGCGTGGAATTTCAAATTGATTTGAGGCTCCTGCTTGGAAATATATTGGACTAGGTATTGTCGTAGCAGGCACATTTCCATAAAGGCAATTTGATCCGAGCTGACACCCTCTTTATGCAACCCGTCGAGCACATCAGCGAAAGAATTTCCTAGGAAACAAAATTCGCCATTGACCAAATGTTGTGGAGGAATTGTGATGTCTTGGGGAATGGTGGAAAACGCAACATAGAGATGCTTCCAGTGATGTTTCTCCAGCGAGCGATGCCAGTGACGCCACCATTGAATTGCATCGCGCATTGCATAAAGACAGGTCTCTTCTACCGAAGTATCGCCTTTTTGGATGTGGAGAGAATAATCCTTGGACCGTTTAACGCCTGTCGTAGGCATATTGTTGATTTCCCTACGCAGACTCTCCGCCGCCGTATACGGATCAGAATCCGTACAAATATCTTGCAACTTCTGAAATAAAGATATCCAGATATCAGAATCAATTGTTTCATCTTGAATGGGAATCTCCGATTCTATTTTGCAGCTGTGATTCTCTGGACTGATATCTTTTGCTAATTTGGAGTTTCCGCATTGTGTGAAGTTATGAAATGAAGTCATTTTGAAGTAGGTTTTGATATTCAGGGCGAGCAACGGTCGTGATAGAGTTGGGCTTTAATTAGCTTTATGTACATAGTATATGTTATACTAGCTGTTTCTCTCTAACGTGTAGATTCTCCTATTAAAAGATGACGTTTTCGACGTAAGCTATTATTATAGCACAATAAACGATATATATTTCGTCCAATTACATGATTGTTCTAGCAAGAAATGATACGATAATCGCCTGACAACCGAATGGAGTAAAAGCGGGCTATAGTGACTACTACCAATACTTCCAGAGTTCCGTTGCAGCAATTGACTGTTGATAGACTAAAGAAGCAATCCTTCCATGATCACGTATAGTGTACTATCGAATCAGCTTTACTCAAGTACAGTGCAACCTATTTTCGGAAGCCAATGCATTGTGCGACACTGCAAACGCCATGACTCTCGATCAACATGAGTCGCATTGTGCAACAAATTCGGGTTCATGCAGCAATGCCCAGCCAACGCATCCTCCATGATCGACACGTTCCCGGCAGTCGGGGATCTCATAACAGTTCAGAGAAATGAGCAGCATTACCCTCGAGTTTGTTCTTTGCTAGCACATAGACATTCACATCCAGCTAGTCGCACCGTCTAGCTCTATTTCTGAGCTTTGTTTTCCCGCAGCTCTACCCAGCACTTGTAGCTAGGATAAACCAGAAACGAACAAGACAGGTCCCAAGGCTTTTCTTCCTCGAACTTGAAGTCAATCCTCCTTACTATCTGAGGCAGGAACTTGGTCATCTCTAACAAAACAATATTCCGGCCGATGCAGGTTCGCAATCCGCCTCCGAACTGATATTATGCGTCAACGCTTCATGGACTTAAGAAAATGGGAAACAAAGGGCAAGTAGCTGCAACACTCACTGCAAACATCATTGAATCCCTATACTCAAAATCCGATTTGTCTTCAAGCCAGCGTTCTGGTCGGTATTGGTCGGCATCTGGCCCGTAAACATCCTCGCTGTAGTGAAGTGGCCAGGCGTTTGTCCCAACGTGTGTCTGCAATGTATATTAGCAATAGACCGAATAAAACAGTAGCAGGTGTATGGAATACGCACTCCTTCACGGAAATAATAACCTTCAAGGGTCATTCCACCCTTTGGCACAATCCTAGGCAAGATCGTGCCAACAGCAGGATGCATCCGAAGCGTTTCCTTAATGACAGCATTGAGGTATGGCATATCCTTTGCCTGGTGGTATGTCACAGGGTTGGAGATACGCCCTTCGGAAGTCATAGTATCAATCTCCTCCCGAAGCTTCGCCAACTTGTCCGGATTCTGGTACAAATAGTATATCGCCGCACTGAGACTAATACCGGTTGTATCTGACCCAGCAACAATATTAGATCCACATGCATCAAAAACTTTCTTCGTCTCGACCTTGTGTGCAGCTTCTTGTTCGAGTATCTTCCGTAGAAATGTATCAAACTGGGATTTCATCTTGGTACCAGTGTTTGAGTCTCGATGCTTTTGACACTGGCTCATGATATAGTCGATCACATTTGCCATGGGGTGGCGCCCAAAGATAAGCTTCTCAAGTATATGGTACGGCTTCTGCAACTCTGGCAATAGACCCAGACGAGCCATGTTGTTGTTCGCAGTGTGGATTTCTTTGATGATGCCTTGCGTATCACCCATGTTTTTCATCATGCCGAAGTTTTGGTCGAACTGTCTCAATCTCAGCTTTTACTTGTGGTCCGTACTTTAGAGTGGACATACTGTGATCTCACCAATAACATCCCAGGCATAAAACTGCATGAAATTGGGTATGGAGATAAGCCGCTTCTCTTTTGCGAACTCATCCATCTTTCCCATGCAGATTGTCGTCATCCTATCAATGGCATCTTCATAAGATACCATAGCCGACATAGAGTATAGAGGGGCAACTTTTCTGCGTCTATCACGTTGCTCTGTGTTATCCCTCATCGTAAAAATGTCATCATCACTGCCTTGCGCATTGTAAAAACTGGATTTCGTGTATTTTCCACTGAGGTCGTAGATTGTTTTGACGGCTTGGGGCTGGATGATACTGTATCGTTTTGGGCCAACGCGGACTACCGGACCTACACTCAGCATCAATCAGTATCAGCTTTCAATATGACTCAAGGTAATTCGAAACACTTGGGATTGCAGACCATATTTCTTATGTAAGTGGATGTAGTCCTCATGAGAGTGTCCTCGAAACACAGAACGTAACTCCCAGAGATTCGTGAATCTAGCCAATAATGGCCCAGGAACCTTTCGTAAAGGGGAAAACAGCAGGCCATAAATAAGAGGACCAACCCAGAAGACAATTGAAAGTCCTAAGAGAAGCCCGGCAACGGCCCTGACGGGATTGTGAAGGGTTGAATGGATGATATCTTCGAACATAATGGGCAACAGAAAAAGGGAAGAAGAGGTTTGCTATACGTTGATTCTATACTCAGCGGAAGTAATTGAGGATTGTGCCCTGTTCCATCAGGAGGTTTTATATGTAAACGCAACCCCGGGACTACCTAGGTATGCATATAGGTATGTCAGCGGAGAACGGAAGGAATCCATGCCGAGTATCTGCAAGAGATCAAGATCATCCTCTCACTTGCATAAAATGGAGACGCTAATTTACCATTTCGAATTCTGGTTAGGCCCTATATCACATTGTCCCGGAACGGAAGCCCAACACGTTCAATAGCTCGGAGCGGAAGAATCGAGGAGAGCCGATAGGTCATCGGAATTGGAAGTAACCGGTTATGTGGTTTATAAAACATACAAAGCCTCCTAGCCGTCGACGTTAGAGCCCAATGGAAAATTAAACCGGACAGGGCATCTGCAACTGAGACAACCGGTCTCTCTTATCTCCGTGTATCCGGTACTATACTCACTCGCCAGGCTCAGTCAGAAGGTATAAATACCAGATGTACTTTGTTGGAACACTAATTGAGTTGCACTACTTCCTATCATACTCCTCGTCCTTTTGATTTACCTTCTTCTCTTTAAGTTACATTGACCGAACTCCTGCGAACATGGCCAGCGATTTATCACACACCCATGGTGACCATGCACCTTTTAACGTGGCCATCATTGGTGGCGGTATTGTTGGGCTCCACGTCGCCCTAGGACTCACGAAGCGTGGCATCCCCGTCACGATCTATGAGCAAGCCCATGAGCTTAAGGAGATCGGGGCTGGCATGGGCTTCACGTCCAACATAGTCGGTTGCATGGCCGCTATAGACCCTAAGGTCGCTGAAAGTCTGGACAATGTGTCAATTAAATCTGCTAGCAAAATGCGCTGGATTGATGGACTCGCCAGGGAGGATTTAAGGTCCAGACCTAAGGAGCGCTTGTTTGACGTTGAACTGGGCTTCGATGCGGAGGCAATAACCAGGGCAACCCACCGTGGACATTTCTTAAGAGGGCTGATCAATCTGCTCCCACCCGACCAGATCAAGCTTGGAAAGCGCCTGGATACCATCGTGCAGAGTGGCGAGAACGAGAAGCTTCTTCTCAAATTCTGCGACAACACGACTGCCGAGACTGACGCTGGTATGATTCCCTTTGTCCTCCGTAGCAAATCAAAGCAAAGAGGCTAATGTGACACTTTCCCGAGGCAGTCATCGGTTGTGACGGCATTAAATCGTGCGTTCGTCGACTTGTCCTAGACGAAAACGATCCTGCCGCTATTCCGCATTATGGCCACGAAATTGCCTATCGCTGTCTTGTCGATATGGACAAAGTTCTTCCGGTAATGGGCGATCTTTGCAAAACCATGGTGATGTATACCGGCCAGGGCGCCCACCTCATGGCATATCCCGTGGACAATTTCAAATCCTTGAACGTGGCAGCCTTTGTCCATGATAATGGTGAATGGCCCCAAAGCGAGAAGCACACCATTTCTGGGAGTAAGAAGGATATCGAGAAAGCATTTTCTGGCTTCGGGCCTACCGTACGATCCTTGGTAGCGGTTCTGCCCGATGAGCTTAATTGCTGGGCCATGTTCGATACATTCGACCACCCTCTGTCCACCTATGCCTACGGCCGAATCACGCTTGCCGGAGATGCTGCTCACGGCTCCACCCCGCATTACGGTGCCGGTGCTGGCATGGGTGTAGAGGACGCGCTGGTTTTATCAACTGTTCTCGAGCAAGCGGCAACAAAGATTAGAACCAACGGTGTTGCCGTTAGCAAGGCTAAAGTCCTGTCAGCTGCATTCGAGGCGTATGACGCTGTCCGGCGAGAACGCTCACAGTGGCTTGTTCGCAGCAGTCGCCGCCAAGGGCAAATGGTCAAAAGGTTGGACCAAGAGATAGGCAACGATTTTGACAAATTCAAAGAGCGGACCAAGGCGAATATGGACGAGTTATACTGCTATGACTTCAGGCCTATGCTCCAGCAGGTAACCGATGAGTTCGAGCGCCGGGTTTCCGGCTTGGTTTGACTCTAAGCTGGTTCTTTATCATTGTGTGACGTTGGAAATAGTGGCCGTGGGCTTAGCAAGGAATATATACACTCGATAACCGCATTGTTCCAACTCGTATTATATGCCATTGATGATAAAGTAAACCCATATATATCAGCTCCACAATCATTTTATGCTCACAATAAAAGAACTAAGAGTTGACTATAGGAAAGTAGGATATGCTACAATAAGCCGGCAGTTCTGTGACATGTCGGTGCTGCTAATGCCGAATTCCGAGATCAACAAGTAAAATCACTACGTGGTCCGGACTTCGTCCGAAAACGTGTTTATTGCGAGCTATTTCAGTATGTCCGAGGCCGAGTTACATCAGGATAGGCTTCTTGGGACTTTTGGCGAAGGACTACGTGCCGTCTGACATGCCGAGAGTGGGAATTAGCAAGGCTTAACTGCATTGCTTGTCTCGGAAGAGGGCATATCCGAAACCAACTTCATACCCGACAATGGCTTAGAGAAATGAGCATTACCCTCGAGCGTGTTCTTCGCTAACACATATTCACATTGAGCCAGGCGCACCGTCCTACTGTCTGACCACACATTGGAATCTTTCTTGTGGAACGGCAACTCACTTTTCAATATTGAGTTGTTTTTCCGAAGATTTGAGTCAAAGTTGATACAAGCCTGATCACTAGTAGGATCTAAAAGTATAAACTAATGGCCTTGATAAGTCACATTCACTGCTCTGCAGATGGGAAAAGATAATGATACAGAACAATATGGTACAACATAGAATGACAGTGGGTATAATAGAAGTCTAGAAAAGAAACCAAGCCTATTCCAGGCCCAAGAAAAGGCAAGAAGGCAGTAAGCCATGTCATGTAGTGGCTCACAAAGGAAAACGAGAAGCGAAAACCAACAGTTCAAGCACCGTACATGCGCACATCCTCTGCATCAACTTCTTCGCGGCGACGGAGGAACGTAGCTTCCTCGAAATCATCCATGTCCATAGTGGGCTGATCAATCTTTTTCTGACGCACAGCAAGTATCCGGCGACTTTGGCCCAAATTCGGGGACAAGATGGTTCGACCGTATGAGGTTTCATGCCAGGATTCGCCAAAGTTATTGAATGATTCATCGACATCCTCATCGACAAGAATATCGCCATCTAATTCCAAGGCCCGCTTTTGACCGCCCAAAGGAAGTGACACAGTCGACTCTTGGCTGCTTGGTGGAATCGAGTATGCGTCGCCGTCGTCGGTGACGAGGTAGTCATCACTGAACGAGGTTTTGGGGGCGCCAGAGAATGGAGACAGCTCGGAGGGTCTGCTGCCATGGTAGACTTGAGCGCGGGGGGTCTGCGCAACAGCAGGGAGTGGGGCCTTCTCTTCTGTCTTGGACATGTGGGTTTTGTACCCGTCTGCGACGGATTTCCGGACTCGCATTCCGACAGATAGAAGTGAGGACTGGACTTTGGCGGGGACGACGGGGTGCGCAGAGAATGTTTCCGCGGCGTAATGGTGGTGGTGGGATACTGCGGGTGTAGCCGAGGACACTGGTTGCGAGGCAGATGTGAAGAATGTCGTGATAGGGGGTTGGAAGCGTCGGCGCTTTGACAAGTCGGACATTTTGATGGAAGACATATTGGACGAGAAAAGATATTCAGATTTTAGGATCAAACATGGAGTGACGTAGTGTAAGTGATAGGGGAGAAAAGAAAATGCAAAAATGATAATCGGAGGGCTGCTAAGGCAACGGGTACCACTTAACGCGGTACGCGTCTACGCGTCGATACGTCGACTTTTAATTTAACACGCGCACAACTATACATGACTTCTATATTATGTGTTCGTTAATGTTATAAACTTACGTATAGTACTCCGTATTATCTGTCTAATTCTATTCAAAAGTCTGTCATGAGGATAGTATGTATGATCTGATCTATCCACGCAAAGTAATGTACTGTATATAACAAATCATTATTTTTAAAGGACATAAAAGGCCTACTGGCCAACGTTTCCTCTGCGTCCACCTCTCTTGCCACGATCCACATGGGCTTTGAGCACAGCACGGGTCTCCACCAAACTTCTCTTGTTCTTGCTGCGAGCCTTGCCGAGCGTCATGAGGAAGTTCTTCTTGCGAGCCTTTTCCTTGTTGGTACTACTCTTTCCTGCTTCCTGCTTGCGCTCCTTGCGACGAGCCTCCTTGCTCATATGATCAGTGGTCTTGCCCTCCTTGGCGTGGGCAATACGTTCCTCGCGAGTGGCCCTAGCGGCAGACAGAGCAGCAAGACCCTCAATCTCATTAGCGGTCAATGGGTCATCGGTATGGCGGGAGGTCCATGGGGCAGCGACGCGGCCCTTGTTGCCCGGAAGAGTGGCATTAGCGGCCGCCTCAGCACGAAGCTCGGTAAGCTTGGCGAGATCGGCGGGCGTGAGGATGCGAGTGGTAGCCAATTTCATGAAATCAATGGCCTTCTCGGCTTCAGCTTCTTTTTCAGTCTCCTTCTTGGCCTCTTCTTCTTGTTTGGCCTTCTTTGAGGCCGGCTTGCCTTCATCCTCGGAATCACTCAGCACAATCTCAACATCGTCCTCCACATTGATCCATTCTCCATCGACATCGCTGTCAGAGTCATCTTCGACATTCCAGGCTGCCCAATCGGCTTCGTCATTCTCCTCTTCGTCATCTTCAGCATCAGATGGAAGACCCTTCTCGATGTTCCTCTTGCGACGCTCCTCATCTTTCCACTTGGCCAAGAGTTCCAGGCCCTCAATTTCGCCGACCTCCTGTTGTCCGTAACGTCTTTCTTGTCTTTCACCAGCGCGCAGGCTCATTGCGGCCTCCTTGCCACGGTCACGCTTCTTCAGCATCTGTGCACCAACGTCACGGTAAAGACTAAGGAGACCCTTGGAGGCCATCATGACACCCTTATCCTTACTCTTCTTGTACATGACAAGATCCTGCAACAAAGTCTCATCAATAGCCAAAGGCTGTCTAGCACAAATTTCACGAATGGCATTCAGACCAGCTGTCGCAACTTCACCTGCAGATGCTTCGGAGACGAACTCATTGGCAATCTTCTGAATCAGAGGCTCGAGAACATCAGGAGGCACCAAGTCGTGCGAGGCTTGGGCCAGGGATGCCAGGAATGAAGTGACCGAAGGTTGGCGGGGAGTAAGGTACTTTTGGAAGTAAGAGTAGAGCGGCATGATGTGCAACTTGTGCAAGCCGACCAGGCGGGAGACCAACTGTAGCACCTGGAGCTTCTGCTCCAGATTCAGCTTAGATTTACCGTTCTGCAGATGCTTGAAGAACATGTTATCCGCGAATCCTTGGGGATCGTGCAGCAAATGAAGCGCGGAAAAGTTGAGGGGATTAGGGTTGCCCTTCTTGCGCTCCTTGTTCCGGACCGCTTTGATGGCCTTTTCGGCGACACGGGCCTTCTTTCTGGTCTTCTTGTTGATGGTAAGTTGATGCTTAACCTGGCCAACATTGATCTCTTCGTCACTGTCCTCGTCCTCCAATTCCTCGCGCTCCTTATCACCACCAAGGAAGAAACGGACTCCGCCGATGATGACCTTCTCATTTAGTGACAGGGCTGCCTCCTTCATGACCTCAACGGCCTTAGCCTCAGTCCAAATTTGGCGCTTCCATAGCTCTCTGGTAATCTTAATCGCCCACAGGCCTTTAGCCGATGTGCGGTCTGATGTGACCAAGTTGAATAGAACGGTTTGCATAGTGCGGTTCAGCTTGTGGTTAGTAGTCTTTGAATTTGCGGTTCGCATCTCAGAGAGGATCTTCTGGAAGAGCAGAGCACGCAGGGTCTTGCTAGGTGTAGAGACAAGAATGGGGAAGAGGGTGTGCAGCAACCTAAAGTAGCGGTTAGAATCGACAGTAGTGAAATAATGAGTAGGTCTTCATACGTTGCTGAATCTATAAGTTCCTTCTTCTTCAAGAGCACCAAACTTCCAACTATCTTCTCCCGCAACTCTGTCTCCAACACCAGGTGGTGCTGCATGAGCATGTCGATGAGCTGTTGCGGGAAGTCCTTACAGATCCCTGGGTAACAGTCGGCGACATGGGAAATGAAGTCGATGAGATCCCGAAGAGAAATCACACCGGTATCCGTAGCAGATGAGGGCGCCGCCATGAAAATCTCACGATGGGATTCATATTGGTAGTGTTGAGCACGGAAATCTTCGATATAAGACCTGAAGAGAGCGAAGCGGCAATTAGCCCCTGACCGAGTGGAATCAATCATAGAAAATCTCTGCATATAACTTACTTGGGATCCCTGCGAATCTTGTGCTGCAAATTGGGCCTGCGAATCGCGCAAGAGATGTTAGCATTCGCGGACTGAAGCCTCTGACGGATTGGCCATGGGCGCATCGGCTTAGACAAGATGTACATACAGGTCAGCCTCGACCTTTTCCAAGGCTCCCAGCTTTCTTTTCACCATTTTGAAGGTGGAAATAAGAATATGGTGGTTGGGAAGGGTGTGTTGAGGTCCGAAACTTTTTTTTCTCCGTATTCTCGGTATCGATAAGCGATGGAAAATCTCAATCTTGGCAAATATCAGATTTGGCTAGAACTAAGTAAACATATAATTTGATCATTTGAATCAGATATATTATTCTACAATCTATATTGCGAGATTCATTCAAAAACGCGAAATAAAAGAAATTTTTTCTTTTTAGGAAATAGGTCTTTACGACCCAAGGTCTTCATGATCGCATCACAACTACAAAGAAAGCCGTCCGAATGCGTTCCCTTTAAGATCGTGCTTCCTCCTTGACTGTATCACATTATGTACAGCCTTGCAGATGCATGCGAATCCACTGAATCCCGGTTAAAACCCCGTCCACTCCAGTATACGCAAACAGAGGACCAAACGGAGAACAAATCCAACACAACCCCTTTACCGGTTGCTCTTGGCAACACGCTCGAGCTCGTCCTTCTTCTTGATAGCGTAGGAGTTGGAAGAACCCTTGGCGGCGTTGATCAGCTCCTCAGCAAGGCACTCAGCAATGCTCTTGATGTTGCGGAAGGAGGCCTCGCGGGCACCGATGGTGAGCAGAGAGATAGACTGGTTCACGCGACGGAGGGGAGACACATCGACGGCTAGGTGGAGAGTTAGTATTTCAATTTCATAGATGAGAATGAAGACTTTTCACGTACCCTGGCGACGGACGGTACCCTGGGAACCGATACGGGTGGAGTCCTCACGGGGACCGCAGTTGACAATGGCGTCAACGGCGACCTGGAGAGGGTTCTGGTCGGTCATGATGTGAACCTGTAAAATTGAATATTAGTATCTGGTTTGGACAGTTGAATCGTCGAATCGGTCGGAGTAGCACATACAATCTCGAAAGCGTGAGCGACGATGCGGACAGCAAGGAGCTTCTTTCCGTTGTTGCGGCCGTTCATCATGAGGGAGTTGGTGAGACGCTCGATGATGGGGCACTGAGCCTTGCGGAAACGCTTGGCGGCATAGCGACCGGCAGAGTGGGAGAGGTAGACGGGGGAGCGGATCTGGATGTAGTCGCTGTGATGGCGGGTCAGCACCTCTGTAAATCTGAGTCGCGCAATTGCCGGCCCTGTGTGCGCTGTTGATTTCCTGATGTGTGCGAAGAGAAAACCAGTCCCATGGCGTGTCGTATTTCCTCCGATACAGAATTTCGATATCCCCCTTCAAGTTGTCGAAAAAGTCATGCCATTCCACCAATCCGATTCGGTTTTTCTCGCACACAACAGGAATTCACTCGGCGCATAGAGGACCTGATAGAAAGACTCACGTCAAGGAAATATCCCGGATCTCGACATCATCGTAGCTCCACTTGTTGAACAGCTTAATGCTGCCCTGCTCGGCCAGAACCTCCTTGGGCAGGACAGGGAAGGCGGCGACCTCGACGTCCCCGTTGTCGGACATGTTGACTGTGCGGGAGGGGTTCGTGGGAAAATGACCGGGTTGTCGTTTGGTGGTTGAACGTCGATGAGGTTCCGGTTATCCAAGAAAGAAATTGGTGTGCCTCGCTTAGGTTGTGCGGGGGTCATGTGATTAGGGTAGGCTGAGAGTGGAGATCACCTGATTTATGTCTTGGCTTGAAGCCTTGGCGCCTGGATGCCTGAGGAATCAAACTTTTCCCATGATCAGCGCGGACACCGGGGAAAACCAGCCAATCCCAGCTTCATATTGATCACACTGATTTTGTGACTTTCTACTGATTCTGCGGAATATTCTTGGGCTTTCAATATTAATCTTGTTTTTTTGTAATTCAACTAAAAATTCTCCTGAACACACAAACCTAGACCAAAATTGGTGTAAATATGTGTCTCATTCTTAATAGTCCCAAGGCTGGAACTGTGACACGCGATACATCTAAAGTCAGACGGTACCTGAAAAGCCACAATTTTCGTCGGAACTCGATACGGTAGCCTTTATGCTATAGTGTAGAACTTTTTCTTTGTATTCTATATATAAATGAGACAACCATACATAACCTATATCGAGGTATAGCTAGGTAGTATCGCATGTCTTACTTAGGCTCCTCGGCTCGCTTGACCGCCCTGAGCAGGTGACGTTGCGGCTGTCTTGCGCGGAGAGAGACACGATGGATTGACTGTCGTT